GTTGACGACGCCAGGCGTCGTGATTTCGCGTCGGCGACGCCGACGCCCGTAAAAGTCCAAAGCAAGTTTAGCGGGAGAATAGCTGTCTAGTGTATTATAGGTGGACTCGTATATATCCACATAGATTGTACACTCACAAAATAAATGAACTTTATATATATATGTATATATCTAATTGGAGAATATCTAGAGATATTTATTTAGATCCACATAACATGTTGGGGCGTAGATGATGGGTGCGACTGATTCGCCACACTCTGATTGTCGCGATAACAATTTCTTCTTCGGTAATCAGCGCGACAGAAGTCGAGGGCATGCGGAATCGTAACGGCGCGTCAGGAGAATCAAGAGTAGCAAAGACTCTTGTCTTTCTCTATAATCTCTATCTCTCTTATTTAATTCCCCCCCTGTAACTTTATCCCTTTCTTGCTCCGGCAAAGTTGGCTCGCGAGTTACCCAATATAGCGAGCAGGACAAATATCCTTTTAAGGCTCAATACCATTGGCGGAAGAGGCGCGTCTGAACTTGCTGGCGCGAGCGAGTATGGCATCAACTTTTCTATAAACGTTTCTCGTCCACGTCATTGTGTAGCAAAGAGAGGACATCAATTGCATATTCAAAGGGCTAAAAAGTTTCATGTTATATAGATATATAAATAAAATATCGATAAACAAATATAGAGCGCATGGGACTGGTATGAAATGGTTAGATAGGTTGGAGAGCACAAGAAAAGCTTCTTTAGCAAGTTTGGTGCGCAAAATGCAGCACAACAGATCGGAGATCACGCCAAGGAGGTAAGCCCTTGTAGAGGCAGGCTCTCGGTATGTCGCGCTCTTTTTCTCCTTGCGGGCCCGCAACCACGTACACACGTCTTAACTCGTTTGGTATACCATCAATACCTCATATCATTCTCATTACTCCCACTATGAGAATTTCATCTTGACATGTTGACAGTATATTCATCAAATAATAAAATAAAAGTCAAGTCGACGGAGACGGGCGGAGGGTAAATAAGCCAGGGAAACTTTCCACTTATATGGTGTGCTCTCTACTGCGACGAAGCATACTGCTACAGGGCCATTGTTGTGCGTCAGAAGACCCAAAAGCAACTACCAGAGCAGTAGCTGTGTCAGTGGCAGTCCCAGAGAAAGACCAACAGAGCCACAAATGCCGCCAGTGACTGCATTAGCAATTCAAATTGGCGGCAATTTTTTGAGTGCATTTTTGACCTCCTGTATCAACGATCCTCCCTGTCCTCTGGCATCCCCCTTCGGGTCTTGGATCCACGCCGAAATTCGCCTCCTTATTAAGCCCGCCCGCGCCATATTAAGGTCTCTTGAGAGATGTACTAGTGTGTCCAAGAAAACACTCGACAAAACCACGTAGAAGCTTCATAAACTGGTATAGGGTAGCAAACTACGCTCTCCACACTTGTCAGCCAGTTCCCCCCCACGACTTTTATCCTTTCGGGGTAGTGTTAACTATCTATAGATATTATATGAGACACCACACCACATACAAAACTCTCATTTTGGAGTTGAACACATTCCACCCCAAGATTCCGCAGGTGACTATTTTTTATAGTTATCAAGTCTTCAATTATTCTTTGTGGTATTGAACAACAGTTTCAAGCTATAAATCAATTATCGGGATAGTATAGACAGCTTGGAAAATAAAGTTTTAATGACGAATGAATAATGAAACTGATGAGTCGATCATACAAGGGTCTGTGTGGGCATCTCACGTTGTCTCTCTTCTTTTTCTATCTCTCTTATACCAATGCCAAGTCAGTCTGTGGCGTGCACTTCTATTTTTAAATGCATTCGCAAGTGGCATGCGGGTGGCCGTCGTGTTTTCCTAAGCTGGCGCAAAATTACACACTGGCTGCTCCGTTTTGTAGTCAACTCTTCTATCGCTTACTTTAATTTCTTTTTTCTCTCGAATCTTTCAAAAAAAAAAATTATGCAAAAAAATCTTCTCTATCCCGTTTTTTTTCTCTTACTTTATTTCAGGATGTTTTTTCTCCAACATTTTTTTATCTCACTCTCACTGTGATAATGACACATGTGTATTATTGTATTATATTGATAAAATTTACTACGAATAATTTTATGCTAAAAATTGATACTAATTTATGATAAGAAAAATTTAAATATTCAATTAAAATACATCGGCTTAATTTTATTTCATTATTTTATCTTAAAGAGAGAAAGAGAGAGAAAGCATAAATTCATGTGAGTATAATTTTTTAATAAATTGATAAAAATGAAAAGAAAATTTTTCGCGTGTGTATGCTCATCATATATGTATGTATGTAACATAGTGATATATAGAGCGACAACGACTGCGACGACGAAGATGCAATACGTTAAAGGAAAAGAAGAGAATAAGTAAAGAATGAGAGAAAAATAAGAGTATACGAAGATGTAGGTTTTATTTTTCGGCAGACCTTTATAGCTCTCATCCCCTTGTACGGCGCACCGGCGAGGCGCCTCAATCAAAAGCAAGTAAAACGTAAAAAATCAGCGAACGAAATTCGCGGAGGGTCTTTTACTCTCAGGGTCTGAACAAGCCTTCTCTGGGACTATTGTTTCCTCTCTCTTGTTTGCAGCTCTTTCTTCCCCAAGCCCCTCACGCTCGTTTGCTGGCACGATATGCTAGGACACGTTAACGAGCCAGTAAATATGTTGACTGGTTGACTGAACAAGAAGCGTTTAGCTTCGCAGTGTATATAACATATAAGCGCTCTCAACATAATGATTATAATAGTTTGTTGGTAACTGGCGAGAGTGAGAGAGAGAGTTAACCATTTTAAAGCCTGTGGAAGCCGCTATGTAATTTTCCACCCACTAAAATAGCCATCGGGCTGACTACCCCCGAGGACCAATCCGCTCATGATTATCGGCAAATAAGGTACAGTACGAGCTATAAGTCGTGAAAGCCTTCACTCGAGTAGTAAGTGTCTGTTTATATATACAGGTCAGGTGGCACTTGCGCTCAATCATGGGAACTTGACCTTTTGCTAGTGGTGTGCTGCTAAGTCTCATAGACAGATTACTATTCCAAGGTCGTGCTCTTTAATTTCAAATGATTTAAATGCTTGCTTATCTAGTCTAATGCACTAGACAAAAGAGATGGAGAGAGGAAAAGGGATTTATAAGTGAGTTAAAGGTACATTATGTACATAGGTAGATATTATTATTATAAATAGGTGTATACATATATGAAGTGTGGGTATATATAAAGAGAGAGGAGACTTGGTGGAAGCGCGAGTATACAGGTAACATGATTCAACGTGGTATAGGTCAGATTTAAGCCGCCTTTGATATTTAAATCGGGCCGTGCGAGTCTCTCGACCACACGCAGGAATTTACACGTTTCGTACCTTTCTATACCACACTGGAACGCCGCCGTCGCAACAGCACACGGCGCTCTTTTACCTGAATGCAAAAGATAAAAATATTCAGTGAGAAAGAGGAGCAAAATAAATTTATGCGGCTACTCGACTGCCTAAAAGTTCCCAAGACTCTTTTGATCGTGTTATATAAAAAGGTATATATATATACATATAGATATACACAAACAACAATATAAATAAATTTTCCACGATAAGTATTATGTATACACATGTATTTGAGTCATGTGTGTTGGATTTATATTATGACTTGTTATGTGTTTAAAAAGAGAGAGTGGTACATATAGTTGTTGAATTGCGAATAGAGCGTCAAAGTGCGTAACAGAGTGGACAATCGATGAGTGGAGTGTTACTCTGTCACGGTTGAATGACAATCAGACATGATGGGGATCGAGTATAGAGATACGTGTAGGTTGAAATAAGAGGGTGAGAGAGTAGAGATGGACGATTAACTCATCACTCGATTGAGTCAGACAAGCTTTTCGCCTGGACTGTATTGCTAATAAGACACAGGCAGTTAGTGCGAGAGAGTAGCCGCGGGGCAAGGGAGCAGAAGACCAGACCGCCGTCGCAGCAACTTGGTAAGACTGCACACAGACTGTGTGTTGGGTAACGTTCGCGCGCCAAAAACTCGAGGTTGGTCCCAGTGTACTCATATATACAGCGGTATGGCTGTGGTCCCCCGTCCCTGCTCGATCGCGGTAGGCAACTCCTGCCTTGGACCACCCGAGTTCCGAGGTGAGTGCCGGCTACCCTGTAATCACGTGCAGCCGTGCCGCAAGCCGACAAACCAAACGAAAAGAGATAAAGATAAACAAAGATTTTGGACCAAGCCCTCATCCAACCAGAGTGACCAACTACTCGATCGTTGCTCTTGTCATCACCACCATCATCATCATCATCATCATCATTATTATTATTATCATCATCATTATCATTGTGTTGAGGTGATGATCACTCTGTTGTTATATTCTTTTCTTTTATTCTTCAAATTCTGCAACTGGTACACACTTGTATACATGTAGAGTCAATGTGTTGGTGATTATTCCAATAAGTGCGAAAGCTTATGGAGAAAAGACTCCAAGTGCAGAGTGGGGAGGAAGGAATACGCGGGCCTACGGCACGTGCATGCACGCGATACGGAAGACGAGAGCCTGGTCAGCCCTCCACCACCACTTCTACTTATCCAACGACTCTTCCGAGCCAGTAGACTAGACGGCGCGTGCCAGGTGCGCTTACTGCACAATGCTACTCGGCCCAGTTGCATGCGAGGGCGTTCATTCGTCCGGAATTTCTCAGACTTCTCATGCTGTGTCATAAACACTTGGTGGTTGAGTTTGATTCCAAAAGAGGGGTGTGGAACGCGTGAATAGGCGAGTCAGTAGTTTAATACCGACTGGATATGAGTTGAAGAAAGACACTACCAAACGATCAAGATAGAAAAGGAGAGAGAAAGAAAGCCAGGCGCGACAGGCGACGCGGCAAGCGAGCGAAAAGCCAGCAAGACGTGCGCGCGCAGAGCCTCGACCGGCGCCCACGAGGAGTCACTGGCTCTGTGACCGACCTCGGCGGTGCGAGAGCAGCCTGCTCAGTCTAATTTCAACCGCCGCGTGCGTTTGTGCGACACCCAGAACCTCTCTCCAACGTCACGAGGCCTTCTCTACTCGTTCTGGAATTTCACCTTTTCAGTGCTCATTTGAATCTACATTAGAACAAGAAAGACTAATATTTACTCACTATTATCATCAATTAATTGGAATTTTATTAATTCATTTATTCAACGTTTATGTAAAACTTACTTTGGATGTTATAATAATGACGTACTGATAACAATTCGGATGATATAATTCCATCCACTTTGTACGTATATTCACTAAATAATATTTCATAAATGATCAAGTTAATTCAATAAAATATCGTAAAACTGGTGAACGTATCTTACTGTGCGTGTGCACACAGTAAACGCGTGTGAACAAGTAGAAATGCCGCTGAGAAACTCGCCACGTGCGCGCTTGTGTTTATAAATCGATGTCTGGAGAACCGACCAATGAGACAATGATGATACTCGATTACACCTGTTTTCAGAAGCAACTATACATACGTCATTCCCAACACAATCATCACCTTCTTTATTCCCATCACTTGGAATCTATTATTATCAGCAATGGAAAAAAGTGTCTTTGGCAGAAATAGGATAAAATGAAACTTGGTAGAATCAATGTCTCATCAGGCTGGATTACTGCTCACCTTGTTGATGGTGTACCGGCATCTTTTTGGTTTTGTTAAATGAACAAATTGATTTACTTCAAGAAAATAATCACAAAGGAATGGCTATTTTTTGCGACAATTTAGATAATAAAAGGATCAAAATTAAGGATCCGAGGACTATTGGGGACTCTTGGAGTCCCTCATCGGATTGGGAGTAATCGGAGACTCCCAGATTGAAGAGATAAGTGTGTCTATATGAGTGTGTAAGTGTATGTGTGTATGTGATGTTAAAAAAGAGTGGTTAAAATGAAAAAAAGTCAATTGAGTCAAGTCAAATTGTCGCAGGATTATAAAGACTGCGACTGTAAGACAAGACTAAGAGTAAATATCGGTGATGGGATGGACATTTAGATTAGTAATTGTTTTCAACATACGAGTGGTGAATCCAAGTGTCAAGAGAAACGTCATAGTAAACGTCAGCGTCGTCGTCCTCGTGTCCACGTGGTGGTGGTGGAGGTGGAGAGGAGAGACGCGGACGAAAAGCTGGAGAGAAGGAGTTTTAGGGGTAGCAAGTTGGATAATGCGGGCGTCCTTTATTTTATTGGGAATTTTGAGCGGCTGGTGGTGCGCTCTCGCGCTAATAGCAGCACCCCCAGCCAATTTACAACTTCAGGGACCGGAAGATTTGTATCCACGAATGAGCAAGTGGTTTCCATTCGCTGCTACGTCAATACGACATCATCATGGTGGTTGGTTATCTTCCGGCTACGATGCAACCGGTCAGTCAATTGCTGTGAGGTCTAGAGCTGGTAGATCTAGTGGCAGTGGTGGTGGAGGAGGTGAAGGCGGAGGTCGTACAAGAAGCGAATCAAAGAGAGAACAGCGAAAACGTTGTCGTCGAAAAAAAGGTGGAGTTTGTAGAGGAAGAAACTGGTGTCCTGATATGGATGTTGGTAATCGTGCTTTCCTAGCACCCACGGTATTTGAGGGCAAAGTACGCAGCATGTCCTCGTCAAGGAAACCGGGATCCAACTATGCAGTGACCTTTGAGGTAAAGCAAGTCTATAAGAGTCAAGCTGGCTTCCAACCACTGCGTAAAAACGACAGCGTTCGTCTGCATTTTCGCGACAAATCAGACAAGAGAAATGGCAGTGGAGGAAGGTCTTCATTGTGTCGTAACGAGGACACTGACGGCCAGACAACGAATCACCGGTTACACACTGGTGTGAATCAACAGTATGGACTCCATCAGAGTGATCATTCTAAAGTGGTGCGCGCCGACATTAAGCGTGGCAAAGTGTACCTAGTGTTTGTGAATCGTGTAGGACCTAGAAACTTTACAATCTTGGGTGAGCCGGTGATACGGAGCAAGAAAAACGAACAGGCGGTACAGGCGGTCATTCGACCCGATTACGGTGAGTCAGTCTAACGAGATACTCATTACATTATATATCTAATACCAACTCTATTTTATTTTTGATACACTTGATGTGTGTTTTATGCATGAAACAGAAAATAAATTTTATTCAATAGTAATAAACTCCAACCATATCATTGTATCATAGCATACTCTGCTGAAAGATATTATCATCAACACTGGCCCGTCGCTCGTCTTTATTGGCTGACGTCATTCGTTGAGTCTCTGGCTCATGATCGTCGCGTACCGATGAATTATCAGAATGAACAATTAATCGAGGCAAATAAGCGATTAATCGTTAAAAGTTAGTCGTTGCCACTTTCTTGTCTGTCGTCTAGAACGTATCCACTTGTCATCGGCATCTAGTTGGCCAAGAGGACGCAATGCCAGTGCTACTAATGCTAGTATATGGAGTCGCATGTATGTACCCTGAGCACGTACGGCCTGTGACCATACTGGGATTGTGCACAGTGTTGGTTGCCGGGCTACCGGCGCTCCTTATGCTCCCTAAGGACAGAGATAAGACAAGATGACTCGTGTGGATTGACGAAAAGCAAGTGGGGAGAGACGAAAGCAACTGGCAAGAGAGACAAGGGGATCAAGTAGACTGCTCGGCGACTGTTTAAACGTCTTATTGGACGTGCAAATGGGACGATATACTCGACATCATCCTCATTGACCGATTTTATTTTATACCATCATCATTATAACAAATAAGCTATGTTTGGATTAGTGTTGCAAGTGTAATTATCAGTCGTTATCTCTTGCATTGATGATGGTATCTTTTGCAACAACATTAACCGAGTTTGATGTCCACAGCGTGGATTCTCGCCGACGGCTCTCTTCCTCGAAAGTTTCTTCCGCGAACTCGCGACGCACGATGCGAGATGCCGGTCACGATCTCTCGCATCATGGACGTTTCTCTCCCTCTTTACCGCCGCTTTGCTCTTTGTATTACGCTCGAAATTCATTCCGAGCAAGACGCGCCGTGCTTTTCGATTTTTTTTATATCTACATATGAGAGAAACACTCCGCGAATAGTCAGCTGAACTCGAGAAATACTCAAGGACACGAACAAGTGCAACTGGAATGACGATTTTTCTTTAGAGAAAAAAATTTTTAAATAAAATAAAAATTACGAAAAAATAAAAAAAAATTTAAAAAAAAAAAATCTATATACATACACACATTGATATTACACATATTCTTGTATGCCCCTTTTCTCGCTCACATGCTTGCATTTACCAGCCGCTTAACTCGTTACTTTCTTTAACGGCAAACGCAGTAAACGCTCGCCTGCTTACTCACGGTGTACCGAATCGTATAAGGGAAAAACGAGCAGCCGGATTGGGCGATGACCAGCGGGATTCCGTCTCTCTCGATCATGTCGCTGTGTTGCCATTTCATTTGGTCGCTTCATCTACTACGGAAGTGTCTCTTTAAGTTACATACTATGTTGCATTTCTCCTTTACCTATATATACACTTCATACATACTGCACTCTACACCCAGCCCTTACACTTTATGCATTAAAACTTGTTGAAACATGTGTAAATTACATTGCCACGCTTATCAGTAAGTTCAACCTGGTCAAAACAAACATACTATTGGCACAACTTACTGGCAAATGTTCATTTATTTTTACCCACCAACCAATGTGACAATTTACAAATTGTTAACAAACTGCACAATTATCATATCGCTTGCCAGACGTCATTGCACCTTTAACTATTTTTTTTCTTTTTTTTTTTCATCTATCTTTCATCATTTATCTAAACCGATTAGATTAATCATCGTTAATTTATATTAAAACCTTAACTTATAACTATCTCCGATGAATTTCATTTCACTTCTCGACGACAAAAATATTGGTTATATTTCGAAATTCTATATTTATATCTTCACAAGCGAGATGAGACAAATGAGAAAAAAAAGAGAGACGAAAGAGGAGAAGGAGAGAAAAAAAGATAACTTGACAAGTCTCAGTTTAATTGACTCGCAACTCTCAATTACCATAAAAACTTTCTCGGCCTAATTTCAAAAAAAGCTCCAGAAAAATTATTAAAAATAATAAAAACGTTGCAATAAAATAAAGTATAATTATTTTTATGTCGACGATGAAAAAAATAAATATATCAATTTAAACTTGTCTTCACAAATAATTGAGAAATAAATTCTTTCATGAAGAAAGAAAAATTCTTAATCAATTATGACTTTGTATTAATAATAACTAAAGGAAAATGGATTTATTCTGTTCAACTTTCATCTCTTTTCATGCTCAACAAAGTATTATAAACCAGATGAAACTCTATATATATATTTCAAATGAATATTAATACAGCAAAGTGAAAGATTTCCAAGTTTGTATATGCTATTGACGTATTTCATTGCTTTCTACATAGTCAAGTAAACAAGTCTGAATTCGAGCTATTTTATTCCTTCTATAAAAGTGCTCCTAGAATGACAATTAACTTTACTACTAGGTAGAATATCTCTGAAACCTCCTACATCTGAGAAAATTCCGCAACGATGAGCAATCGTAACAAATAATCAATTACTCAAAGTCCCTCCATAATATATCGCTTTCAATCGCTCATGATTTCTCTCTCAGTTAAACTGGCATTCTCCTCTCGTTTTTGTTTTGACTCAGCTCTTCCATCCGGTGTTTGATTACCCACCACGTCGAATCACTGCAGCTACCATACAGCTTCCCATTATTCTAATAACAATTCTCTCAAATCCATTACTATACACACTAGAATTCCACCATCTGTCTGAGCGTCGCGATCAATGTTACTTATTTAAATAATTCATCGAGAAGCGTCGGATATATCTCGTTACTGTAGAGAATATAGCTGCCAAGTAGTAATGGTCGATATGCAGTCCGACATACCGTATATTTGTATTCCCAATTAACCAAGTGATTATTTAACTGTCTTATTAATGATTTTCATGACCTTAATCAGTAATTAAAGTTTAATTAATCAAGTGAAATGGACAGAGTGTACTCCAAGTTGATAGAATTTAAAACAATAGGGTGGTGGCGTCGAGTGACGAGGTCTAATTATAACTTACGCCACACCATGACTTGTGTGTAATCTACAAGAAACGAAAATAGAAGCACTGAGATGCGCTTGATGATCAGCATCGGTACGACTACGACACTCCATATCACACTGTACTATTAAGTGTGAATTTTTACTTTTCAATATGCCTACCTTAACTTACGACCTCAATTTCAACATAATCAACAGTTTTTTGTCATTAAAAGAAAAAAAAAACATTTCAAAAACATCATAAAATCATTAAGAATATTATCTCCTCTTTCAAGGTTTAATTATTTTTTGTTATTAATGTGTTTTGTTAAGTAAAGAAGAGAAAAAAGAATTAATTTCAATTAAATTACTAGAGCATCACGTTCTGCTTCGTCTTTTCTTGACAATAAAAAATGCAGATTTCACAGTAAGATAAAAAGTATAACTAATGCCTGTTGCAGTTCGAGAAGTGACGTTATCGGAGCTCAGGGACTCGGTGGCAAGAACGAGAGAAAGGGTGAAACTTGTGTGTAGGACTAGAGGATCGCCACCACCTCGAGTCCATTGGCTGAAAGATGGTCTGCCTCTTTATCCCCGGAGAGGTCTGAGAATTCAGCACAAACGGTGAGAATCTAAGGGATTTATAGACATTTTTTTGGTGTTTTTTTTTCGCCGCAAAAGTGTGGGGAATGAGTAAAAGAATGAGAAGGTAGCAGAGATGAGAGGCGATGAGAGAAAAAAATAAGAAAGGAAGCGGCGACCACAGTCGACAGTCGGAGAGTTTCTAATTTGGTGTCGAGGAAAAATCGACACTCCGTCTAGACTAGCGGCACTCTCGGCTCTCATGGTCTCCCTCTCACTCTTTCTCGCGTGCTCATCTTGAATTTCTATTTATATATTCCACCTCGTTCATACAACTCGACCGCTTTTCGCTCTTTCCTTTCATCTCGTTACGTCTCCGCTGATGCCTCTACAAGCACTTGCGGAGATAATAACTAACTGTAAGTATTAAAGTCATGATGATATCACGTGTGCCATCATTTACAGGAGAAGATCCAAAGTGGTAATCGCATCAGCACGACCCGAAGACAGTGGACGGTATGAATGCATTGCCCAAAGTACCTCTGGCTATCAGGCCTCTCTAGCAGCCCAACTTCTAGTCGTACATGACACTAAAGCTACTGAAACCAGTAAGTCATTAAGAGAAACCTTGCAATTCCTAACATCAATCTAACAATAACTCTGTCACTTGTTTCCAAACACTTTCCACTATGATTTATTCTAGTTGTTATAATGAAGATGACAACATAATTACCAATTAATGAAACCATGAATTATTACTTTTAAAAATAACATTTCTTCAACAAATGAAAATTTATATTAAAAACCTTGGATAATAAAAATAGTTGTCACTTCCTCAATAAAACGTGAAAAATATACTTGTTCGGGGTAAATACAATTTAGAAGAAAAAAAAACAATTTTCTTTTGGAAAAGTAGATTGAAAATAGTTGAATGTTTTCTTAAAATAAATGAATATTTTTTTTCTCACAAATTTATGTTTTTTCAGAACATGAAGTACTGTAAATGTATTCACAATTTAATACTAAAAATATAAGTGAGTTTTTCATGACCTGAAAAATATTAATGCAATAAATATAACAATTATTTATATTATTATACTTATTCGATTCAGTAGAAATGTTAAATCATTCACATATGGCAAATATCAATTCATGTTCTTACAAGAAAAAAAAAAACATTGATTATGTATGTAGAGTGTCGGAACGAATCTATTTTATTCTACTTTAAAGAATTTTTCAGAAACTCAAAACAGATAAGCTTATTAAGCCATCTATGAGAATGTTAATGCTAAATAAATAAAGATAAATTGTTTAAAAATAAAAAACCTACTAAATTTTAATGACAAGCATAAATGATTGAAACATCAATATTTACATTTTACTAAATAAAATACACAAACGAATTACCTTTTTCACTAAATAAAAATTCTTGTTTTTGCTTCAAATGATAATTCCATTTTAATGAATGTACTGAACTTTTCAGCAACTGTTGCATGGCCCAGGCAGGAACAACCCTGTCCAATAGCGGGTGACTTTTGCATGAACGGAGGAACGTGTCTTTTCTTCGAGACAGTTGGTGAACCAGCATGCAGGTGGATATTAAATCTTTTCAAAAACTAAAATATAAAAAATAAATTGTTTTGTCTGGAATAATCTAGACGACATTGAATCGTACAAAATACACAACGTGATGAGATATATAAAAGTATATTTGTAATGTGCCAACAATATTCAAAACGTAGTCAAAACATCGGCTGGAGATGAATGTCGAGAAAGTCACAAGAGTGATACCTGGCAGGGTCAGCAGAGTATTGGTGATTATCACCAGTAGAATTTTTTTGGGCATCTTGCCAAGTTTATTGATATTTATAATTTCCAAAGGATTATTATTTTTCCATCTGTTTATTCAAATCCTTCAGAAAGTACTCATTCAAATTCTATTTTTAATTATATATTTTTTTAAACATGAATGACTTCAAATCTTACATAAAAATATTGATATTGAGCTTTTGGAGATCAAAAAGGGAATAAAAAGTTATCAACCTTAGCATGTAGGATTGCATTCAAATATTAAAGAAGTCAACTTATTCCAAACTCTCAGATATCTACCTAATTCTATCCTCCTAAAAAAAGAAAGAATTTCAAAATGTTTTCTTTGGTACCCACTTGCACTTGACCGGTTTTCATTTTCTAATAATATCAATACTAAAGAACAACATGACAATACTAAGAAGAAAACTCTAATTATTGTTGTCTAAGTTTTAAAATCATCAATCTGCAACATGACCGAAAGAAAACAAGTCGACTATCAATGGAGTATGAAGTAAAAAAGAACAGAAGAGAAAGGGATTGATGAATTCCAGCAAAGTGCATGTATAGAGTTGGTACATAATGAAAATGGCGGAACAAGATAAAGCAGAAAACGTGAAAAATAGTCAGTAAAATTGGCAAGAAAAAGAGATGTTAAAATTTTCGCGACACATCTACCGAGACTTGGGCGTAACGTTAGCATGCTAGGACGTCGCTCACGCGCGTACCCAAGAGACTCTCTCATTTCGAAAGAGTATAAATAGAACGACCAAATTATTTTCCAGAGAAGCGTCTCGAGTTCCGTAGCTTGTTCGTAAGCGTAAGAGACCGATGAGTTGACTCTACTCGTGAGGCAACTCATAGCCTGTTGATTAATATATATGAACGTATATATATATACACTTGATAATCTTATAATAACGTGATTATAAAACGTGTTACAGATGCGCCGAGGGTTTTACTGGTCTACGATGCGAGACCAAGGACGTAATCAGCACAGGAAGTGTGTACAACCGTCATAGAGCACCATTTTCATGCAAGTTGGGTCTTTCGACCTCGTATTACTGCTAACGATAGTGGCGTGGAACCCAATTTGGTAGCTGCTACTTCTTTTGGCGTTCCCTCTTATTTTATACGTCATATTTTATTATCTTTATTAATATCTTTATTATAATTATTATAATTATCGATTATTAATTATTCATTACTACAACTAAGATCATTATTATTATTATTATTTTAATTAGTTGTTATCTCTTAATTCATGTCAGTTTATTTCCATTTTTAATATTTTCCATCGATTCATCATACTTTTTCTATTCCTTTTTCTCCTTTTTATTTATCTCTCCACTACTATTATTATTGTTTCTATTTTCGACATAATTTGCTATTAATATTATGCCTAGCCCCGATGTTTGCAATTGAATGAATGCTGAGAAAAAATTGTTTTCGAAGATGAAGAAGCCATTTGAGCTAAATTGATATTTTATTTATAATTTTTGTTGAACAAAAATTATTTTTAGAATGTTAGACTCATTTTTAAATAACATGATGAACCTGAGAAAAATTTAATCATCCATTTTTAATAAATTTTCCTTTGATCTTCAATATATATTTATTTTTCTCTTAACACTAAGTTGGGAGAAGATAATCAAAATGAAAATTATAATGGATAAACTTTTAACATCGTTTTCAAAAAGCTTAAATGACTTTCTTATTTATAAAAACATTTTGTAAACATCAATTATAAAATGATCTAATCAAAATTTCAATTTGGCTTTTTGTCAATTTTTTTTTAAATTAAATATTATTGTTGATAGCCTTTAGGCACTTGCTCTCCTATATTTCCATAATTTCTTTTTTTTGTAATGATAAAAAATTTGCATAAATATATTTTTTTTTGTTATATACACTCCTTATTTATATATATATATATATATATAGAGAGAGAGAGAGAGAATAATGATAATTAATAAATATAACATAAATTTTTTATTTTTGCCGATGAATTATACCAAAGAAGTGTCTTCCAAACACTACCACTCGCCTGAAAACATAATTGGGCAACTCGATGATTTCATTGACAGCCCAATTTTTTTTATTAATCTCGCAATTGATGTACTGCTTTTTGTTCTTGAGTGCTTTTGATGTTCGTGTTGACGTGAGAAGTCGAACGTAAAGTAAAGTGTGTAATAGAATAAAAGGCAGCCCACTTGACTACAACATGAGAGAGTAAAAGTGCCAGGCTACATCTATCTCGGGATTCTATTTATGTTTTATACATTATTATTATTATTATCATTATTATGTTATTAATTATTATTACTATTACGACTATTTTAATTATTATTTTACATTATATTTAATTTTTACGTGTAAATACATGTATACATTCACGAACTAAAAACATACATGTATAAATAAATTATATTTAAATAGAATATAAAAAAAAGAGACAATAGATTTTTTTAAAAATGAATTTTTATGTTATATAAGTGATATTATTGGCACATAAAATTCATTTTTGTTATAAAAAAAATTTTTTTTTCTAAGTATAAATTAATTATTTAATTTATTTATTAATTATTAACTATCAATTTATTAATTTGTAATTAAAGATGATCTTTATCTTAGTAACAATGAATTTTTAAATTGAATTTCATTTTATTTAATTAATGCTACTACCATTATTAATTTTAATGTGTTTTAATTTTATTAGATCAGACGATTGCGTGCAAATAACAACTGAAGCTCGTCCCTCGACGACTGAATCTATTTTTGACTTAGCATCTCCCGCGAAGATATTGAGAACGCGAGCTTATATTATTGAAAAATCATTTTCTCAATGATTTATGACAGCATTGTACTTTAATTATTACATAAAATATTACTCAAAGATACTACCAAGTCACATACAGATACATTTGTACAATCTTTGATGCTTGTGTCCAGCTGACGGCAAACGACGACAGTGACGGTAAAATCGTACAAGATAGGTGAACTCGGATGATTCACGAGAGTCGGAAATAGAACTGAAACCGTTTGCCCTCAAGCGACTCTTACTGCCGTCTCTTGATTCACTTAGGCAGGAATTCTTGCATAGCGAACTATATATTGTAAGTGAGTTAAATACTTGCTTGAGCTCATGAACAATTTTATTTCAATATATATTTTTCTAGAATCAGCAAATAATTTATTATACGTACATTAGCTAGAATATGGAGCTTTTAGATGGCTAGTAGCTTGTCATTTTATTGTATTATGCTGGAAGGAGCATTGAAAGAAGCTTGCCAGGAGTTGAGCATGTTCTTGCTTCAGTGACTGTTGAAATGACCATGTCATTAAATTGCACTGAGCAATAGAAATCATTTTTCTTCGTCCGGTTTTAAATTAGTTGGTTTTAATAAGCTTCTATATTTTATAATCACATGGGTTTATTCTTTAACATGTATCTTGTCTTTTAAAGTTTACACTACAACAAAACAAAGATTAGATTTCAATGGTCATACTCCAATTACTCATATAAGTTACAGACAAATCTAAAAGTAAATTTTTCAATGTCCAAGAAATAACTTGGCAATGAATTTCAATGAATGAATCTATGAAATACATTCCGAGTATTGAATAGACACAAAAATATTTTTAATATACTATTTTTAAACCTATCCAATTTTCGTTAATCAATCAATCTGTATGAATGATTATTTTAGGAGCTTAGAAATTTAATTTTCATCACAAGAAATTTTACTTATCAACACAATATCAATATTTCCAGACCATATATATTTCGCTGTTGCCCAGTATTATAACTTTAATGTTAATTTTTCGTACATTACTTTTACAAGTGAGTTGGCGGACTCTGTTGAAGTCCACCGAGGTAAGTTGGTTACGTTATAATTATACATGCAAGGGGACGATGCACCGTGAGTCAAGACGTCGACCTCGATAAAATACGACGCCTTAGTCTTTTTACAACTCTAATAGCTTTAATCTATTGAAATTAAAAGTCACAAGTTCAGCAATGATTTAATGCCGAAAAGGCTAATTGTAAATTAAAGTATGCTTTCTTTCAGAGTCAGAGTAAAAGGATGACTGTAGAGAGATAGAAGAAAGGATGAAGACTGTCAGGACGGTTGGACGTCAAAGGGCTGTTGAAGAAAATTGGCGAGCAGCCGGGCGCCGCAAGTAAGACTTGGCGACGAATTTCTCGCCCGCGCCAAGATAAACTTAATGGTTCGAAGTAATTCGAGACTTCCGACAGTTACTACGAGGGCTCCAGCCTCTTGGCCATTAACACCATTGCATATGAAAAAATTGCTTCAAGTAGATTCCTTAAATTCAATCAATTGATCCAATAAAAAAATATTCATATTTAAAATATAAATTATATTCGTATAAAAAAATTTTATAATCATGAATAATCACACTTAATAGAATAAGAATGTACAAGCGATCAAATAATTAGTTCATGATAGTGCATTCAAGTACTTTTGTAGCTCACAACTGTATCCATTTTATGTAGAGACGTTGAAAATGATCTTAACTGCACTTCTTGACTGTTTGCAATGAAAACTGGTTCAGTTTCATCCCATTCTTGTGGTATTCCACAGTCTGGTACAGTGTAGGTTAATATATCAAATGAGCAGGGACAGTCCAGAAGTGGTAGAAAGCTAACAGTGCCTATTTATAATCGAAATAAAATAAATAAACATATTGAAAATATCCCAAGTGTAATAAATGAGTACATGATTTTATTCCTTTTCTTATTATACCTGTTATTTGTCTGATGACTTCACGTATTTCTTTTTGGATTGTTTGTACGTCCTTGGTTCCAACTTCAGGAAGAACAGATGCTTTACTGCCATCATCAGACTTTAACTTTCCTTCGTAATCGACCTTGAAATCCCACTTCTCTAATACCTCTCTAGTATTAACATTACTAATTACAAGAACTATTTTCTCCACTTTTTGCTGCAGTAACCACTCTTCTACTTGGCCAAGAATTTTATCTAAGAAAGCCTTGATTTTGTTGTCGGTGGACATCAAAATAAACAAACCAAAGTGTTCAACAGGCTCAAATGTTTCTGGGGGATAAATCCCTCGTTGATACAGTATACTATTGATTCCATAATCTAATTTTCATATAAATTATAGCATTAAAATAATGTTTAATACGTTAAACTCCTATTTAAAGCTGATAAAAAAGAAAATAAATACGTAGACATCATTATATTGAGGTGTACATACCTAAATATTCTCTGACAATTTCTGCACTACCTTTTAAGGTTATACACTTTGCTACTTGTTGAGTTTCCATGATAATTGTTCACTTTTAGTAATAATCAAGTAAAATAAATAAAGAAAAACTTAAAAAGGAAATACTGCTTTACTGACTTATTTACGGATTAATTTTGAGGTTATGTACGACTCTGTTTAAATTTGAAAACCGTCAAACTCTGATTTCAAATAAAATGACGACCAATAAAATACTCTGCTTTTATTGATGTAATGGTTGAAACTTGTGTCGTTAGAGTGCAGGTTATTCTATTGACAGTAATGTACCATCAGTTGATAATTATAACAAAAATATCACCATCAATCGATAAGAATTGAAGACTTTTGACTCTACCGGAGAGAATTATAACTAAAAGCCTACGCATGAGCCACAGTGAACCTCACACAATTTCAGAGTTCTTTTGACCGCGTCCATCATGGCATCTTCAGACGAATTAATGGTTTCTTCCCTAATTTACGATTATTTACTCAAGAAAGACATTGGACTTGCTAAAGTTTTTCAGAAGAAAACAAGTGCGGTATGTAAATAAATTTAATTATATATTTATCACTATGCAACAGTATTTAAGATAGTAGTACCGCGAAAATGCCGCTCGACTTTCTCACTCCCACGTGGTTGTTGTTAGTGCATTATTTCATAATATAAAAACTTTTTCACTTGTATATATCGAACAATTTATTCTTTTTTGATGCTCATGATATTATTTATTATAAATATCGATGCTTTTACTTTTTAAATACACAAAACGCCTTTTTTTTTAGATACATCATTCTTGACATTCACCACGTGTTCAATAACCGTGTTTAACCTGTACATAAACAATATTTTATATATAGGTTCCACTACCGAAAGGGTCTCCACGAATAATTGATGTTGTGCAACATTTTCAAAAAAATTCACCAAAAAAGATCAGTATAAAAAGTAATGGAAAAACGGCAAAATCAGATTCAAGTTCAGATAGTGAAAATGAGCCTGAAAAGAAACCTCAAGTGAATGGAAAAGCTCCTAAACCACAAAATAACAAAACACCTGATTCGTCATCATCGGATTCGAGTTCAGATGAAGAGGAAACACCTAAACCAAGAATTCATCAACCAGTGTCGAAACCAGTAAAAAATACTTCGACACCAGCAAAACCAACACTCACGCCTGCGAAAGTTCCAGCCAAGGCTGCTCCGAAGAACGAATCAAGTTCAGAAGATAGCTCTGACGATGAAGATGAAAAACCACAAGCAAAATCTACTCCAATACCAGCAAAATCAACTCCCACACCTGCAAAAGCTCCGGCTAAGACTGCTCCGAAGAAAGAATCCAGTTCAGAAGATAGCTCTGACGATGAAGATGAAAAGCCAAAAGCAAAATCTACTCCAATACCAGCAAAATCAACTCCCACACCTGCAAAAGCTCCGGCTAAGACTGCTCCCAAGAAAGAATCTAGTTCAGAAGATAGCTCTGACGATGAAGATGAAAAGCCAAAAGCAAAATCTGCTCCAACACCAGCAAAACCAACTCCTACGCCTGCTAAAACTCCCGCAAAGAAACAGTCAAGCTCTGAAGAAAGTTCATCTGAAGATGAAAAACCGAAAAATAAACCAGCGGCAGTCGTGAAAACTAAACCAGTAGTTGCAGCAAAGAAAGCTGAATCTTCAAGTGATTCTGAATCAGATTCTGATGACAATGAATCAAAGACAAAAGCCGTAGTTCCAAAAGCAACTCCTGCACAAAAACAAGTGAAAAAGGAGTCCAGTTCTGATGATGATAGCAGTGAAGATGAAGACGTACCTGTCAAAAATGTACCGAAAAAGCCTATTACGCCGGTTGCACCGCAAACGAATAAGAAAAAAGAAGAGTCTAGTGATTCAGATGATTCATCAGAAGATGAAAAACCAACTCCTAAGCCAGCACCAAGTAAAGTAGCACTCGTGAAAACTCCAGCTAAAAAAGAGTCATCATCAAGTGAAGATAGTAGTGATGAAGAACCACCAACAAAGAAAATAGCCGCTACTCCTGTTGTACAAAAGAAACCTGCTGGAAAGCCGGCGAAAGCACCTAGCAGTAGTGAAGATAGTAGTAGTGAAGAAGAGGCACCTAAAAAGGCTGCTCCGATGAAAGCTACACCAGCTAAACCTCCAGCGAAAGCGGCTAAATCATCGAGTGAAGACTCAGATGACTCTGAAGAAGAAACTAAGGCCAAACCTGTTCCAAAAACTGCAGCAAAACAGCCAGCCAAACAACCGGCTAAATCTTCAAGTGAAGACTCAGATAGTTCTGAAGAAGAGAAACCGAAAAGTAAACAAATAGCAAAACCTCCAGTAAAACCTCCATTAGCAGCTAAAAAATCATCTAGTGAAGATTCAGATGATTCGGAGGAAGAACCACCAAAACAACTCATTGTAAAAAAACCGACTAAACCAACTAAGGCGAAAAAATCGTCAAGTGAAGAGTCATCTTCTGATGAAGAAGAAGCTCAAAAACCAGCTCCTAAAACACCCGTTACGAAAACACCAGCTAAAAAAGAAAAATCTAGTTCAGAAGAAGACTCGGATGAAGAAAAAGAGCCAGAAGTGAACGTTAAAGTAACTGGTAAAGCTGAAAAAAGAAAACATGAAGCAATGGATGGTAACAACAAGAAAAATAAGAAAAATGATGTAGAAACGCCAGCAAAGAATCGTAAGACAGAAAACTACAATAATTTCGTCAAAGCCAGTAATGATAACAATGATCAGGTAAGCGATCTTAATTTCAGACCATTAGCAATAGATTTAATCATTAATCTGTCCTTTTATTATTTTCTTTCAAAATTAAGATTATTTATTTATTTTTAATAATAGTAATTTAAAAGTAGTATAAAAGATAAAAATTATATATCGATTAAAGAATATTCGTAAGGATAAATTAAAAAAAAAAAAAAAAAGAATTACAAACAATTCATGGGAAAGCATTGATCATTGATTTCCGCTCTTCTTTAGTCTCGGAAAAAGACACCTTTTCGACGAGTACGTGAAGAAGAAGTTTCCTTATTGAGTCCTAAATTGGCTGATAATTCATTTGAAGCGAAGGTAAAAAATTTTTGCTTAATAGATGAACAGAAAAGGAACAGAAGCAGGAACGCAGGTCACTCCATCGTGAAAGTAATTTACTAGGTCATTGATCATCAATTAGAGCGAAAATAAAATCGATGAATGCTTTTTCATTAAAAATATTTATGAGTACATTAATAAATTCGTTGTCTCTTTAAGTTTTGCTTTCATAGCACGGATTGACCTGTTGTTTCTCTTTTGTTCTAGGACAACGAGGAAGAGTCAAATACTTTTAAAAGACACAATGATAGTGGTCGCGGAAGGGGAGGATTTAATAATAGAGGAAGACGAGGAGGATTTGGATTTAATGGAGATCGCAGAGAGAATGGTGGTGGTGATAGAGGAGGATTTAGAGGAGGACGTGGTGGTAGAGGAGGTTTCAGAGGAGGTCGAGGCGGTTTTGATAATAGAAATAATGATGGCGGTGGATTCAGAAAATCCTTTGGTGGTGATCAACGTGGAGGTAGAGGTGGTGGATTCCGTGGTGGTAGACATTCCTTCGCAGGCGGAGATAATAAGAATTCATTTAACTCAGCACCAGCACAAAATAAAAAAATCAAATTCGATAATTAGGTAAAATTATCTAAAATATATCATGAATATTTGATAGAATACTGAGACTCTTTCTCGTTATTGTTCACTAATTATATATTTACATTATTTCATTATTTTTAATATAATTAAATTGGTAATTCTATTTTTTAGAAAGGTGCAAGAGGCTCATGGGGAGAAAAAGCAAACTTAGACTTGAAATTCACCCGAGGCAAATCTTTTCGCCATGAAAAAACGAAAAAGAAACGCGGTAGTTATCGTGGAGGTCAGATTGACATGTCAGTCAATTCTATTAAATTTGAAGATTAATTGTTTAAATATTTATTAATTAATTATAATAAATAATTAATCAATGAAAATGACTGCCGACGGTATTTTATATCATTCACTTTACTTGACTCAATAGTAAATCTATTTTTTCTTTAGCATCTATATGTAAGTGTTATTGTCTTTGATAATGTTTAAATGAAGCATTAATTATTCATTTATTGAATATCAAATATTTATAATCTATAATATAAATTCGATGAACTTAAATATGTTTTATTACATATAGATATTTGCTAGCAGTTAATTAGGTATTTTATACATATTTAAAGTAAGAGAGTATTTTTCGTTACTTCTTAATGTATAAAATAAGTTTTTTGTGTGACTTAGTTTGACTACAATTATTGTAAATTACATTCATTTCAATATTACTTTTAAGAATGAATATCTTATTAACGAAGTTTTAATCCTTGGTAATAAATATCAATTCATTAAATAAAGATTATAAGATATTATCACAATTTGGTGTTTGATTATTTCAATTATACCTTCTCTATTTATTTTTAAGTGTAGTGACCGAAATACTATAATTATAAAATGTTTCTAAATAACACCTTTTTCTAAACATTGAGTTCAAATTCTTAATAGTGTAATTACTTTATACAGAAGTAAAATAGCTGAGTTGATCCTTCAATTCAGGTCGCATAATAGTCGCGTTAATTATTTGAAACACACGATTTCTAAATAAATTAAGAATGGATGAAGGAGAAGATACAAGGAATTATATACTGCCAAACCAAGCTGAAGAACGGAAGGTTGTTAATTCTCCTTCTATATGATATATATCTGTCCTCTTTTACCTGGATTCTCTTTAGTTTTTCCCTCACTCGACTATCCAGATACCAAGCTTCCAGCCGTGGTGTTCTTTTACTCACGGCCGATCCTACAGTCAACCTCTGAGCATCCACCTGCACGGACGGAGGTACTCGACCTCACGGCATCCGGCGTAGTGACATGAACGGCATTTCGTGACTTTTATCTTGTGTTTTTGCCTTTTTTTGGCACTTTTTATCTTTCAAACATATTTTTTATCGTGTAAAGTTCTACTTTAACTAATTAATTATTTAAATAAAAAGTATCAAAATAAGTTAACCAAAATGTTGCTTTATTCAACGGTGAGTTTTGTTTATTAATGTATTAATTATAAGATTTTGCTATATTAAATTATCAAAAGAATATTTGAATCAGCTATCAATATTTATGATTACCTTCTTTTCTACAATAATAGTTGAGTTGAGTTATGATAATTCTTGGATCAGATAGCAAAAAAATCAATTATCTTGTTGAGTTTCGGTTTATGGGAATTCCGGGAATACCAAGGTAAAAGAATCATCAGTTCTTCAGAGACTTTGGGGGATAGTTGGTATTGTAATCTCAGAAAACTTTTATTAAAAGATGGTTTTCTTTTGAAATAATTTTCATGCAACCTAAATGCATTTCAATATGAAAAAATACCATAGCCTATGAATACGAATGAGAAAATACATATTTTTGATGGTATACCGTTAGAGTTGAACACATTGACCGTTCATGCGAGTCGAGATCATCGCATAGCATCGTACCGTTAGTCGTTTTACTTACAACCACGTGATTATTGGAAAAAAAGTTTTTTCACTTTTATTGCTATGCGCTTCAATAGAACTCGGCTCATCAGTTACCGTGTTTACTTTTTATTACCTTCTTAATTCTTTACATTTATTTACTCATTTATATATAAGTTTTTTTTGTTATTTCAATTTATAATCATATTTTTTTTTACAGGTGAGAAGCTTATTTAGCTTTTTCTTGATTATTTTGATAAGTCAAGATCTGGTGAAAGCTTCTCAAAAATGCAAAGGAAATGGAGTTGGACTCAAATATCTTTGGGGAGATGCTCTAACCGATTCCAGCGATTGTATAGGACCAAATAATATTCCTTATCCTTCGTGAGTTTAATTAAAGTTTTATTTACTTAGATCACATATTAAAAAATAATATTTACTTTTCGATAATTATATTATTAATGATGAATTAAAATTCCAGAGCTGCAATAACCCGGAGCTTTAAAAGCTTATGGACAGGAAATAGTCGAACAGGAAGGGCATTTTCTCAGAACCGGGTGACAGATCCAGAAGTGACAAGACAAACCCTTTTACATAATTATAAAGTATCTCGGGATGATTACACTCTAAGCAACGACCGGAACGGTAAGTCAATGTCAAGATGACTCGATTCTACGTAACGGGATTGCCAAATAACCCATAAGTAAACTCTGCTCGATCACACGAAGCAGCAGTTCTCTCAAGTGTTATTCAATACAGTTATCAACTCGACTGTTGCAGCTACTTGGCGGCATAACGGGATGTAAAACTTGATAGATTCTAGCTTCTGTATACTAACAAGTTGCAGAAAATTATGTAAACTGATTAAATGATAATTAATGACAGTATAATTGTATTATATACTTCCAGGTCGAAGTTTCAGTTCGAAAGAGACTTGTGGATCACCCAGTAGACTTTGTAAAACCCGCTATAACACCACGGCACCGATGTACGGGGTCAGTCTCACCAGCGGGCAACCAGTTACAATTGTGCAAAAATTCCCCGACCTACTGCAGCAAGTCGTCTTCGAGGTTTGCGAGTAAGTGTGCTCATGCTCCACTTAAATGGAGTATTCAGTAAGACACTCATAAATTCGTTTTTACTTTAAGGTCCAAAGAGTGTGATGTAGTACATGGGGAATGTACTCAAACATATGTTCCTTATTTATTTCTGGTAATACCATTGGGCCCGGTTACACTAACAGGCCAAGATTATGTCCTCGTAGAAAGTGGATGTGTTTGTAAACCGAAGAATTCAATGATAACAGCATCAGAAGCACCATTAATACCCAACTTGTAAAAATATTTATTTTAATCATAAGATTAATGATGATAATGATGATGTTCATAATTATTTACTGCAAAGTAAATCAAAAATGTAACGATGTCACCTTTCTGTGAAAGGAACATTGCTCAAATTGGAGTTACTATGTATTTGTCGAGTAATTTTATTTACTTATCTTTTTTCTACCATAATCACGCGGTTCTTGACCCAAACAATCCTCGAGGATCACTGACGCGTATTTCCCACGCTCAATTCTCTACTCTACGAATTACTTCGTATGCGACTTGTAACGGTCCTTGCGGAAATTGCAATGATAACTAGTAAAGTAGGAAGAAGAGAGTATGGGAAGGGCAGAAAAAAAATAATAGTAAGACTATTAACAACAATAACTCCGTCTTAGATGCCTGATAAATTCTGAAAAGATATCCGGTGTTTTAAAATGAAAGACCCAGAAGATAAAGAAGAAGAAGATTTTAAAAGTGTTAAACAATATTAAATTTAATAAATATATTAAATGATATAAAGAATAAATAAAGACTGTTATTTTGAATAAAAATGTGTTAATGGAATGTGTAGAAAAGAACCAAGTCAGGTCGCTTACATACGCTACTGGCCCGCTTATTTAAAACCGGACTTTGGAGACGTGGAAGGACTAAGTAAAGCCGCGCCTACTGAGAAGCCGATGAACGATGGATAATCATTGAAGGAATTGATGAGAGAAAGAGGGGAAGACTGATCAGATGATCCTCTTACTTAAGCGAACCTGTGTAAATTCTCTTTTCTTTAAGTGGACGTGCTTGAATAGACTCAACTTGGCATTGCCGGCCGAATGGTTCGCACTATGAATTCCAATGAATGTAATGAACCGTTATTTCTCTACAAGATCATTCACCTTGACTTACGCATCAGTGAATCGCTGTGAATCATCAAAATTGACGTGACACATTATCAATAATGATTTGCATTCATAGACTCATTAATATTCTAATTTACGAGAAGTTTATATATTTTGTGTATTGAAGCGAAGAAAGAGGATTATGTTACAATGATCTTTAAAAAAATTTCCAATTTTAAAGTTTTATTTTTCAAAATTCTGTTTTTTTTGCTCAATTTTATACATGTTACATTAATTTTATTCTTCTTTTATTTAATTATGATGTTTATCTTTTTTTTCGCTTCAAAGGAGATGAGATGTTTAATAATTATGGATTATCGATAAACACTAGGGCATGAATATTATTTCTTGTAATTATATTTATTATTATGATGCAAAAACATGAATTTATTATCGCATAGAGGTTTGTGCTGCTGTATCAATTTTCGTCGCAATAATTTATTTGCACATTTAATTTATTGATAATAATTATATAATAGTTAATAATAATCATAATTTATTTCCTAAATTAATTTGAAACATGATATATGAAAGATTCACCTCATAAAAATATTGATCTAAATTTTTTTTTTATCATATAATAATACAATAATAGAATTTGTTATATCAGACGTTCTTCAGGGATCGTAAATAAAATTTTTCGTAGAAAAATGTAACCATACTATTTTTACAAAATTATTTAATATGCAATCTAAACTAACAGAACATCATAAATAATTATTCTGTAATGATTATTTAATTATATTAATAGTATAATTAATTTATTTCAAATATTATGAACTGACTTGAAAATTTTTCATTCAATTTTCTACACGCGAATATCATTAGATAAATAAATAAACAGCAAAAATTCAATGATAGAATCTGATAAAAATATTAAATATTCAACGACAGGCGATAACGATAAAATAGGAGAATAATTTTTAAGATCAACCAAAAGATCGCACTAAAGAATTTTTTTTAATAACTGTGCTCTAATGATTGACATTAAAATGTAAGTAACTCCATTATATAGCACTTAACGACGCTCGAACAATAATAAATCTATCGTAAATATAATAATGGATACATACGAATAACAATTAAAATACGATCAAATGCAACAATGAAACATTCGCGTGAAAAAACACCAGTCATCTTAATTGTAAAGTCCAATGACTTGCATTAATTAATTAATTAATTGAAAAAATTATAACAAGCCTCATGTATTGTATATTAGCACTATAATTACATCTTTGGAAAGATAATGAAACGCGATTATACTGCAGAATTACTGGCTGTCAAGAAGCGACGATAATTGGAACCACAGTTTTTTTACTCGATCCACTTAGCTGTTTAATGAAAAATAAACAGGATTTGATATATTGATTTGATAATATACGTGTTATTAACACGTATTAGACTAGAATAGTATTTGTAAACTTGAAAAAATTGATTAATAGCTGATAAAAAACTCAATACACTTGGAAAAATTTTTTTATGAAAATAATTATAATATAAAGTTGATTTTTATTTAATTACTTCATGCTAACAATACTTGCATTAGATGAAACAACTTCAAGAGAGATATTTATATATTTGAAAAATTTTTTCCAGTGTATTGTTGACTAACAAAGTGGAAAAATTATGTATACATAAGTAAAAATAATGTATACATAAAAGCAAAGAAGTTATCGGCGTTTTAAATTGATATATGACTCTAAAATGGTATATTGTACACGTACAAATGATAGAGCTTTATGACGCTCTTGATATACTTCCATTAATTAATAATTAATAAATAATGTCAACTGACAAATGTGCCTCATTACCTTTTTGCACCATTTTGAGGCACGTTCGATATTACCTAAACCCTAAAAATTGATAAATTAATTCATCATTTTCGCATTTTTTTCATTTTATCTAACAGTTAAATTAATTATTAAACAAAATAAAAATTGACGATCTTATATATCCTATTTACAAAATGATAGACAGAGGAGCCTACCTATATACCGCAAATCTTTACGATAAACATTATTCATGGCACACAGACATGCTGAGTTCAAGTTTATTTTCACGAAACGATGCACTTGAAATAATGGCACTATTATTATCATACCATCTTCATTCAACTAATTGTCACTCTCCGCATAATCGTCGCTGTCTCCACTATCATAATTTTGACCTTTTTGGTCACGACGATGATCACTAGAGTCTTGATAATCTCTTGAATAGCAATCCTTTTTGTTACTACTATCATTTGTTTCTTCTGGTAAGGTATTTATTGTGGAATAATCTTCCTCCATTCCGTTATCGTACATCCTGTAATACATAAACATTACATTAATTGCTGTAATTTATTCATTAATAATTTCATTCAAAATAACTTCATTGCCATATCTTATCAAATAATTATAGCATATAAAAAATATCTTAATAAAATTATAAAAAAACTTTAGTTTACATTTGATCATTTGCTTCATTTCCGCTCTCTTCCGCAACTAATAATTCATACTCATCAGCTGCAAATCGATCCCAATCAGAAAGCTGCAATAATAAATAAATAATGTACAGTCTACTGAAAGTAATTTTCAAAGATAATTTTGTGGTAAATTAATAAAATTTCAATTCTTACTTCATGGCCTTCGGCATCATGATCTCTAGTTGAAGCAAATGGATCCCTTTGTTCATGGTCGAGGTATTTTTCAAGGTTGAAGAATGTATCAAAAAATATTGAGGTCATTTTGCACTTTCTTAAATCACTTAGAGATATTTTTCCAGGAATTTTTGGTTTAATCATGTCTAACATCTGTAATAGTTCATTTCATCGAATTTATTATTATGTAAATAAATTCACAACAAAAAAGTTATTTTAATTCAAGGACTAACATAAAATATCACAAATAATAATCTACCTGACAAAGACAGTCTTCGAATGGTAACGTTTCCAATCCAATGGCCTCCATTCGATGTAATTGTTCTTCATAAAAGTATTCTAGTTCATACATCGAAAGGTATCCATCACCATCTAAATCCATACATCTATAGAAAAAGTTGAAAAAAAATCAATGAATCATTTTATAATATTTATGCAGCCATGAAATTAATTCAATTAAATATTTTGAAATATATTGAAATATATGTATATTAATAAATTAAATTTGTTGAAAAATAATACTCTGATAATCAAATTGATTTAATTATTCAAAAATAGTTTTATTAGAAGGTCATAATATTAAAAAAAACTTTTCCTAATAAAAAAGTGCGTTTATACCTGAACCAATATTCAATAGCCGTAGGATGATTTTTATCTTCTTCACTGAGCAGAAACCATACGAACTCAGTGTAGCTCATTTTTTTTTCATGTTGATGTACTCCTCCACTTTTAACTCCGCCTCTAGTTACAGCACCGCTGAATATTCTTTCTATCAAACGTGTTGACAACGCTGAAAGAAAAATATTTGAAATGTAGAAGAACATTTAATGTTTAATTAGCAGTAAATTTATCATAATAATCCTACCACGATCATTGTGTCTAGTTAGATCCATCTTGTCAATAAATAAGTCGTGATCACGATCCAGTTCCCAGAACTTGCAGTATATAACGTAAAAGTGTTCATAGCTAAAGTAGGACGTCACCTGGTTTATATCCTCTTCGTGCTCTAGAATACCAATAACTTCCAACAAGTTGCTTCTTCGAAGCTCAGTAATTGATATTTTTCCACTCCAACTTCGATTTACACAATAAAATATTCTTGCAATCACAGTGTGAACGTAACGAGAATGAAATTCTGTTGCTTCTTTCAAAAATATCAAACCTGGATGGGTATCAACAACATCTTGTACCAATGCTACGAGATCTTCAGGTAGAATATAATTCCTTAATCCTCTAGTTGTTATCCTTATAAATGTACTGGCTGCATCATGATTATTTCTAGTAGCCCTGAAAGTGAAGTTATTTTCATTGTAAAATTAAGATAATTTAAGATAGTATAATTATACTCGTTATATTCAATGATCCGATTACTAAAGTCTTTACGTAAAAATTTGTTTACAAGTTTAACCAGAATAGGATTATTTTTTTTCTATTGAATAACTGTTTAGTCTTCTTAAAATGATTGCATCATTCAAGGATATTTCTAATGACGTTAGAAGAATATTAAGTTTAAATATTTGATTTTACTTACTCTCTCCAAAAGTCAAGGAAAGCAGTCATTTCTATACATGCTGTTTTATCTCCACCGGCAGCTAAGAAGAGCGGAATCTTCCAGTAAAGAGGTAAATCACAAGCTTTAGCAATTATATGAAATTGTGAACGTGAAGCACGATGTCCCGGGAGACTCTCAAAGGCTTTACTTATTTTCGCAATAACAGTCGCTCGTTGTGTAGGTGGAATAGGTTTACCTCCTGGGAAATAGAATCTGCAAGAAAGAAGATATTAAATTACTTGGAATATACAATAGCTACAGAGCCTAAAGAAAAAATGTATAACGAAGCAGAAAAAATTACTCAGAAATTACCTTGGGATGCGAACATTTTTATTAGCCTTTACATGCCTCTGAAGAGTAGTATGTGGTAGTAAATCTTTGGACTGTCGTTCCTGAATTTTGTCTTTTACATAAGATAATGGTTTAAAACCCTCACTGTTATTGCCAAGCCTTGAAACAAAACTCACAGGCTGCCGAAGTCCACGTTTATCAAGTAGAAGTTCACTTGGACATTTTTCAAAAATTAAAACTCGTTCTGCAACTGATCCTCTTGTGAGAAATGGTCTCACAGGATTAATATTACTTCCTGTCGTGCTAGAAGTATCAGTAGCAGCAGCAGCATTAACAGCAGCTACAGTGGCACGAATATGTTGCTTTCGCTGAGTTGTAAGTTCCGGATGAGGAACTTGATCGACTCTAGGTCTTGGAGAAGTAATTCTTGGACCCCATTTGGAATTAACAACCTGAACTTCACGTTCCTCTTCAGCTTCCTGTTTCTTTTCAATTTTTTCTGCTGAAATAGTACTTTTTGATTCTTCAGCTCTTTGCTGAATTTGCTGAAAATAATGTGATGTTCTTTCCAACACATTAGTTACGAGTTTAGGTTTTTCCTTCTTAATTGCAGGTTTTTGCTTGGCAGGCGTAGGCGAACTAGTGTCCTCGCCAATCACTGCACCTGTTTTTAAAGCATTAATAAGTCTTTCTTCTTCACGAGCTACTTCATCGAGATATGAAGAAGCTACGTTAGACTTGGAAACATTGACCCGAGTTGAAGTGGTAGAAGACTCAGTGAATAATTTATTTTTAAGAGGCCAGGTCGTTAAACCCGAACTTTGGGTTGACCTAGACAATTCTCCGGTCGGCGAAGTTGACGATGTGTTGAGTAGAACACTGAGGGGGCGTTTAGATTGGCTTGAAGTAGATCCAGGCAAGTCTGCTGGCAAAATACTTTCAATAGTTTCACCAAGTGATGACGATGGTGATGCCAGAGACGATGACAATGCTGATTTCGTGGCTATTTTTGGTCTTATCGGTTGTTTTTGTTGAACATTTGATGAAAGTCCATGTGCTGAATTACGTTCAAACTTTTCCAAAGCAAATTGAATGGAAGACGGAAGATTTTTTGTCAAATAAGATGTTCTTTGTCTTGCTTTGTCTTCAACAACAAAATTATTAACAAGTTTCTCTAGACTATTGTTATTATCCAATCGTGGAGGAGGTGGATTGTAAGCTTGTCCTGATCCACCAACAGTCAAAATATTCTCAAGAGGTTCAACCAGCTTTTTGGCATTGGCACTTGAGTTTGGAGACATCGTAGGCGTTAATGCACTACCAAATTTATCAGCGGCAGTAGCATTGCTGTGGCAATTTAATATTTCTGTAGGCGCCAGTCCACGGCTTTTCCAAGTTTGATAAATAGCTTCTGCATGATCACTAATTTGTTTAGCAATCGCTGCAATATCTTCTTCACCCGAGGACTCTCCCGGGAACTTTTGTCTTAACTCATGTTTAGCTGTCGCTGCCATTTTACTTCAATTACACTCAATTTGGCCTCCAAGCTCTTTATGTCTATATGGACTTACAGTAGCGAGCAACTGACATACTCGCCAGTTACTCCACGACAGCGTGAACAACAATGACGCGTTCATTGTCCGATTTTTTTTTCAGCTGCCTACTGTCACTCTTGTCTATCTGCGTATCGTCCGTGGATTTTTACTATCTCCAACCATATTATCTGCAACATAATAAAAAGTTTTATTACACTTTGTTACTATGCATTACCTCCTTCTCATTTACCCCTCTTTGCCTTCTTTATGTTACTCGTTAGAATGTGAGAGCCTACTAAAAATAGTACTCAACTATTCGTTTAAGCACCGTGTGAACCAACATGTGATTAGAATGATGCAGCTGCAGTATTATATCCATTCCTATATCATCAGTCACTACTTCTCCATCAATATCTCTCTCAATTCTGTTCATACTAAACAACTAACTTCATCTTGCGTAAGATATCTACATTTTCACGTGCTAGTATTTTCGTACAAGTCTCGAGGAAACTCTTTGGCCGGGCGCAACCTATTTCTGGACTACATACTCTTTTTTTTTCATACACGTGCGCATGGAATTGTCGAGCAGTGAACTAACCAGTAGGTGGATGAATGTCCGCTAGAAATATATGTCATAGAAGGCAACAAATCTCATTGACATTCCAAGCGTATAAGATGGATTTTCGCAAGTAACGTGGGCTTGTCCACCTTTAGAATAAATTCTTACGAAATCAATGCAATTAATATTAATAATAAAATAAATATTCTGAATTCAATAACCAATGTATGTGAATATAGAAAGTGAAGAAAAGTCAAAGTACTTAATTGCCAGAAATTTTATTCACTTTAGTCATTCAAAAGCTCGTCTATTGTCTTCGTCAAGAAATTTATTATGATATGATGATAGCAAAAAGTTAAGTGTAATTCCCTTTCTTTATAGACCCACCGTTATAAACACATATAATCAAGGAGCTCGGCAAAGTCCGTACAACGTCGCTGATACTCGACTGTCTAAGAATAAAACCTTAGGCCGCCGTATTTGGCAATGCATGATGAGAGAACCATGGCACTGTGGCAAGAGTCACCGTCATTACAGTCCACTCCATGAGCTCTGACCATTTCTCTTAACTGGCCAACAGTTCGACGGTCCAGGTTGATTTACAACGTGGGTCGTTAGTAAAGCAGAATAGCTAGCAACATGAGGCGACATTGATCAACGAGGGAGTGGCACTGGTGGAATCGATCGACTATTATTATGGCATTTTGTGTCTTTAACTAAGCCAACAAGCTTTGCAATAATAATTATTGTTGGTTAGAAACCAGGTGTTGGATCAATACCTGGGAAGTGAAGATGCGATAGGCTTAACTTAACTTTCGAGTCAAGGACTCTCTTCACTTGATCTTGTTTCTTTTCTGTTTTGTCACGAATCCCTTAGCGACCCTTTTGTTTAGACTTTCCGGCTTTAAATTGTATATTAAATTACATGACCAGTGTACTAAAAAGACTGATCACGTTCTATTAAACCTGACAGCCTCACGTTTCATTGACAATTTCAAAAAGGAAGACAAGGATGTACATAAGAGCGCGGCATTTCCTTTAAGCTTTCAGGAATAATTTTGTATAACACGACAAGTCGAAGCTTGCCGAGCTTTTCCGAGATATCCATTGAGAAATTGGCACTTTGCCAATTGTACTATCCATTTCTCTAGATACTCTTAATGATTCTAGAGCATATTCCAACGTGATTGCAAGCTGTTTGGACACGATACCTGGACATGAATACAAATTTTACCAACATAATTACAGATTTATAGAATTTTAGCAATAAAAGATCTTTGATTGCTTAGAATACAAGAAGAGTTAACTGCCATTATATATGTTATTAAGCTTATTTTAGGGCTATATTTCCCTTACACAAGCCATAGAAGCAGAAATGTTAATGATCCGAAACCAGTTTGTAATCACTATTAACTAGAACTAGTTTCATAAGACGAACAAGATTCTAAGGCTCCTGCAAAAATCGATCGTGGAAGATACAGCTTGCAAGGCCTCGAAATGTATTTTCCGACAATCAAATTAGATGGAAAAACAACTAAATATTTTAATTAAATAATTAAATAAGGGTTATTTAATTGATGTAAATTGAATAATTAATATTAATAATAATAATACGGTATAATGTGTGGAATAGATTAATATAATTAGTAAATTATGTGCATATATTAGAATTAAAAATTCAGATCTTACCAAACATAACCCTGGATTATATTTCCTTGACGAAAAAAAACCATTAAAAAGGTAATTTGAATTAGATAACAAGTATTGTGTCACTATTTTTATTGAGTGATGATGGCAATCAAAAACACAACAAATTCATCTAAACCATTCAACGTTTCAAAAGTTTATAAAATGTTCGAAATTCCTTTTGTTATATTCATTTGACTTAACACTAATTGTTGACTTTGTACACTAACAATTAATCATTAGACAAAAAATAAACAAAATGACTTTAAATCAACAGGAAATATACTTGATTATAAGATAACTTAAACGTAACAATCGAAGCCTCTACAAACGACACACCAACACTGGTAAACTGAGGAAACTGCTGATGGTTCGAAGACCACAAAGCAGACAAGCTGATGTTTAGTTCGAATCCAGGGTCCTAGATCAGTGTTTTTTTGTTTTTCAGTTGGCACTCCAAAACTTGTAATTAGGAAATATATGAGATAAGAGGAAGAACTCTACCAATGTTTGTTTTTTTATCAACATACGATAAATTCTACACAAAGTAGTTCTTCGAAAATTTATTAAAATAGTGTCGCACCCATCTTAAAATTGAAAAGTTGAGAACCTGGTTTTCTCTCTGATCTATCTATGACGCAATAGGCCGTAGAGCTTTTCGGTGCTAAATCTTGCAAAATTGAGAAAATTTTGTGTGAACGATAAAAAGTTAATACTCCAAAATGTTGCGGCTTGTAGCAGGACGTGTAGGATCAGCTGTTCGCGGACTCGCAACTCCAAGAGTTGCGACTGTTGGTGTTCAAGCAAGAAATAGTTCACACAAAGAAGAGACGGATGAGGAATTTGATGCAAGATTTGAAAATTATTTCAATCGTCCAAATATTGATCATTGGGAAATCCGAAAAGCGATGGGTGATTTGGCTGGTATGATTTCCAACTCTTATCATCATTATATAAGTTATTCATATAAAGTTTTGCTTCGATCAATTCTTTTATAGAGGTTATCTTTGAAGAGATTATGACAATTTTTCAGTCAAAAATTTCATGTACAAAATAATAAACTCAAAATAACACTTATTTTCAGCCTCTGATCTGGTGCCAGAACCTAGAATAATCATCGCTGCGTTAAAGGCATGTCGACGATTGAATGACTATGCACTGGCCGTCAGATTTCTCGAAGTCGTCAGGTACAAAGGAGGCGAACATGCAAAAGTTATCTGGCCTTATGTTATACAAGAGATAAAGCCTACTTTGGATGAATTGGGTATTCTGACTCCAGAAGAAATGGGTTACGATAAACCAGAATTGGCTCTTGAAAGACCTTAAATATTTCAATAAACAACAAAATAATAATTAGTCTTATTTAAATTCGGTGTATTATTGCACTGGTGATCATAAACTAGTTTGTTTAATTAAAAATAAATCAATGTAAGTACCTTGTTAAAATCACTGAGTTTAAAATTTCAATAAAAAAATAAGTAAAATAATTTATACAGTGAAGAAGGTATGAATATAGTAATAATTCCAATAATCCTTTTACTTTTACATTGATTATTGATGATAAAATGACAAAATTAACGAATTACTGTATATTGATTGAGTTGGCTGTTTCTGTTCTATCGATATATATATCTTCATTAAGGTTTAGTTGAGATAATTATGATGATTTATACATTAAAAATAACGAAAGCAGAAGAGCGACACACGAATATTTACAATTTACGTTACAAGATTACACAGTTATAGTCATATATATATATACGTAATGTTTCTTATATAAATGTTCAGTGTGAATGACACAGGATACTATTTATTGAAAAGTTTTTTTTTTTTTTGGTATAGTTTAAAATGTACAGGTTCTTTAAATTTCACTATATCATCATAAATAAATTTATAAGTTATTTAATCTAATTTTATTTATGTTTTACACTCATTCCTTCATTTTAATAAAGGAATAGTGTTGTTGTTTCATTGATTAGTAGACACATACAATTGCAAACTAAGATGCTTAAAATATAAAAAACAAGATTGCACAGAATAAAACCCTTAAAATACGTTTTTTGTTCCATTTTAATCTAAATAAACATCGTAATAATCACGATGATTTTTTTATCAAAATAGTAAGGAATTATCTTAATCCGTTAAAACAGTCAAATGATTAAAAATACATTAATAAATAGCAACAAAACCATTTGTACCAAAAATTCCAGATTCATGTGTTTCTAAACAGAGAACTAAGTGAATCTTATCCTATTTGTACCCGTCAGAAATGCTTAGTCTTCCTATCGGTGCTATAAAACAGATTACTGAGATGTCATTATAATTGTGTTACATCTTTCATCTATAAGTAAACTAAAATATGTATGTCATAATTATTATAATTATTCTATTATTATTAACTATTCAAATTGAAATCTAAGTTCTGTCACGTGAAACAATAAAACAAATTTATTTATTATATCCAGAGTAACTATATGCTCATGAAAATTCTAATAATTGCTACATATTCCCGGCATTCACGTACTCTGGATCGAGAGACTTAAAAAAATTTGTTAAAAAATTCAATTAAAGTAAAATACACTTGTATTGAAGTGGCCTATGTCATCTATAATTAGTCTTAGTTGAACCACATGTTATGAAAGAATTCTCTATTAACTGCATTCGTGAAATTCATGTTAATTTCCACACTGCCTCTAAATATTTGTTATTATGTTCCACATGTATCATGTTCCAATTGTGACTAGAACAAATTATTTTATGTAAGTAAATGATCTATCAATAACTGGGAACGTACTACAATCACTTCCAAAAACGTCTTCGAAACAAAAAGAGAATAAAATTTTCAATACAGCGATGGATAAAATACAATATCTTAAACTACTCGAATGTAATAAACATTCGGATTCTTTTTTTTCAGCATTAAAACACATAATACATTTTCTAAATATTATAATATGATCAAAAGTCTACCACTCGGTACCACACACTCATCAAAGTTTTTTTATTAATTATATGTATTTTTGTCTAATTTTTTTTATCAATCCGATAAAATTTCATATTGTTAAAATTTCAACAATATTCACTTTGTTTCTGTGATTTTCTTTACATTCCCAATGTTGAATTGGGCAGACTAGAATAATATTTTTATTCTAAAACACATCCGCGAATTCAATTTATTCTGGGCTAGATACGGTTTGTTGTTGTTGTTGCTGTTGGCTGTCTTCATCTTTAACAACTTCAGCTTGAATGGCTTTAGTCAAAGCATTGGCATCCTTCAAGGAAATAACTTGTAAAACTTGATGTTCACCAGCAGCATTGATCATGGTCATTGGATGACCTTGAATAGTAACAGCCTCGATGCTAGTCTCTCCATTTCCAGGTTCAACTTTAGGTACTTGTACCATTGGTGTAACTACTTGCATTGTTCCATCACTCTGGATATTCGCCACCATCGTTTGGTACATGCTAGCTGATACGGGTACTGTGATAACTCCTGATACAGAAACTGGATAGCCTGAAACACCGAAATGACCGTCCTATGTCTTACGCGCGCTTAGGCGAGATGTCTTCCATATAAACAATAAAAATGCAGTTGTGTGGGACGTGTAATCACAATAAATCATGCGAAAATAATAATAAAAATAGTATAAACGTCTACAATAATTAAAAAAAAAATCGTGATTAAATATAATAATGAATATTTCACATCATTTATCCGATAAACAAAAAATACACGAGAAAATAAAATAATAATAAGCAATGTTGAGTGCGAGAGCATCAAATTAAAGTTTACAAAGGAATAATTATAACAATGATAATGATAAAATAAAAAAATAAAAGATATGTAATTAATAAATTTAATTAAATTAAAGTACGCATTATATAACCAAGTGATGCACAAATGAGAAAAAATTTTGTATACCCAAATCATATTTGGTTCATATGTTGCAATATCGCTGTATCAATTTCAAAAAAATCAAACCATTTTTGATTGTAATCTAGAACACTCTTTGGTACCTTAACATATGCAATTAAAATAAATCATTCATACTACAAAAAACTAATCAGAATACAAATAAAAACTTCAAGATAAAATACTCTATTTACAGCTGTTTTATTTTTTTTTTCTCTTGTTTCAGATAAAAGTAACCATTCATTAATTACCAATAAATGTTATGAAAAGGATAGGATCCATCTGTCATCTTACGAAATATCTTCCTTTCGTCAATTTAATTTTTATTGGATAAAAGTAAAATTGTTTTAAGAATCCATTTATTTATCCACAGCCTATTGTACTTTGATTATAACATACTTTATTGTTCTATTTATAAACTATTGGCAACTTAACAAAAGCCAGATAACATTTATTTATGAATTAAAGTACAATTATTTACTATATAATTGTATATTTATATATACAAGTTGATAGAAATTAATAAATGCTAGTTCATATTTTCAATAATATTATAAAATCCTAATTTTACTAATGGTTTCTGTATCATCCAGCTGTTGGTATTATTTTACAATTCAAACAATATCAATTCTTCATTTGATGGCTTGTGGATATTAATTACTCAATGGACTCTTAAAGATCAAATTAAAATTTACTCCTAATTCAACATTATGATGTAGTATATACAGTACAAAAAAAAAACATCGACTACTCATTACTTCGTCGGACGAAGTAACAAAAGAAAATCAATTGAATCATTCTAAAATAGAGCGCTGCAGGCAGCATGCAAAATAATAAGGGGTCCTGAACCAAATTTAAGTGAATCACTGCTCAAGTAGTTCTTGACCGGCGACGGTGCAGAGCCTATAGAAAACAGTTTTACCATGTCCATCTTCTCCAGTGAGAATAATCTGGCCATCTTGTCCGAGAGTTGCTTCGGTTACACTATTTAAGTCAACAGCAACGCTTCCTTCTGCACCTCCTGTTACTTCTGCGAGTGTTTGGACATCTCCTTGACTCGTATGAATCTAAAAATGATCGATATTATGTTAATAATAATAATTCATTGCCGATAAATGAATGGAAGATTTAAAAAAAAAATAACTTACGGTAGCAACGCCTTGAACTTGCGCAGTAGTTCCGTCTGGTAATGTAATAATTGGATTGCTTGGATCCACTTGAATTATAGAAACAGTTCCATCAGGATTTGTTATGGTTTGTAAGACAGTGGTTGGGTATTGTGTTGTCATCTACAACAAAACAAGATTAGTTTAAGTAAAACTTATTGAACAGTCATCGTCTTTGTCAATAATTTGACAAATTGAAATAACAAATAAATTATCGAAACTCAAGAAAGGGAAACTAAACACCGGATCGACTATAAAATTGAATTCAGAAAAAAAGACCATTTGAACATAAAACAAGCTAAACCGATAATTCGAGTAAATCTAAATCCAATAAAAATGAATTGAATGATTTATTAACTCTATCCACTAGCACCTGAGTGGCAGTGGCAAGAGCGGTAGGCGACGCGGCTATAATCTGAGGTGGCGATGAGTTTCCCTTAGATGAACCCGTGGTGCTCAGTCGAACAACTCCCACCGTCTGTTGCTGCTGTGATTGCCCACTTTGTCCTTGACTTGAGGATGTATGAGATGAATGAGGTGTAGGTTGTTGAATCAAAATATTTTGTTTGTTATCGTCATCTTCACTGAACGCTGGTAATAGATCTTCTCTTCCGTGATATTTATAACAATTTATAACTATTTGTCTCAATGCATGAGTCCAAGAAATCTGCAATTTAATTCAATCATCAACAATAATGATAATATTCTTCAAATTAAATTAGCTACATAAATAAATCTAATTTAATTATCACCTTTTGTTTTTCATCTTCTGATCGTGCATCCATTCGAACATTAGCCCAAGGCAATTCTTTAGGCCACCAGGGCGGCCGTGTACTTTCTCTTCCCCATCCAGGTTTTCCTCTTCCGGTAGAATACTTTAACATAAGTGGAATAAATGCCCTCAATTGAGCTTGAGTCATTTTTTCCACTGGCGTTGGAATACCATCAATAATTAGTGGTGGTAATTCATAGAGTGATGGATCATCTTGAACAGGAGGTGGTGCTTGTTGAGCCAACGCACTTTCCAATTCTTCCATAATCATTGTTCTCAAATTTTTAACTACATCTTCAAGAGGCTTAGCTCCAAATACTTTGTAACTACTATTTGGTTTTCCTGGTGTGGCAACTAACACTACTGCTTGTTGACCTACCCGTGTTGCAAATTCATCTATGGTTTGCTAGATAATCGATAGAAATATTTAATAAATTATTTTAATTAATAATTAATTAGTAAAATAAATTTCTTACTCTGAGCTTTCTCAATAGTCTGTTTTGTTGACGTTTTCTGATACTGGGATTTGTTTCAAAACTATGTGGCCGTTTCCGTTTTTTGGCAGATACAATAGCTGCTGCTGCAGCAACACCGACAGGTCCTAGGTTATTTTTTGGAAATGAATTATTAATAGTGTTGAATTTGATATATATCAGTGTAACAAAGTAATTTGTACACTAATATAGTGAACAAAAATAAAAAAAAAATAATACTTCACTCGATAATTTTGAGAAAATAAAAAAGCATAAGCAATAGTGATGTTGAACGTGCACGCGATTTGTTTATTATCAAAATAAATTTTCTGCTTAAACATTCATTGAATTAATATATTACATTATGTTACAAATTAAATCATTCTTTTAAGTAAGATTAAAAAATGAAATAATTTTGTATGCAAATGAAATAATAAATATCACACGATTACATGTTACTAATTGTAAATAATTAACGAATATTAACTTTGTGATAATAAGGTGTAATTTTAAATTAAAAAAATTTGAAAAAATTATATTTGACAACATATGCAAACAAATATTAAAAATGCACACAAATGAAAAATTGTTTAGTGATTAATATAGAAAGAAATATGAATGTAAACATTTCCATTTTGTTTACAAACTGATTTTGAACTGGAACCTGGTAAAATTGTTTTGGATGGCCAAACTATGATTTTCAAAGATTGCAAGTTAGACGGAATTAAAGGTGAAAAATCATAGGTGAAAAAAGCAAAAAAATGGAAATCACCATTAGCGCATTTGATTTGCCAACCTGCAGCGGCGAGCTGGGCCGTCACGTCATCATCCATAGCAGCTGAAAGGAGATCTCCATCTTCATATGTTTCTGATCCACTGCTAGGTTCATCATCATCGTCATCTGAGAGTCGATCCATTCTTTCCATTGTCCCAGACTCCGTACTTGGTAACGAGACCATGGTTTTCTTCTCTGTGAATATCGTCGTAGTCGTTTCCTGTATATTGCAATGCCCAACCAAACTTTATATCAGCAGAAAAGTTTGGCAACTTGTATCACCTGGCCCTGTTTTGAAAAAATAAAGTTATACAATTGTTTTTGGCTTTTAAATGATAACAATAACAATACTAAATTATTAACGGAAATAAATATTGATTTTTAAAAGAATTTTACAACGGATTTAAAGCTAATGGTATTCAATCATGATACCTATAGTTTCTCTGAGTCATTCTAAGAACCCCTAACATATGCCCAATGGTAAGCAAACCCCTCCTTTATGTACCTTTAACTTGATACTGTTTAGTTATGGGGTGCATGTATGTTTTTTGGAGTAATTAACTAAATGAAATAGTAAAAAATACTATTATGATCACGTTTTAGTATTGGTAATTGAAAAAAATAGAGTTTTGGATGTGAATGAAGGGCATCGAAGTCTAAATATTGGAATGAGTGTAATATCAGGGAGATTGAGGAAAAGCTGCACGCGATGATATCGAGGGGGTGAGGGTCGATGAACCATCGGGAAAAATAGGCCGAAAATACAAGATGGTAGAGTGATATTAGAGGAAGTCGAGGGGTTGAGTTGAATAGAAGGGTGCGTGGGTATGAGGGTGATTTGAGACTGATGAAGCTGATGTAAGGAAAAATTCACAGTAAGAATAAAAGACACTGGAGAATGCTGGATATTAACAAGGAGCACTGTTGATGGTATAAACTGGTAGAGTTGTTGGCAGGAAAGAAAATAGAGTTCTGATGAATTGGAGCAATGATGATGATTCTTCAATGCTGAAGTGCTGAATGGTTTTGACGGCTGTCAAAGGAGGTTGGCGGTCTGGTGGCAGAAAAGATGCACGGTGATCGCGCGCACAGTAGAAGTAAACGGCGCGTTTATTCGAAGAAAGGGGGGCAACGAAAATGCGCAGGGCACACGCAAAAGAGATCCATCGCGGGGGCCGCAAAGCTCATGACCGAGGAAGCCGCGGAGCCATGGAGCAGGCCCAGTGTAAATCGGGAGTTGCGTACGCACCTTGTGTGGTCCGTGAGTGGTCACACCGATCAGGGCTCAGGGGGTTTGCGTCTGCGGAGAGGCCGTCGTCTGCGAGCGGCAACGCGCTCTCTCACCACGCCCTACGAGTTCGCAGCGTCTTGAGCATTTCTCGCAAGTAAGAATCAGCACACCACCGCGAAAGATCACGCCACAACACTCGACCGCGCGTTCCAACGCGGATCGCCGTACCTTCTCGACACAACGCGCACAACAGACACCATGGCCAGTTTGCCTACGCCAGCCGCTTCGGTATCGATCGATTACGCGGGCCTTCATCTCCACCACAACAAACGCGGCAGCACGTCAGCCATTTTGAGCGAGCCTGCGCGTTGAACACCCACCATACCATATGAAATTCTTACCTATCTCGTTATTCTCGTATTTTTGTCATAACTCACCGCAATTACCTCAACTTTCTCCTTATTTTTATGTACATTAATTGTACGAACTCACCAATTTCTCATGGAATTGCGCAGAAATAAGCCAGCTACCACTGAAACACCAACACCATATACATGTATACGGGCCTGGAATAATTTCATTGGTTGACATGATCGGGGTACGCGTCATGGCGTCACTTAAAGCTGCATACCCATTGGATTATTCAGCACGTGACTCGAGACTTGAGCCATCTTTGAACGCCGTTGACTAATCAGTCATCTAGCCTAACCTTAGTTCCAAATACAGACTAAACCTCAATGTGGGGACGTTTTGTCTTGCAGCTTTTTAAATATTATCCATAACTCTTTCACTACCAAAGTAAGCATTTTTTATTTCTGATTATTTAATTGTATTCACATTCTTCAAATTCGTTTGTATTGTATCTTCGTATTCATCGCTAAAACGACATTTCACTTATGGTGCAATTCAAATATTTATAAACGTCAACAATTTTCAAGTTTTTTTTTACATCTAATTACTTTCACAATAATGTCAACTATTGATTTTTTCATGTATTTATTTATTTAGCAAAGTAATTTATGATAACAAAAAAATAAAATAATAATTTTCTGAATAAACTTATTAAAAAAAAGTTATTGCGTCAAAAATATTTTTACTACTATTATTATACAACTATCCATTCAACAATATAAAAGAATAATAATTTTATCTTAATATTAGTTAAATTGTGTAAAACAGCTTTACATATCACATCTGAATTAGGATAACATCACAAAAAGTGTGTTTGCTCTCGCAACAATTTAACAATTAAAAATTAGATACATCAATAATCAATTTCTGTATTACTTGTACTCGTAAAAAAAACGATGGTACAAAATACTGGAGTCTTTCTCGTTCATTATGACGTCTTAATTTATTAAAAATGCTAAGCCCAAGGCTTATTTTTATTACACAATTTACCAAACCATCCAGAGTCACATAGACATGTATTATCTGCTTGACAAGTTCCATTTCTGCATGCTCTAGTACATGCTGACCTTTGCGGAGATCTTCGTCCAATTTCACAATGATCACCTTTGAAGCCATTCGGGCATCTGCATATATTATTTCCTTTACATTTCCCACCGTTTAAGCAAGGAATCACACATTTTGCTGCAAGTAAACACAAAAGACAGTATGAAGCAATATTGATAATATTTTATTATTTTACTTTCTTACTTACAAAATTCACAATGAAGTCCAAAATATCCTTTGGGGCACTCACAAGTATCTTTTTGTATACATTTACCACCATTCAAACATTTTTCTGTACATATTCCTGGAAAAAAAACATTTATTAATAATAAATGAATCATTGACTTTTACAGAATTGGAAAGATGCTACACTTAGGAAGAGGTGGAGTGAGGTTTATCAGTTCAGCATCGGCAGCAGTTGGTGATACTCAAGCAAAGAAGCTTTTAGACTCAATTATTCGCGTAAATCATGCAGGAGAATTGGGAGCGGATAGAATATATGCCGGTCAAATGGCAGTTTTAGGTAAGAATGATTAATTTTTAATTGAAGTTGCCTTCCAATTTTTACATAAATAATTTACTATTAAATATTTTTATTCTTTGTTGTAACAAAGATGAAGATTGAATGAAAATAAAGGGATACAAGTCAGTAATTATTTGCATAAATTATTGACAGGTAAATCATCAGTCGGGCCGACAATCGAACACATGTGGGCTCAAGAAAAGAAACATAAAGAAAAATTTGAGGAGTTGATTCGAAAGCATCGTGCAAGGCCGACCGCTATGCTTCCAGTCTGGAACGTCGCAGGATTTCTTTTAGGTGCTGGCTCCGCACTCTTGGGAGAAAAAGCTGCGATGGCATGTACAGTAGCAGTAGAAACTGTAATTGTCGAGCATTACAATGAACAGTTGAGAGCTTTAATGGAGAATAAGGAAAGCTTTGATGAAGAATTAATGGAAACTATCAAACAATTTCGTGATGAAGAGCAGGAACATCATGATGTAGGAATTGATCATGGAGCAGAACAAGCACCTCTTTATCAAGCATTGACCAACATTATCAAAACAGGATGTAAAACCGCTATTGCAATATCTAAGGTCGTGTGACTTAATTCAATAATGATGCTTTAAGAGACTGTATATAGAAGGGATTAATTTGTATTTTTTAAGTGCTTTAATTAAATTAATCTTTATAATAAAAATATATCTTTAAGTATAGAACCGTTTAAAATTTTTTTTAATACTTACCACCTTCACAGTAAGGTCCTTGAAACCCTGGTGGACAAGAACAGACTCCTGGAGCAGTACAATTACCGCCGTTCATGCAATTCGGATAGCAAAGAGCTTTTTTACAGTGCGGTGGACCTAGATAGCCATCAGGACATGGTCCTGGATTTGACTCTGAAATAAATAACATTATTAGCATAATTGATGCCTAATTAATAAACGTGTTGTGCTACTATACTTGTGTGTAAATATTTAGTATATTTCTTTCAATTAAGAAATTTTTTTTTATTCCATTGTATCATACTAAGTTAATTTTGATCAAAACATGCATCGAATTGGTGTTGATGATTACTGGTGATACAGAACTGTATGTGTGAGTGGAGAAGTGGTGATCTTGGGCGCGACTGACGCACTCACCGCGCACGGCGCATTCTTTTCTTAAGTTAAGTCGAAGGGGAGTCCCGTTTAAAGGTTTCCCCTTGCGTGTTTCAATCATCAAGCCAATGCCAAATTGTGCTACCCCCGAACTGTTACCAGAACAAGGCAGCAAAACGCTAAACTCTGCAAATTAATTGACATTCTTGAGCGGTAAAAACTTTTTAAAATAATTAATTGACATGAAAAAGTTGATTCATTACCTTTAGGCCTTTTTGGTACTCTGCCTCGCGTTTTGATCGTAATTGACGGGGTCTTGAGAATCGATTCATTGAGAGATGTTAATCGATAAAAGTTGTAATAATATTTTTTCACCCCAGATTTCCAGGTAAAATTGACATGCGATACTTCACTTGGTATGATTGGCAATTTACTCTCCAATTCTGGATCGAGAAGATAAGACAAGACTCTTCCTTCAGTGATTGCATAAATCTCCATCTCTAGACCTAAAGGAATGTGTTTATAACCATTAGCCGTAACAATTGAATCAGTTAAATCGATATAAAAATCACTAATATTTATAGACTTAGGTCAACATGTTTATCATCACTGATTTATACATCTTGAAATTTTTTGTAGATAAGGAGTATAGAAGAAAAGGAGTAAAAACATACCACTAAACATTTTGATTTGTTGACGATCTATCCATAGTGAAATATCACCATCAGGTTTGTGAGAATTCCCAGAGCGGTGATGTCTTGCGGTCACCCAAACAGGATCAAGCAACAATGCTGCAACCGCGAGAATGACGTGGGAAAGCCACGGCATCTCTTGATAACAGGTGTAATTTACAGAACCAACTAAATGATGTTCTCCTGTTTAACGTTTTTCCTGGACCCTCTCAACTACCGTGGAATTAAAAATTACACGGCGGCTTTATTTACTTCTTGGTGAACGAGGAGGCGTGAGTTAAATGACCAGAGGAGGGGATATAAGACAGTAGATGTCCACAGGAGATGATGATAAAGGAATGGGGAGCGTGTCGACACGTTCGCTGCGGCTAAGTAACTGACTGACTGACTGACTGACTCAATGAGAAAAGGCCTGGAGGCTGTTTCGAGCTCTCGCACCGCGCGAGATCTCTATCTACCAACTCCAATACCGGGATAAGGGTGTGTGCACACCGTTGCACACCGGCGAAACTCCTGCTGTCCCAGAAGGATTGAATCGCGAGATAGACAAGTTTCCTCGTCGAACGTTGAGACATTATTTTTCACGTGAGATAAAAATTTATACCTGCGGTTCTTCAAGAATTTTCCAGCTTCACACCATCCTCTAAGACATTTTTATTACTCTTATTTTTGATACTATTATTATGATTACTATGATTATTATGATAGTCGTGGAGTGGTTGCAGCAAGAGAGAAAACAAGAGTTTCTAGTTAAAAAATTCAAGCTTGACGTGATAATTTAAATAAAATTCAGCTAAACTGTTGGCTGGTAAAGATAAGCAGTGTAATAGAGGATTTCGGCAAAATCAGAATTGCGAAGTGTGGATTCACGCATTTATTGGAGAAGCAACCGATGCGAGAGGAGGGAACCAGTTTTTAACGTCACCTTTGGTTCGGTCTCCTTCGTCTTTGCATTCGGTAGGAAGAGCAGACTGCTCGACCAACACAAATCGCAGTCCCTCGACCTTGTTTCTCACGATGTCTTCGTTCACTATACGATTATTAGGTGAGAGTCTGCTACTTAGCAAAAAAATAATTTTCAGGTCACATATATACAACTATTGGTGACACACGTGGACCAAATAAAATTGGCAAAGTCACTCTTCATCAATTGTGGCGGTTCGTTACTCATTGAAGAGTATGAAGACTCAAACCATTTGAAAGAAATAAAATAATCGATCCAATTAGCGACAACACAGAGACGCAATTTATTTTTAATAACTCCTATTGACCCCGAAGAAATGGAGAGTCGAGAGATATCTTCATCTTGAAAACATTAACATGCCAGAACCAGTGAAAAAAAGCATTGAAAAAAATCAAAGACGAAGTAATAAATGATGCACAGGGTACGCCCGCAAGCAACAGGTTTATACGAACACTCGATGAATAGTTGATAATAGTGTCCATTGTGCTCACTAAGAGTATCAAGGGTTGGACTACTTAACAAATGGCTTATTGTTATATTTCGAATTTTCTGTTCCTCACTTCCTCTCATTTTGAATCTTTCATGATATCCCTATATAAATCATATTAGCATTTTAAATATCCTATTCACCTACAGTCTCCTCGTCCAACAGATTGTACGTAAAACAGTCTAGATGATGCTTCAACTTATGCAACAACTTAATACCCACTTTGATATTAATATCCCAAAAAAACTAGCAAATGATTTAAGTGGCTTGAATAATAGCTGTTTATTGTGGTCAATCGATTAGTAGTTAAAAATAAGTTGTCTTCGTTAATTTGTAGGTTGAAGTTTATGTGTGCAAATCGCGAGAAACGTTTCTGTATCCACATCGTTAATCTCTATCTCATCGAGTTCCCTTCTATTTTTGTCTTTGTCTGCCGTTGAAAGGGCCCTAAAGAGAGAGAAACCCCGTGAGATCAAGAGCTGCAAAGACCCATGTACACCACAAAAAACCTGTCCCGCATAATTACATTATCGGTCAGATCTCGCACGACTTCTGTCCAGACTCTCTGGACCTGTTCGACCAGGCGAAGTTGCGTTCGAAAGGCAATACAGAATTCAAGATCCTTATGGAGACCGCAGGGGTTCCAGTAGACACCTTGTTATCCCTTTTCCACGCCAACACCCTCATGATTAATCTCACTTATATGTATATTAGTTTGGATACTTAGGATTTACATATATACTACCTACTTTTGTTACTTGATAATTTATTTACAGTATTCTGATGAAAACTGACCATTATATTTATTTTGGAATAATCTTTTACAATCATTTTTCATAAAAATACTGTTTTCTTTTAAATTATATTTAAATGAAAACTTTTAAGTTAAATTAAAAATATGATATTAATAATGAAATTAAATGAAAAAAATAATTATTGAGTTTTCATTTTTTATTTTTCACATGGGAGATGTTACATGGACGTACAATGGAATGCGTTACAAAAATTGACAAAAAAAAAAATTAAAAATAAACATAAAAAATCTGTTCTTAACGTTACGTAACTAAAGTAAAATAATAAATTTATTTTTCAGTACTCAAATTCATCATAAAGTTATACTGAAATTATATCTATAAAAAAGATGATAACAAATATTCAGTTTATTTTGTAGAAAAATTACTGTCTAATTAGTGCAGTTATTTCCTTGTAATGCATAAACGTAAATAAATAATTTAAATACGTTTAAGCATTATTGTGAAAGATTTTTTTTGTGTTGCATCTTATTGTTATTAATACAGTATACAATGAGAACCATTGACGGTGAATTAGGCATACACTTTTTATGTTTTTATTTTCAATATTTTAGTTTTAAACTGCCATCAATGAATTAAGTTACTGCATTTATGACTTAATATAAAATTATTTTGTATGCCATTCGCCGTTTGACAATACTCCATATAAAAGCTAATTAAACAATAATTACATTAACTACAACAGAGCATTAAGCATTTTTTTCCTGACTTTCCAAGACTTAGTAGTTACTCTATTGCAAAAAATTATCTGTCATTATTATTGCTACAAAATTGAGTACATTAAATTTTCTACTCACTGAAAGATAATAATCGGTAATTGAACAATGTAATATAAATCATTTTGCAAATTTTCATTTGCATATGTTATTAATAAAGAATAAGTAATTGGCAAAGTTGTTATTATTTTTAATATTGTTGTTAATTACGTAAAGTAATCGTACTCAACACAATTTCAAGAGAGAAAGGGGGAAGCCTTACAAATTATAAAACCCACAAAAAGTAAGAAAAATACTGGAAGTTTACACGGAGGATATTTAGACTGCTAAATTACTCATCTAAATTGAGATTCAAGGTTCGGGGACGAAGGTAAACTTGATTTTTTACTTTTTTACGTTTTCTCCGAGAATAGTACGGTAGAAAAATATACGGAAATACGTATGCCGATAATAATGAACGTCTCGGAAGTCGATTTATTTATTATAACTTTTTTGATTCTAAAAACTGCGAAAAATGTGTACCGACATATTTTTCATCTTAAGCTTTTAATAAGTCTTTATTATTTTTTTTAATCATTATAAACTTTAATATCCTTTTTGTTTTTCTCTAAGGATGTATCTTTTGATAAATGAATTTGAATGTATCTCTCGTTACAACGAATTATATTAAGTTCGATGAATTTCAAGCGAATTGACTATGAATCACGTTTATTGAGTCATTCACTGCTTTAATTAGTTTCAATAATTATTATTTTACTCACTCGCACCCTTTTTTCGGTCATATCCTCTATACACAGACGTACCGCAACATAATATAATTAACTACAGGGACGTGCATTTGGTGCAAATATAATTAATATACTTAGTTCCATCGCAAATATTTCATAGTACAGAGATAATGCGATAATAATTTAAATATAATATAGCTGCTTTTCGTTATCATTTTCTTTTCAAAGTCTAACACTAACTAATAATATATAATATCTCTATATATTCAATGATTTAATATATTAAATAGTTATATATATTTTTTATATTTCAATATCGTTACTCTACATTTATAAATGGCGCGCCAAATGAGGAATTAATTATAACTTAAATACGTACATAAAAATAAAATTAAGGAAGGCTAATTTTTTCATTATAATTTAGCAAAAGCGTGTTTCACATATAAAAAGCAACAATTAGAGGCCTTTTTATCTTCACTTATCACGAATATGAAGAATTTATTTTCTTTTTAAATATTCTCTAATATTATAGCAATATCTTAATCCTCTGTGTATTTATCCTTTTAAATTTCTTTTCTATACTGTAGAAAAAAATTAATTTCATTCAGAAAAAATATTATTAACAGAAATTGTATTATAAAAGTTTTATAATAAAGATTATTGTACAATTAAACGTTGAGTTTCTAAAAATATAAACTATAAATTTTTTTATTTTCTATAATCTATTTATTGTATTTTAAATTCATAAATTTATTTAAAATAAGTAAACATAGTTTCAAATATAGCTCTTATAAAAACAATTTTTGAATAAATTTTTTCTTCAAAAATTAATTTTTTTCATTTTTTTATCACCAGCACGAACAGTACAACCTCCGTAGCTATTAATTTTTTTGTAAATTCATTCACAACACTGTTTACCAATTAAAATTACGACGAATTATGACAATTATTGTGATCTGACAGTTAAAGTTATTATCAGTCTAGGCCAGACTGTTTGATGCCAACTCATTTTTTAACCTAATCTTCAAGATTGCACTTATGCACCATCCGAATATACTTTCATCGTTGAAAATATAAGTGCAGTCTGAAGATGTTTTTTCCATTATTAAATAGATTCATTTAAAAATGATTATAATTCAACGAACGTACCCTGTTTAACGGGATATATATTATTATTATCCCACCATTAAACTTACAAACTTTGCCCATTTGTTAAACTCTTTCAATAATATAAATCAATGAAAAAATTTTAGTTAATTCAATGACAAATAGTTTTAGTTTTAAACTTATTTATACTGTAAAATTTTTTTAAACCGAGTAACTAATTATTATTATACATATTTCATATTAACAAAACGGATGTTAATAACGATACATTATTTAAAGCTGGCAATTCATTTCAATCTGGCCCGGTTAAATATTATTAGCAGTAATGTTTTTTTTTCTCTGTAAATATAGCTTTGCCGGCTAAAATTTAATCTAACACCTTTGGGTTTTATAATTAACGAGAGACAATGTGTTCAATGATGATGACTAAGTATAAAGAAAGGATTTAAATCTACATAATTAATATCATTCTCCGTATAAAAAAGTATTTACCAGTTATACATCGTTGATTAATATGTTTATTGAATAAGAATAAAGAATAATATCATTTAGAGATTCAAAATTAATAAAAAGATCTATTTAATTTGTATAATTTACTAATTCTATAATTATTGGATGGAAAAATACTCGTCTTTACTAAAAGTTCCCTTTATATCAGTCAGTGTCTCGGTTGACCTATAAAACCCAAAATGAAAAGTGTAATTGGCAGTAAAGAATGGACGTTGCGCCCGGCGCAAGGTGTATTTAGCAGCTGCATTGGCAGGCAAGGATTTCCGGCCATGTGATTCCGATTATTTAATAGATTAAATTAAAAACACACGACGAAGGTTAACAAACCCGAGGGTTAAACGTAAGTTGCCATTGTACCGGCTGGCATCGTTGGTGTCTCTTCAGGTCTACCTTTAGGTCCGTACTGACCGATGAAAGATCCATCTTCTGTGAAACGTCCTATAAATATCACAGTTCCTATATCAATATACATAAATATCAAGTTATAGGTTGCTATTAAAATCTTTGCTAATTATTGCCTTATGTTCTATGATATTTAAGATAAAGAAGTTATTTTTATCTCGATAAAAAAAATAATGCAAGAATTTATCAATAGAAAAATATAAAAAAATTTTGACGTCAAGTGAACGTACTTATTGATGATTTTGAAGGTAATTATTGAAGCTAATTGATAATGGTTATTACTTTAATACGTTGAAATATTTTGTATGAAATTAGTGCAAAGATTTTTGTTTCAACCTAATAGCTATAAGAATACTAATTAACTTAAAACACACCAATTAGTATGAAGCATCGAAATTCGATATTAGTATACACGGTCATTTCCTTTGATACTTACCTTAAACTAACGTCGCAAATGCTTGTGAGTTTGGCTCAGGTTTCCTTTGCCGGCCGTATTGACCAATGAAGGATCCATCTTCATTCATACCCTCTGTTTTTACAACGAAACGTAACAAAAAAAATGGATGGATAAAAATGAGCATTATGGTACCGAAAAATCATAGAATATAAATATCATGTGAATGCTGCTAGTTGTGCATAAAATTCTAGCAAACTTAATCATAAACGGGATGATAATGAATTGAACTCAAATTAATATTGGAAAATATGACAAATAAATGATTTGGTTTGATATGTTGTCTTGTACTAATTGTAAAAAAAATATCTAAACCCAGAAAAGCTCAAATCACAGCCTAATGTGAAGCATAGTGTTTAAAATAGATGATGATTAGATACTAACCAGTATCGCCTTCTCCGTACTCTGCCATAGAGTCAGTATCAGATTCTGGGTGTTTACCATCCTGATGCGAAGATGATGCTAATGAAGTACGTCCTCCAGCGGATTTGGTATCTAATGGCTGAGAATACTCATGAAAACCACCTTCATCTGGATAATCAACTCGGCCTGCAGCTAGTTCACGCTCGTGGACGGCGTACTTGCCACCGCGATTACGTTTAATTATGCAGACGATTATTAGTACCATTAGGAGGAATGCAATTGCCAGCATCATACCTGAAAATATTATTCGATTAATATTAATTTCTAAAATGAATTTGTTTTCATTTTATCGATACTATCTTAGAGTAATACATTTGACTGTAATTGATAAATATTTCATTTGCAATCAAATAAATACCATTAAATAAATTTGTAATATAACTGACCTATAAACCATCCAGCAGTAGCAACATTTTCTTTTGGTTGTATAATAGGACCTTCACTACTGGTTTCAATCTCTTGAAGTTCACTCTCAGTTAGATGATCTCCGTCAACAGCTACAACAGACACTAAATAAACTTCTCCGCTCAATAATCCCCTAATCTCCAAGTCCTCATTATGAAATTCTGGATCCGTTTCAGTGAAGATAGTTTCTCCCTTTAACATATATTTAGCAAAGAAGTGACTTCCTGGGTATCCATTGGGATTAGGTAGCCAGGTTATTTTAACAGTGACGTATCCATTTTCTTTAGGGACAATCTCCCATCTAAATTGAGGAACATCCGGTGGTTGAGAATGACGAGTGGATTCTTCAATGTAGAAATCAACACCTTCACCGGCATTGGTTGTAGCACGAATATGAACACGATATTTAGTATTGGGAGCTAACCGAGGTAATTTAGCACTAGTAGTTTCGGGGTTCGTTATATGTGGTTGTCGTTCTAATAAAGGACCAAGAGATGTTCCATCTACTACTTGATAATAAATTCTGTACCCCGTGAGAATACCGTTCGCTTCGGCTGGTTTGGTCCACTTCAAATAGAGAGCACTTGATCCCATAGGATATGCATCTAAACTCAAAACAGTTCCAGGTACTCCTTCAGGAGTTTCAAAGACCAGACGGTCAGAGGGTGGACCATTATATCTTCCATTATAGGCAAGAATTCTCACGACGTTTGTACTGAATGGAATAAATTTATCAACTTGCACCTGAGTCGTATTAGTACCTGGTATAGTAATTTCTCTCATCCCTTCTTCTCCATCTTTTTCCGTCCACGTTTGAAGTTTATACCCTCGTAATTCCCCTCTGACCGATTCAGGTGGGACAGGTGTCCAAGAGAGAATTGCACTTCTACTAGATTTGACAGCAACTACCGTGAAATTACCAGGAGCTTGAGTTGGTTGATCTTCACCAGAATAACCAATAACTACTTCTGGCACTGCTCGAGATTCACCTTTTTCATTAATCGCCACTACTTTAATTTGATATCTTTGATAAGTCGGCTGATTATAAACAGGAAGACGATTTATTTTCCAATTAGAAATGTCCTCTTTCTCCCAAAGTTTTCCAGGTATATCTTGTTTATAGTAAACACGGTACTTGAATTTCGGACCATTGTGCTCTATTTGTGGCATGGTCGTCCACGAGATCACGATATTTGTAGGGTCAGTTCCGTTCCCCATTACATTTGATGGATTTTTGTATGGAACATCTGGTAGTGTCGTGCAAACGTCACTGTGACCTGATGGTATAGATTGTCCGATTTTATTTAAAGCTATTACACGGAAGGTATAATTAGCCCACGGCGATAACATGATAGTATATGATTGTTCTGTCGCAGGTACACTACTGCTCACAACTTCCCAAGAATCAGGTGTAAAACTTGTATTATACTGAACAATATAATGTAAAATGGGAGCTCGATTGTCTCCCATAGGAGTCCAACGAATATGTGCTTCCTCGGCATGACATCTGGTTTCAAGTAATTGAGGAGAATTTGGTACATCTTGAACAGTCAAAGTCGCTGAAGCATTAACACTATCCAATTCCGTGCTTGCTACACAGGTGTACGTGCCGGAATCTAATTCAGTTGTCTTAGTTACAGACAGCGAGTAATCACTGCTTAAAACGAATCGGGGCTCGATATCAATGTCAAGAGGTTTGTTATTCCTCCACCAATCGATTGTCAGCGTCAGCGTTGAGTCAGCAATGGCGTTACATCTAAAATAATGGAAATTCAATACGTTAACGACATACGTATTTTTATCTTAAACTTGATTAAAAAAAATAAACTTCGAATAAATATAAATAAAATTAAGTTTATCATATTAACACATTGTAAAAATTTTAATTAAACTAAAAAATTTACCTGAATGTTGCAGTATTTCCTGCAGCAACTTCGTAATCTTCTGGTCCATCAGTAATTTTCGTTCGTTCTTTGACGATAAGAGTAGCATTTGCATTATCTTGACCAAACTTATTGGTTGCATGACAGCTGTATACACCAGAATCCATGAAAGTAACATCTTTAATTTCTAAATCACCGGATTCTAGTGTTCTATAACGCCCACCAGTCAATTCTTGGCCATTTCTGACCCATTTAACAGCGGGTTTTGGAGCACCAAATACTCTACATGTCATAATAATAGTTTTCCCGTCAACCGTTGCCTCGTCATTAGGGCGTTGGGTTATTTCGGGTTCTAACGCTAATACGTTAACATAAACATCTTTGTAGACATATCCAAGAGAATTAGTAGCGTTACAACCGTAATTGCCAGTATCTGTCTTTTTTAATTTCTCAATAGTAATAGTATTAAGAGTAACTTTTCGGCGCGGGTTTGGTGGAGATTCCGAAATTGGCTTGCCATTGTGAATCCATTTAATTTCCGGTTGTGGTTCACCAGTGGCTTCACATTTTATTACGGCGGTCTCGTCTTCAGCAGCATTAACTATTTCCGGTTCAACAACGAAGTAAGGAACTGCCATGACTCTAAGATTAATTGAATGCGAGGCAGCACTTCCAACACCGTTTGAAACCTCACAAGTATAAGTACCTTCGTCAGTAAAATTTACATGTTTTATTATCAGCGATTTACCATAATTCCCTTGTGTAACTCTATCTGAAGTTTTTATTCGTTCTCCATCTTTCCGCCATATCGTTTCAGGCAGCGGCGTCCCGCCATATATACAAAATAATTCGATTTGTTTTCCACGTAATGCTACTTCGTTTTTACGACTTACATATTGTTTAACTGGTTCATGCTTATTCTGACTCGTTGATGATCCTGCAGAAATCACATTCAGCAGATTCCTATTACCAACTTTGTACTCTTGTCTGTATAAAGAAGTTGCTGCACACGCATAGTAAAAATCATCTGACGCATCAGCTTTCGTCACATTACTAAACCATAAATTACCCTCGGGATCTAGTGTCATTCTTGAATTATTAATAGATTTTATAATTCCTTGAGTATCTTGGATCATCCAATAAACATTAGGTTTTGGCCAACCATCAGGTGGTTGACATGTCAACTTGAATGGCTTTCCTTCTTCAGCTGTTACTGGTGTAGGATCTTCATCTTTGAAAGCATTTAATTCTGCTTTTCTAACAAATACTGAATTGGACGTGGCTGTGCCCCATTCATTTGTAGCAAAACATTGATATTGCCCTAAATCTTCATCGCGAGGCTTTGTAATCAGCAAAGTACCTCTTCCTGGTTGTTGAGCGATACGGTCATCGTATGCTACATAGTCAAATGCTTTTCCATTTTTAATCCAACTATAACTGTTGTGAAAAAAAGAAACTGTTATTGATTGTCCTTCATACATATTAAATAAATGCTATGCTATATAAGTGGCTGAGAAATTTTAGAATTTTAGCTAATTAAAATAGTTTTCACAAGGATATGATAGTGCTGATTAGACAAAAACTTTAGTCATATATTTTAGTGAGGTCAAACCACCAAGCATTTGTCTCACTCACTCTCACTCGGGCGTGGTAATTTTATAGCCTCTCGAGACTATGAGGTCATCCAACTGATTAAGACCAGTTACTTGAGCTTTACTGCACTCAAGTTAAATGTTGAAATACTAGATTTGATGATAGTAAAGACATATGCTTCTAAAATTTTTCGCCACATCTCATTTATTTAAGAACTTATTATTCAAAATAACTAGACCATCTTAAATCAATAGAATGATAACATACGTAATTGAAGGTTCGCCTTCTGCTTCACACTCAATTAAAAATGGTTTTTCATTTTCATGAGATCCTGGTTGTGCCACTTTGAACAGGAGCTCATCTGTAGGTGGTTGCTTCGTTATTAATGGTGGCGATTGAACTGTAAAATAATCAACTTTATAATTTCCGGTCATTTATAATTAGAATAAAAGCTATAAAAATCCACTAAACAAATGATTAAAGGTTGAAAACTACACTCATAATGTCATAATGTGATAAAGATGATGACAATAATGCAGCAAGGCAAGTCCACACTGTTATAAAAAATTTATTTAGTTATTAAAGTGTATGAAACACATGTAACAATTAGATAATGATTATTAATAAAAAACAAAGTACATAATTATGATAATAATAATTACGGAGAGCTATGAATTGAATGATTATCATGATTTGATTAATATCGTAGGGTTTGATTACATTTATATGATTGAATTAATGTGACATTATAGCAATTTCTAAATGAATCTAGATGATTAAAAGCCAAAACTTTATCTACATCTGTCATTAATTGTCTTTCACCTTGTATTAAGCCCGGTATTCGAACTATAATCCAAAACAAAAAAAATTATTTAACATCATGTTTCTAAAAACTTAGAGTATATATAAATGAAAAAATAATTTTAATATCCATATAAAATTGATTACTTAGCATTAGACGTATAAATTGAATTTATTTTAATGTAATTAATTTTAATAATTTAACAATTATTGAATAAATGATGCTTACCAACAGCTGACGCACATAGTGCGGACGCCAATATAATAAATAATGAACACCTCATGGTCCTTTTCTATTTAAAAACTGTAAAAAAAATAAAAAAATTATTGAGTATCAAAATATCTGACCTGTTGGAGTGCTTTTATATAACTGAGCCCGGCTTCGATTAAACATTTAATATTAATTTACAAATACTATTTCGACCTCTTGGTTGCTAGTGGAGATGAATTCATTCAAATGACTTTAATTTAAAGAGATACTTTTGATTTATGATTTCTAAGAAATGTATGAGTAATTAAAGGAAATAGTTTATTCCACATTTGTAGCAATGAAATGATGATCTGCAGTGAGTCTATATATATAGCTGTGATTGTGCAATTGACGCTGTGCACGCGCATTCGTTGAAACAGGTAGCTGGATGATCTCACCAAACGGGATTGGAGTTAATAAATGACAACATTGGGATAAAATGACTAATAAATTAAATTATTTTGGTATTTTTTTTTCTAAATTTGTGAAATTTATCATTTGAGCACTGTAATATTAATAACGGAGTCAGGTAATTCTATCTTTCATTGATCTACGTCAACATTAAACACTCTAGAGCGTGATATAGTAGGCTTGGCAAACGGGCACACCCGACGAACAGCATTGATCGAGAATCCTGTCATGAGTTGCTATGATTTACCGAATTAACGGATAATAAAAAATTATTTTTATCACTTGGCAATTATAATTACTAATCACATGTTTTATAAACTCACCGATCTTTAATCAATTTTGTTTTTAATATTATTAACCGTCTATCACCAAGTCATTGTTAAAAACCACTGTCTTCATTCAACAGTACCGTTCGGTGTGAACAAAGTATGTATAGGTGGCTTGTATGCCTCACTGCTACAGTCGCGTTACCGTCACGCACACATGCGTAGAATTCAAGCCGCGCCATGAACAGCCATGAAGACGCGATGCCCCTCCTAACCCCTGAAGTTTGTTTTTTTAGACGCTATAAAATCCCTCTAGTGGGAAGTTAAAAAATCATTTTAAATAAGTCATTTTTTTGCCGCGTTTTTTTATTACATGGAATTTGGGACTTGTTTACAATTAGAACTGTTATTCTATTTTTGGAGCATCAGAACTAAACGTAAAACATTACTTTATTTCAATGAGTAATTTTTTTATTGGAATTATTTTTACTGATTTTTCTGGTTCTATGAAAATATCGTAAGTTTTTTATCAATTGGGTCAGCTCAGTTTTTTTTTTTGTCAGTTATTTTTACTTTTAAAGATTACAATACAATGCATTTGAATAAAAATGGTAATAAATCATGAGATTGAATATTTTATCGAAATATGCATAATTATCTTGTTTATTCAAAGGTTTGAGGGAATGTTTTATACGTATTTATTTATGAATAAAAGAATCATTGATTCATAGAAATAAAAGACTTTGAATAATTGATGAATTCTTTTATATATTTTAAATAAATCTACAATTTTTAACTTCAAACATGAGAATACATACTCCAATTAAATTCGTGAATAATTTAAAAAAAAAATCAATAATTTTTTCACAATAATTTTATTCACATTCAAATTCTATGAAAATTGTAAGATGAATTAAAAGATTTTAAAGCCATTTTAAAAAATTTATTTATCGTGATTTACAAATTTTGTAAACATAAATAACTCAATCCACAAATACATCTACATTGATTCATCATCTATGACTGAAAATTCATAGACAGTAGGAATAATTTAATTTAATTATAATATTTGTAAGTAGTAGTATAGTCTAAATAAATGTGAGCAATCGATAATATCTGCTAAAGTATAATATACATTCTGTATACAACCAATAAATATCTGTTAACGAAATAAATATACTACATAAACCAATTCAAATAGATAAGTATTTTTTGAGCTATGTATACATTTTCTATACATAATAACGGAATGATCAAGTATTTTTGAAAAAATATTTTATATAAATTAATTCAAATATTGCTTTCAGAGTAAGTAGATCACTGAATAATTAACTATTTTCAGCATTTTTCAGGTTCCTCTTCATTGATGTGTTTCAAAAAAAAGGTTACCTTTACTTGCTCCACATGCCTACACAATCTCAATGCTATACTTGTACGTAGTTTCATGTGTTCAGTTATGGATGGTAGATTTAATAATAAAAATGCCAAACCATCAATTTCCTATAAATATAAACAAAATTATTTGTTATTTATTTATAATTATCAATGGAAATGAGTTAGGAATTTTAAAAAATGTTATACCTCTTGCTTAATTCTATATGCTATATCTTTACAATCATTAGTTTTTGAAAGATATCGATATACATCATCAACCGACCAGAAGAGTGGATTTGACTCAAGTTTACGTGTTTTCGGACGTCGTTGCTTCTTTTGATTTTCTAAGCTATCAGCATCAGATCCATCAGACTCTACACTGTCTTCCCATTCTCTGTCACGTTTTCTTTTCTTTATGATAGACTTTGAATTAAACGTACCGTTGTTTTTATTTTCTGTAATATTAGGACTACTATCTTTGCTTTTTCGGTCATTGAATGAACTCCGAGAGTCATCTGATCCATTACTCGATGGAGTTTCATTCTTAATATCATCTGATTTGTCTGATTTTTGCATATCTTTCTCGATCATTACATCAATTTCTGAAAGTGGTGCACGACCCTCAAATGGATCATTCTGATCTTCTAATTCTTCAGATTCATTCTTTGGTATGACTGATGGTATATAAGCTGACTCTTCACCTTGGTCAAATTCAACAGGACAATTTTTGTGAGTTGATGCCCACTTGCCACGTTTCTTTCTACGTTTTTTACCCCAAGGTTTTGTTTTTGGCACTAAAATACTTGTGTATCCTTTAGGCTTCCCTCGTTTTCCTGTTTTTAAAGGAGCAGCTAAAAATAAAAAATTAATTAACAACTAAAATCTTCGTTATTTTTAAGACATTTTAAAAAATTTATAAAGCATTATACTTACTGAATTTAGTTTTAGTTGTTTTGTAGCACTTATCTGGGCATCCTTCTTCCGAAATTTGAAGTGGACCAAATAAATTAGGACAAACCATCAACTTTTTACATATACTTCTACAAAAATTAGCCACCATATCTCCAGATGTTACAACCGCTACGTTAGCACGATAAGTATTATTTTTATGCTTAGCTTTAAGTACTTCTAAGTGGTATCCAGGATCTGGTTTTGAGTCACATTGAAGTACTTTTAAAATACGTGCACTTCGGTAGCCAACAGATACAATCATCGAAAGTACTTCTTTCATCACTAAAGTAACTGGTCCAGGTCCAACAGATTTTGGTAAAGTTGCCAATTTTCCTTTTGAGATCATTGGTCCAGTAAAACAACGGTAATTAAAATATATTTTTGGACACCAGAGAGATGATCTAGGTTCAGGTATAGGAATATCTAAAATATTTTTTTTAACATCATCTTTATCTGGTTTCTCTAATTTTTTACAGACTTCTACATAATCTCGTGGTGGCTTCAGAGGATAATGATTAGATTCACACCAGCCAACAGGGAATATTTTTAAAGAGTGCATATGAACAATGTGCTCAGGACGACTCTTATAATGATCTAAAATTAACCACAATAAATCATCAACAACCTTAGAAATATGAGCAGCACAAATTATATTTTCATTCTTTGGATCAACTGCTTCAAGTCTCATGCCTACTTCAAACCCACTTTCAGTTGCTGATTCTCTAACATAAAACAATTCTTCATCAGCAGCTTTTGAGTTTGTTTCATGTAAGTATGACTTCCAATTAAATTCTCCATTTTGGAGCGACCAACTCTTAGGTGGAGTCAGTTTCAAGTTTTTCTTTTCAGTCCAACCTACTGGAAATATGTAAGGATGCTTAGATGTACAAAGCCATGTAGTTTTTTCATCATAAATATACGTTAAAGTATCATCATCTTGTTTTTCAGATTTAATATCATCAATTTCAACAAGAAAATAAATTTCATCAAAAACTTTTACTACAGTGGCTGGTGATATTTTAGTTCGATCAAATGGCACAACAGCTTCTAATTTCATGCCAACCGTGAATTTATGTGAAGGATGATCTTCATTATGATTAAATAAATTTAATGACGTTACTTCATTTTTTCCTGATTCGATTAGTTCTCTCCATTCTTCATAAGGATGAGTATCAACGATTGAGCTTGGTGGTTCTAGAAACCACTTTGAATTTGATGATTTCGAGGAGAATCCATAAGGATGAAGGGATTCTGAGGTGCAAAATATCCAAAAATCTTTAACTAATGTTTTTGAAGCTTTTGGAGTATCATATCTTAACAAAAGCCTTCCTCCCACGTTTTTTAATATCTATAAATTATTAATTATTACTAATTATTTATAATTATTACATATTGATTAATTTAATATTATTAAATATATTTCATACCGTAGCAATCCATAATTTGTATGGATGCAGCGAATCACTAATTTCCACCTTAATCCCACTTTTTATCCTGTCACTCATACTTAATTCCTCCTAAAAGTTTATAAATTAAATAAATAAATAAATGAAAAAATAAATAAACAAATCAGGCTAAAATTAAATTTATAAAAAGACTTACTCCAGATAATAACTGTTGTGGAATAGATTTAGCAGATATTAAAAAAGCTGGCAATTTTTCTAAACAATCTGGAGATCGTTTCAAAATTTCTTCAGGAGGCTCTAATTTTTTATTATTCCGCATACACCATCCCAATTCATGAGCATCTTCCTTTGTTAAATTAAACCAAAATTCCAGTGATCTATTATCACCTCCAAAATATCGAAGCCTTAAAAGAGGTCCGCATGCCACAACAATTGTAGCAATCCAATATGAGTTATCCTCATGATTTGTTTTTGAAGTAAGAACTTCGAGAGACATTCCAACTTCAATTTCACTTTGAAGTGTTAATTCTACATGTGGAAACATTATTTGTGGAACCTCGATGCTTTCTGTTGCATCAAGATAATCTTGCCAAACAAATTCATCATCTAGAAATTTTTATTAATTGATTAATTATAGGGTAATTATGATAATAAATTTATTCATTATGCAAACTTTTATTGATGATTAATTTTGGAGTTATTTAAGTATTTGAGAATGTTAATGAAATATATCATGGATATTACGTTGTGTAAAATGCATTATTCGATGGGAAATAAGCCTACAAAGTTTCGAGAAAAGTTTCATTAAACAAAGGAACTTGGAGTGCAAGTATTTTTATATCTATATATTTATTAATGATTAAAATTGTTCATGAATAAATGCTTCATAAAATTGTAGAGTAAGAAATAAATTATACATTAACGTTCCATGATCTACTTATTAAAGCCAATTAGATGAGATTAATAAAAAAAAAAATAATCATAATAATTTCGAAATCATGCAGACAAAAGTTGAACGAGTCTTATACATAATTTACAAACGCAAGGTTACAGAAATTTGAGTGGCGAAAAGTTGAATTAACAAATTCATTTTGGTATTATATAATAATTTAACAATAAATATTGAAATTTTATGAAATGAAGAGACTTTTAATCACTCTTACCTTCTTCAGGCATCTTCTCTTGCGTTTGATTTGTGCCCGGTTCCATTATATTTCGTTATGTGCACTACCTATACACATCGAGCGCAAATGAATAAACTTGTTTCTCAAAGAATTTTAGAGGGACCAATTTTCATTTTCATTTAAAATGAATGAATATGTATTATTATTTTTTAATTAATGTCGAGTTAAGTGACAAATCGTTGGCAATTTCCAAAAAATTTATAAAATAAAAAAGTTATATGATCAATCCACTACAAATTCACTAATACGTTTTTGTCTTATCATTTACTTTCTATACACCTCACTTGTAGTGATCAGCGCATTTATTCTGCGCTTGTAAACCAGTGAGTCGAACGGCAACGAGGTTTGAATCCATTTCAGTTCCATGATTCCTTTATTTTGCAACAAAGTAGCAGCTGATACAAAGACACATTATTTTTTTTCTGATATTTTTATATACAACAATATAAATGAATAGTTTTATATGTTTATTAATACTTTATTATTTCAGAAATTAATTGAAAAAATTATATTGATAAATGAAAACCATTTAAAAGATCAAGATGATTTCATTTTTAAGTGATTCTAAAAGCGCGCAATGTAAACTTTTTAGAAAACTGAAATAAGCGTTTTGGAATTAAAAATGGAGGCAGGAATTGGACTGAAATATGAATGTGTTGTGGTTAGATCAAACTTATTTGATACTAACTTGTTTGATTTATTTTTACAGAAAACAATTAGAGTAGTAATTACAGATTTATTTAAATTTGAAAATAAAAATAAAGAATATGATGAAGTGAAGTAAAAATGAAATCAATCAGTTAAAAGTTAGACTGATACAATTCTTTCAAGCTTATCTAGTTGTTTTCTTTAGGTAATGAAATTTTCTTTATTTATTTATAAGCTAGTAAAGATAATAAATTCATAAATAATGTTCTTTCTCATTCGTCGGATAAAAAACCATCATTATTGGTTTCGTGATATTGTCGAGTTAAATAATTTATGGAAGAGTTCAAATGTTAACCTCAATCGAGGTAATATTAATAATTTTAATTGGAGTAAATATAGTACGCAGACTGAGCTTTCTTTACCAGATAAAAATATTAAAAAATACATACAATCAATCAGTGAAGCATATAAAACTACAATTCAAAAGAAAAACCCAGAATTCACGTCGATAATTGAAATTCAAGAAGTTTCATATCTTTTGAGACATCGCTGTGAAGTAGAAGAAAGTATAAACAACTTGATAGAACTTGGTAACTAGAACAATTAAAACTATTTTCTTCACAGTTGAATATAGAAATTTTCGATTCAACTAATTTGACATTATAATAGAAATAAATTTTTATGAGAATATTAACATTTATTCATATTATTTTATCAGGTAATCAAGATGAGGAAATGAAAAAATTAGGTAAAGAAGAATATACAGAATACTGTAATATATTAGAGAAAATTGATGAAGAGTTACTAGAAATTATAGCTGACAATTTAGGCAGAGATCCATGTCGTGATATAATTTTTGAAATTACTGCTGGCATTGGTGGTCAAGAAGCAATGCTTTTCACTGCAGATCTATGTAAAATGTATGCAGGATATTTTTCATATATTGGTTTTACGTATGATGTAACTGAAATAAACGAAGATAGCGAAGGAGGAATTCGACATGCTAGCTTTTTCGTTTCTGGGGAAAGAGCTTTTGAATTACTAAGACATGAAGGTGGTGTTCATCGAGTACAAAGGAATCCGACTACGGATAAATCTGGCAGAATTCATACAAGCACCGTCTCTGTAGTAGTTTTACCTCAACCTACAGATATTGAAATTAATATTACACCCAAAGATCTTAAAATCGAAACTATGAGATCATCTGCACCAGGTGGTCAAAATGTCAACAAAACAGAATCAGCTGTTCGAGTAACACATTTGCCTACTGGCGTAGCAATAGAAGCTCAAACTCAACGTTCACAAATACAGAATAAGAGTTTAGCACTTCAAAAGCTTCGTGCAAAGCTTTATGATATGGAACTTAAAGATCAAAAAGAAAATACTGCTTCTATGAAAAAAAAGCAAAGAGGAATGAGTCAGAGAAACGAAAAAATCAGAACGTATAATTTTAATCAAGACCGAATTACTGATCATAGATTGACAGATGGGACAATGCATAATTTAAAAGGTTTTTTGGATGGAGGTGAAGAGTTAAAAATTTTACAAGAACGATTACAAAAAAAACTTCAGTTACAACTACTTCATGAAGCTATTGAAAAATGTAAATAAGTTATATAAAGATGATTATATTGTACATACAGCAAAAAAGATGAATAATAAATTATTGATTGATATTAAAATAAGTTATTTTGAAGTATTATTTTTTCTTCTACAACTACTGTTCTTGATTAAGTCAAAATAAATTGGATGTTGAATTGATTAAAAAAGAGACCATAACAGGATTAAATAATTTATTTGAAAAACATACAACAAGATTTCGTTTAATTGCGTGCCGTATAATTTAAATGGAAGGCACACATCTTACATACTGTCTTAAATATGATACATTCATTTACAAAATTAACATTATTTACTTTCTATAAATATTAAATTTAGTATCTCAAGTTGAATAATGTACAAAGCGAGATTATTAACGTAGGAATATAATAAGTATATTTTGTTTTTCGTCTTTTTCATAAAGTTATAAAATCCTATCTAATATAATATTAAGAATTTGTTTGGATTAAATCGTGTGTCGAAATATTTGATAATAAGCATATGATAAGATTTGCTGATTATTTTTTCATTTGTGTTCACTTTTTGTTAATCATTCTGTACACTGATCCATTGAATATCCATAAATGGTCCATTTAATTTCTATATGATAAAAAATTCATTTATTTATTAATTTTTTTTTTAAATATTATGATAGTATTTTGTTTAACAAAAACATCAGGTTAACATCCGACAGACTTAAAATTTGTTAATTTATTATTTACTTTAATATATACTCTCGTACGAAAATTAACAATTAAATCAGTACTCACAAGATTTTTACATGGTACGTGCAACAAGATATAAATTTTATACTAGAGAATTCTTATACATTTTACTGTACATCATAAATTATGTTTTTAATCATGATATTTTTTTTTAAAGCTTTAGAGCTAACTTTTGCGACTAATATTCGTTCTGCGATCGACGCAATAATGTTAGAATTATTCTGACGATATAAAAAATTGTTAATTTGACATCGGCTCTGAACCATCGTCGTAGAGAAAACACTTTATTTTCGTTATTCCATTCAGTTACGTAATAGCCTTGGAATAGTACATATTAATAGAGTAAGTAGCAAAAGAAGACCAGAATTAGGTCCTATACTCGATGCCATACCGCATCGATCTTTTATTTCACTTTCCCTAGGATGTGATCGAATACAAGATTGAGGCTTTCGTCGTCTGAGATTGCTATAGACTTTCTGACAAGCCAGAGAAGCATTCGGATTAACTACTTCCACAGGTTCGACCCTCAAAGGAGGTTCTGCTGTGTTAGGACAATTTATATCGACCACGATCAATAACATATTGCTGAAATCAACTGGTTGGACGACATACGATCGATTACATCCTTTACTTGAATTGAAATCTCGATCATATAGTTTTGACGGACCGTTTTGCAATAAATAAAGGTATACCTGTAAATGAAAATAATAATCAGTAGTAAATATTGAATCTTTCTTTGAATTTTAAAAGATATGTGATGAGCAATGAATTTACTTCTTGGTCACAAGATTGTGGTCTTGTCTTGTTGATTAGTACTCGATCATCAAAAAGCCTTTCTCCCTTCTCATCTAATGATCGTTCATCAGGATAATCACTAAGACCTTCGTCCTCTTCATTTGGGAAGTAGTCGTATCCTTGTGCGTAATCAGTCTGCCAAAGTCCAAACTTAGCCCACGTCCACATTAAATTAGTAAAAATCCAGGCAGCAGCACTTTGTATACTTTTCCATGGCTAAAAATATTACGAAGAATTTTTAATTTTAATATTCAACCAATACTTAAAATATCATTAGTAATAGTAAAAAGATGAGTCAACATGTTAAAATACTTACTGTAAAAAGTATACTGCCATCATTTGTGCTATGGGCGTTTTTAAAGCATACCGCTTGATAGTCAAATATCCTTATTTTATCATAAATCCCATCTTCAACTAAACTACTCATCACAGGGCCTCTGACTTCACCGAAGAATCTCCCAGCATCCATTTCACTTTCGGCAGCAATAATATATCCATTGTTGTCAATCAAATAACAAGCTAAAGATTCATCACTACAATCTCTCGAACAGTTGATATTTTTATCACAACTATACGTGATATTTTGAAAGAGTCCTTGAAGTGCTGTATGCTGAAATTGAAAACCAACGACTACTGCTGGTGCTTTAGCTTTTCCATTACCTTCAAAAATTCAATTTATTATTAATTATTATGGTCATTACAATTTTATTATTAGCTATTAATAATTAGTCTGATGAATCTATAAAATAATCTGAAATAATTAATAATTTACCTATAAAAATAGCACGACTAGCAGTAACTAAAGTAGCATTATCAGCTCCTTCATCATCAATAGGTACTGAGAATACAAAGCTTTCTGGTTGAACATAATATTGTTCTACTGCACGTTTATACCAAATTTCATCGATAGCCCGTGGATATAATTTACTAAAATGATCTTCTGGAGATATAGGTTCTTGAGAATCATCAATAGGAAAGTCTTGCCACCTTGTTAATCCACTGTGAGTTGCCATAAATGCAAGAGTAACTCCAAAACGTTGTTGAAAATCTTTCCTACAAAAATAAATCTATTAGATTGATGTTAGTTGTAACAAATAATATTTATCAAATGCTGTAGATATATTGTTATGTTTTGTAAGTTGAACACTTATTCGCTGTAAAACTTTCAATTACGAAATATATATAGTAGATCTTCGATAAGTCTTTGAATTGAATAAGTTAGCATAGAATCCACAATTAAACCCATTTAAAATGATTTATATTCATCATAAATCCAGAAATAAATCTTTAACCTGTTGTCGACATCTCGAGATATTTACGAAAACATTAAAAAGCTCAGTGCAAATTCGCATGTACTCGAGAGATAAGAAAATATAGGGGATGGAGGAATAAAGAATAGAGGGTTGGAAGATATGTGAATAAAGTAGGTCAGAAAAGGGGATTGGGGATATTAAAAGAGGGTAATGATGAAGATAATAAGAAAATTATTTATATAAAAAACATAAGGTGCGATGTGATGGCGTTACCTGGGCAGGAGGTTCATCAGCCTAGCTAAAAGTCTGCATGGCGTTAAAGTGGTAAATATTAGTAAAACATAAACAGGTGTAGTAATGGTTAATTGTTAAGTGTGCATCAAAACGTAAAGATTGTGGAAATTTCAAAAGAATCATAAAAAAATCATATTAAAGCATCAAACGTGCGTGTGACACGTGCGCTAACATTGTGATGCTTTAAAAAAAAAAAAAAAAACAAAAAAAGGAGACATCAGTATTTGTGATGTTTCATTAAACATTATTTAAATAATCTAATAAACTATTTATGTCTTGCGCACGTTTTTTTTTACATTATTTGCTGATCCACGAGTGATTGCTTCTCCAAATCTTCCGGATGATAATTGGTGTTTTTTTACGAGTATTTATGATATTATTGAAACACTAAAATTATCAAACATCTAGAATCTAAACAAAGCACGCACGTGAATTTTTGTTTAAAAAATAAAACAAGCAATCTTATAGATTTTTTTAGACATCAACACGGAATCGAATGTCAATATTTAATTTCTTACCCTTTTTCTTCGCGGGTCGTATTGATGTTTGCAAACCATTCGGTTACCTTTGCATCATAAACGAGACTTTGAAATAGTAATCTGTCACAATAAAATGAATCTTTATCCAAAGTATTGGAGTTTGCTGAAAAGTAAAAATTCAATCGATAGTTATTACTCATCTAAATATAGTTCGAACATCTAAAATATTTTTATTATTGTATATCTTATTGAATCACACTTACAATGAGATCCTCCGCTGGCAGAATTAGAGACAGAATACTCTGGAGGCTGAGATGGTAGCTTTTTATCGCTCCAAAACCAGCCAGGTTGACGGGTTCGTTGCAAAAAATGCAAAAGTTGTTTTTCCGAGGAATTAAATTTATGCTCATCTTCGTAATGATATCTACGAAAATTTTATTATATTTTTAACCACTTATTGCAACGAACTATAATACGATATTATCTATAAAACTCACTTGCAATAAGTCCAATCAGGATGTACCCGCCAATTGCTATCTGCAAAGTAGTCTGTCGCATTTTTACCTGTATTAAATAATTCCATTAACTAAATCGATTCATTGTTAATCAGTATTAATATATATGTTTATTCTTTAAATAACTCGTATCGTTTGAATAGATCGTAAATTTGAATTAAACCAACCATTAACATGCGATCGATGTATTTCTTCAGTGGCATGGACTCGGTAACTACCGTGACCATGCTCAGGCAACGAAACTACCACCGTAAAGGGCGTGTTTTCTATGCCAGTGTAATCATATTTTCTTTTTACTCTTCCCACTCGTTTCTGAAAAAATACAAAACAAACTTCAAACAAAGCCTTTAATGATGTTCTTCAATGGCATGCAGTAAAACCTTTATAAAATTGCAGCTATTCGAGGGAATAAAGTAAAGCATAATAATAACAATCAAAGCGTTATTTCATTAGAGAGTAATATTTTTAAATTCTATTTCACCGTTGATTTCAATTCAAACTAAATTACTCTTTGTTCAAGGTATTAAAATTTTATTTCCAGTTTTTAAATGCCAACATATTATGTTGTTTAATATTGACGAGTTTATCAAATCATTTGCTATTCATTGATGTTGAAAAGTTTTAACTCTAAATGTAGATGCTTAAATTGAAGTTAATGATTCATAACTTACCATATCATCATAATGATATTTCGTGTGGAGTATTACACTTCCATTAACTTGATTAATTACTTCATCCCTGAACTAAAAAATAGAAATGGAACATAATGTATTTACATTTAATTAAGCTGATGGTCTAGGGTGTTTATCATTACCGTTAATATCCCTTCATCGAAATCTCTAGGACCTCTTCCAAGGTCCATTAACTCTACTTCTGCCATGTCTACAGCATTGTATGATGGTTTTAAAATACCTTGAAACTGTAAAAAAATATCTTTTAGTATCTTTTAATAGTCTATAAATAGCATTTAATTAATTAGATCGACTCATACCACTGGTCTTAAGTCAGGATGGGTAAGGATATAGCCGTTATTAGTTACAATAAAAGCATATCCATTAACGCCCAGCTAAGAAATAAAAAATAATTATCTTATTAATGATTATTTTAGAAATATTTAGAATTATAAAGCTTCATGAAAATATGATAAAAAAATATATTGATAAATATTTTGTCAATACGAGATAGTTTTTTTCAATATTTTGATAGAATTTGTCTACTTTAAGAATATTGAATACTTTCTGGTTTATCTCAAAGCTTCTTTCACTAAGAATTCGCATTGAAAAATATGTTTAAAGTGTATTCAAATATTTAAAAGAAAACTAAATTTTTTTGGTTCACTAAGTTTGTTAATAAATAAACTTACCATGTGTGGTAGCATAAGTTTCTGTATCTCTTGTACTGGTACATCTGTCCCAGCAACACCAAGTAGATCAGCTATTCTTGTCTGTAAAAATATACACATGTTAACAAGATTGTAGCCAAATAAATAAGTACCATTGCTATAAAGCAAATCTACTTGAATTCAAATACTTTTACAAGAAATCTAAAATTGACTTCTAATGTTTAATTAACAAAATTATATGACGCAGTATATGATGGCTAAAAAAAATACTTGATCCACTAAATTTACATAAATAAATGCTAACTCACTACAATATAAAAATTTAAATTATCAATACACGCTATCCTATTTGTTTAAAAATAATCTATTTAGTTACAACGATTATTTATCAGTACCAGAATAATAAGAATTAAGATAATAATAAGAATGATAACAATAATAATCAAAAAAACTAAATAAATAAATATTCAAATTATTCTAATATTTTATTATTGGTTGCTTTTAGTTTTTTTTTTATCAGTCACCACTGCTCGAGCTCTGAATTATTTTACGAGGCGTTTCGCTGTTTCACAATCCAATTTATAGACGGGCAGGACCTTCTACACGTTGATAGAGGGTTTCTAGCGCGTACCTAAACCTACCTAATTAACAAACTAATAAGAAAGATAGCAGAAAGACGAGCGTAGACCTAAAAACCAACGCTAGTAGCCGACGATCCAGAATTCCTTTTTTGTTTAAAAGAAAATAATTTTGAAATGATAGCTATTATTTAAAATGTCTTCTAAATGAATTAATGATAAAATGATGTACTGGAAGCTAGGCTCGTCGGTTACACAAAATTGCTATGAAAAATAAAAATCTTAATGGTTTGACAGGGAAATCTATGCATTTTTAAAATTATTTCTTGCTTTTTATTTTGTTTAGCAGCCAACCTCTCTTGTTTGAGTCACCCAGTAGGCCTCCTTTATCAGCACTTGCTCGGTGATGTTCTGTGGACAAATACGCACTTACAAACAAAAACGACTTCTTCATAATCATTTTTCTCATCTTCATTCTCTTCTCTCCATCTCCAATTTCCTCTCACTCTTCTCTAAACTTTACACTAAACGTTATCTGATTGCATTTGCATCATTTGACATAAAAACTACCCACGATTTTACACACACATAACTTACTTCAATAAAAATAATAAAAAAAAAATTTGAAAATTCTTATTGAGCTTACCGCGTTGTCCCTCCTGTCGTAAACAGGCATACTGACAGAAGTCATTAACTGATATTCTTGAAGATCATCATGATGATCATGATGCTTCTTAGGTTTATGAACAAATCGTCTATCTCGTTGATCTTTTGAATTAAACAGATTCTTGTCCCTACGATAAGCAAGAAATCTTTCCTTTTGCTCTTCACATTCTCTCTGTTCCCATAACCAGTCCGTCATTTTGGGATCTGTTACATCAGCATAAACTGGTGTCCAGATTGTGGGATGATCTGTTCTCCCTAAGACTAAAGGTCTTGCCATCACAGGTACATAATTGAGAACCTTTAAAAATCAATTAAAATTAATACAAGATGTTTATTTAGCATCATTTTATCATTTCAATTACTCTGAAAGCTTGATAATTTTCTAACAGATCATACCTGTTCTCTAACTTCAGCAAAAGTCGATAAATGTACATAATATCCTCGATTAGCACATGCCATCCACTTAACTTCTCTTACATCAGTTACTTCACGACCAATCAGATAAGTAAACACTCTCACAGGCATATCAGTCTTGTCTGGCTCATCAGTATTGTTCCAATTCCACTGTTGAAATATTTCTTTGTAATTATACGGAACTCCATCGGTGATAAGCATTATTGCCTGATTGCATGCTGCACCTTCTCTATTCACACGAAAACGTTCAAGAAGTCTGAATGCTTGAGTTAGAACCAAAGAAAAATTAGCTATTCTGTCAGTGCTTATCTCTGCTATAGCCTCTTTCAATTCTCTGACATTAGCAAGATTCGCTTGAACAAGGGTATCATTGAAGCAAGGAACTACTTCATGAGTTTCATTTGCAAACATTATAATATTGACGAAATCATTATTCCCAAGTGTATCCAAAATATTATTAGCAACATGTCTAGCGATTTCTTTACGCATTCCAGTCATGCTGCCTGATATATCCATCAAAATAAGAACGTCCTTGGGACTTGTAGCAGCTTCAATGTACCAACCACGAGTTCGACAGTCAAATAAATCAACTGGCTTTGGATTCCACGTTGTTGCTGGATACTGTCTCATAAATCCTGTTGCACTGCCGAAATATTGCCATGATAACGTAGGATCATGTTCATAATTGTTGATAAACGTTTGATCTAATTCTTCTGACCATTTAATTGCTTTTATCACATCCGGCGCACGGTCATAAACTGTTGTTGGTACATGAACAGCAGATTTATTGAGATTCACTTCGCCCCCAAAATGTCTACTGAATTGTAAATCAATTGTATTGTTTTTTGCATTAATATACAAAAAGTCTGGTCCAGGTACTGTGTCTTTTGCTGATAACGCTGAAGTTTCTGCGATATCCATTATCCTCTAAAAATAATTAAAATATTTAAGTAAATTAGTTTTTTAGACAATTTGAAGTACTTACTTTGATGGCTGATATCTTAGATTCCATCATGGCTTTGATATCTTTGGCAATCTCGTGAACGAGAGCACTTCCATCGCGTGGTTTTACTTCGGCCTGTTTGTAACTGTCTTCGAATTTTTCCACATTCGTCACGTATTTTCCCAGCTGTGATAGCTCGAAGCCAAGTTTGTGTGCCCATGTTTTGACACTATTGAGAAAAAGAAAAGTAAATTTGAGTTTGAAGAGAATCAAAATGTTTCTAAAAAAATGTATCAGTTAAGAAGAATTTAAATATCCATGAAATTACTGATAAATCGTAATATAAACGTTAAATTGAGATATTTTTAATCTTCAGCTTAAAAACCACCCCAGTCACGTGTTGTATAATCTTATAGTTTTTTCACTCATAACAAGGTTTAAGAAAAAGTCAATTGAGTTACAACTAAAAAACTCATTTCTTTCACAATTTAATTATAGCTTAATGGGAACGAAATATTTGTTTTTACATTATCTAAAAAAAAGTCAGATCAAACTTACGTGGCATAAGAGACGACATTAGTTTGTCCTGGAGTAGAAAGAACAACAAGAACAAATAAAATAGATAACAAGCATTGCTTCATCCCTCTACAAGTTCGTTCAGTTAAATCTTATTGTGCACACGACGAAAATGAATAAAATAAATTAAATGATGAAAAAATCACTGGAATATTTATATAACTTGAAAACTACGATGTGATAGAATGAGCACGATGTGGTCTCCCCAACTCCATTATCGATCACAAAGTTGCTTTCGGGCTTGCGCGTGTCGTGACGCATTGGCCACCAGACTTTGAGGATGCTCCGTATTCCATCGGCCTGGAGTGCACAGCTGATGCGTCAACGACACAGATGACAACTTAGACGTAACAACAAATGTTTTGGGGTAAAGGGAAATATATTATACTTTTTATGTACGATAATAAGGGGAGATTTCTAAATAGTCAGTCGTATACGTTGTATAAATAATTATTTCACCATTAGAGCTTACAAAATAATCCTTAAAATTGCTAAAATAAATAATAAAGCATTTGATTTATGCAGTCTTATTCCTCGTCCACATTCGTCTATTTCATCTTCCAACGGGTGTTCTGTAAAACACTCTTCAAGACGTCTGCGTGGTAGATCATTTAATTTCTTTTTATGACAGGGCTTTAACTCGGTATCATTAGTATACTCTGATGGATCTATTTCCACAGGTAATACTTCTAATCTTTCATAACATGTTGGATACAAAGTATCTACTACGACCAAAAGAAGATTGGTGTAGGGTACCTAAACAAAAGAGTATATTATAAATATTTTTGGAGCAATGTTGAAAGCACTTCAAGAAAATAGAATATACTTTTTTTTAAGCTAAACATATTAATTAAGCGTTAGAACAAAAATATACTAGATAATTAATCTAAAAATAACTTTAGAAACAAATATTTTAAAAATCTAATTAAGAATTCTCCGAAATATTGAAAATATTCTTGATAAGTTTATTGCGACAAGATAAAGTTTTTTATAATTATGATTGATGATAACAGAGCTTATACTTCAAATTTAATTTTAAATTTGGAAATTTCGATAATCGAAATTTCAATAAATTTCGATTATCGCTGCAAAAGAAAACTATATTACCGATTTTTTTTTGTGATCAGTGAATTAAATAAAATAATACTAGCGTTGACATAAATATATACTCACTAGTTGAGCAAAAAATGGCCTCGAACATTGAATTGATGAATTAGTTATTTGTTTTAACGCCATCGTTTGATTCATAATATATAATGTTCTTTTTTGATCACATGCGAATCTGATTTCAACTTCCTCTGGCGGTTTAGGTTTCTCTGGAAGGTCATCATCTGAATGTGCTCTTGATAAAACTTCAGGAATATCCACAAACTGTGAAAGAATCCAAAAAGTCCGTGCAACGATCCAGAAAAATAAATTTTTTAGATGATGCAGGGGAGTACTAAGGAAACTTGCACTACCTTCAAGCCCCTAAAAATACTGTCGAATTATTTTTTTATCTAACTAAGAATGATTAATCAATAACTTCATATAGTGTTCTATACATACAATATCTTTACACAGCCCTTGATAATCGTAGATTTCTACAGCACTAAAATACCCTTGAAGGACCATTGACTTCATTACTGCACCTTCAACAGTTCCTAAAAATTGTCCAGTGTCGTTGTGAGCTTCTGATAAAACCACGAAACCGTTTTGATCAATTAAATAACAATCCATCCAAGCGTGTGAACAATCCATTTCTGGATTACTGGTTACAGAAGTAATATCAATAAATCGCTGATAAACTGCAGTCATAGGCATTTGGAAACCAACCACTGCTGCTGAAGCATTTTTTCCTCCGTCTCGTGGGAATATCGCCATGGAAGCTGTTACTGTGGCATCAGGTCCAGCATTCCAGGGTACTGAAAAGTTTATGTTTTTCTCTTAACTGGTTAATGAATAATATTAACGTTTTCAATAAAGCCTATTGACCTCTACTTGTTTTCAATTAAAATAAATAAATAATTTATTAATGTGATTAAAGAGACTTTGTATTCTCTTTATCTCTAATTAGGTCTTATAAAAATTTAATAAGCTATTAAGTAATAAAACTATTCTAAAGAGAACAAATTTACCAGTTAATGAAACACTATCTGGATTAATTTGATGTTGAAATATCGCTCCTTTATACCAAGGTTCATTGACAGCTCTTCTATGAAGGTCTCCAAATTCCATAGATTCTCTAACTTCTTCCAAAAAATCAGATTCAATATATTGCCATCGAGTAAATCCACTTTGAGTAGCAACAAATCTTAGAAAAACTTTGTAGATACTTGCAAGACCTTCTGTGTATTCATCTTTATACTTGAACTCTCCAGCAAAACTTTCATTTGTTGCTTTAGCATCAAAAACTAACACTTGCATCAATTCTTCATTGCAATAGTAATCATCATGTTCTAGAACTGTTCTTCCACAGTCTGGTTCATCTTCATCTTCTAGACTAATATCATATGCCATATATTGATCAGACCATTTCCAATCAGGTTGACCGAGTTTCCAAAGAAAATAACGCACTTCGGCTTCAGGATTTGGGAACTCGTGACCTTCTAGGTAATGAAATCTACAATAAACCCAGCCTGGGTGGACTCTCCAGCGGTCATTGGAAAAAAAGTCGGAGATGTTTATTCCAGCTTGACGGTTTTTTTCTATTTCATTTGTTACCTTGGAAAAAAATGTTTTTTTTAAATGAGAAATGGTAAGTTAATTTTTAGAAGGTGATTTGATCCTTATTTTAATTCTCAACTTGTTTTAATCTAATTTATCTCAAATTATACATTATTTTCTTACTAACTGTATTAAGTTATTTTATAACTTCACTTTATAATAGTATAATAATTTTGATATAGAGACACATATTTCAATAAATGATTCAATGATTACCTTTATCCAAGTTTTTCCATAATTAGGAATAGCAACAGCAATTCCAAAAGGAGTTCCAGGAAGAGGTGCATAATAATAATCTCGTTTCTCTAGCATTACTCTTCGACTGTCATCATAATGGAATTTAACCGGTACATTTTTCAAACTACCATGTTGATGATCTACCAGAGCTTGTCTCAATTCCAAAACTTCTGGTCCTGGATCTCTGTAAATAAAATACAAAAATTTATTTACATTATTGTTTACAAATTAGTTAATTTTGTATTTCATCGACATTTATAAACACTGAAGTTTACCTGGGTCCTTTTCCATCATCTAATATTTCAACTTCTGTTAAATCAACACTATTATAATTAAGTTTTAATTTTCCATCACTAACTGGACGTAAGTCCGGATGTAAGATGACATAACCGTTGTTAGAGACAATAAATGCATAGCCGTTGACGCCAAGTTTATACGGTAGTGTAAGCTTTTCTATAGCTTCTATGGGTACATCAGTGCCAGCCACTCCAAGGAGATTAGCACGTCTCGTTTCGTTATTACGGTTTCCTTTGCGGTCAAACGCTGGAATGCTCACTGATGTTAAAAGTCTATATTCTTGCCAAGAAGTTGTATTAAAAATTCCTGGATCTTGACGTACATCTTCGCCTTTCGCCAGCTGAGTAAAAGAAGAAACAAAATATTCATTAATTTATTTTAATAGTACATTATTATTAATCAGACGTTCAATTCAACTGACCAATGAGATTAATGAACAATGAATAATCTCAATTGTAATATGTAAATTGAGATAATGAATACATCAAGACAAGGGTTGAGGAAAATAAATGTTAGAGGGAACTAACGAGAAAGTTAGCAATTAAATCCACCTAAACTAATCCATCAAACGTGCGAACCTACAAATGCAAGGAATACAACAGGGGTATAGAAAAAGATTATTTTTGGGGAATTGTAAACCTGCTTAATGTAGACAGCATCTTCATTCATTCTCACTCCTTGACTCTTGCCTTCAAAGTACTTCTCCAGACGAGATTTTTGCTCTGTGTGGTTCATCACAAGCCACAGCCATGAGGCAAGTGCTGGGTTCTAATAGGATTCATTTATTTGTCTTACATTACTAAGTCTACAATATTTACACCTATTCTTACTATTTTCCTCTCATTAGCTAATTTTGTTAACTTTATTGAAATACTAATTTTGAAGAGAATTTCATTGTGCTAAAGGATTAATATATCTTGAAATAAAACACCTTCTCATAATGGTTGATTTTTAACTTCTATGCATGTGAAATTTAAGCCATTTGATCCAAAAGACAAAATGATTTCTTCAGTTTATTTTATCGCTTTATCAGCGCATTTTTCTTACCGAAACATCTGTGTATGTGTGTGTCCACACAACTGGATGGTAGTAACCTTGAAGAACTAAAGGCCTAGCAACAACAGGAATATATTTGAGTACTTGTTCTTGAGCTTCTTCCTGGGTGTGGACATGTGTATAGTACCCCCGATTTTCACAGGCCATCAGCTGAATTTCACGGACATTCGTAACTTCACGACCTAAAAGATAAGTGAAGACACGCACTGGTATTGCTGTGCCATTCTCTTGTCTATTCCACACGTCAAAAACCTATTGGAGAAATGAGAATATTAAATTAACGTGAATACTAAATTATTAGATAACATTGCGTGTTTACAAATAACTAAACTTGAAGGTTTTTAATTTTTACAGTTCAGTTAATGACAAATATTTACATACTGAATTGAGTTATTTTTTTGTCAAATTTAATTTTTTAAATGATTATTTTTAATGTAGATTATTTTAAATAATTTAACTCTTAAATAACTTCTCACTGGGAAGATAATAAAATGTTTGCAAAAGAACAATATTATAACTAGAGAAAAATATCTACAAAAAAGAAAATATGTTAACTAAATTACCCTTAAGGCCTTTTAGGATTAAAAAAAAAGAATCTTTGAGTAAATAATTTCACAGCAGCATTTGTAAGGCTCATTTAATATTATTAAAGATGAGTTTTCATTTATTTCTTAACTAAAATGTCACTTATTTTCGTTATGAATTTTTTGTAGAATATTTTTTTCAGCTAGATAATTCAATTTAATAAAGCGAAAGTTATAATAATTGAATTTACCTCTGATATATTTGAAGCAACTCCATCAGTAACTAACATGATAAGTTGATTACAAGGAGTATCTGGACCACAACCTCTAGATTCTCTATAAGTTTTTAAAATACTAAAAGCTCTAGTAAATGCATCAGTCAAATTGGCGACCTCTAATGGATCCAATTTTTCCATCATATTTCTGAAGGTTTGTAAATTTTCTGGAGTAGCTTGAATTAATTTATCCTTGAAGCAGGGTACGACCTCGTCGGTTTCATTGGTGTATTGTAAAACCGTTACAAAATCATTGTTAGATAGCGTGTCTAAGATGGAGTTAACGACTGCCTTAGCTAAAATAAAAATCAGTTATTCAATTATTATCAATAAAAAAATTCATTTCTTATATCTTTTGGCTTGAAAATGATCAAATGTTAGCAAGAAAAGCCTGGATAAATTGCTTATTATCAAAATGATGCACTCCGGAAAAATCAACGAGTGCTGAATAAGCACTCAAATCATCAAGATATTAAAGAATTAAATAGCATGACACAGTGAATTCTTACCAATAGTGTATCCCATCCCAGTCATACTGCCACTAGAGTCTACAAGAATAATCATATCTTTGCTGCAAGTTGCTGCTTCAATAAACCAACTTCTTATTCTACAGTCATAAAGGTCAGCAGCATCATCAGTAGGATTTTGGGCTGTTTTCCACTGCATTGCTGGATATTGACGGAGCATTCCAGTTATAGATCCAAAGTATTGCCAGGATAAAGCTGGATCTGACTGGTAATTTTGTCTAAACACATCATCCAATGCTTCTGACCATCCAATAGCTTCTTCGACTGCTGGGCCAAAATCATAAACATTCGTTGGTATGTGCACCGACGAGTGGCTGGTATTCACTGGGATGTTATAAAAGTGAGAATCTGGGTTTAGCTCCATTTCTCTAAAATTAATAATTTATTCATTCATATTTTTGGTTTATGGAGTATACAAACATTACTAGAGCCTTGTAACAATACTTTATAAATAGATTTATAGAGTTTTGCAAGACAATCAACGTCAAATTATTTCTTCTGAAGAATTTTGACAGGCTGTTGTTCTTAAATTGTAATGAAACTTCTGATTTAATTTGTTTAAGATACTTATGCAATCTAAACATGTCAAATTTGCAATACTCTTTTAATATTCTAATGAATACATGTAACAGTGAAGCCTGTTTGAAAAGGAAACATGAAAATAGCATGAATAATATAATAGTTGTCATTTTTCTTCAGATGACATTTAATTATCTTCACTTGAAAATAAGTAAGAATACATTTTTCTTGTTTTAATTTAAATATGCATTAGTTGAACAATTTAGATGATTTATTAAAAATGTAATATTTAATTTAAAAACAAATCATGTAAATTTTGTTCTTATTATATGAGTTAAGTTCTGATAAAAATGACAAAGAGAGTCGTAATTACCTATAACGATACATATTTTTCTCTATACTTTTTGGTAAAGTAGGAGGTTTTTTTCCAACCACTGTGCTATACTTTCCTGAGTAGTAGGTAATGTTTGTAACAATTGTAGAATTCCATTCTTCAGCAGCTTCTTCAGCTACTTTAAGGATACATTTCACAGCATCCATTTTACGTCTTAGCATACGTCCTACGCTTTCACTTATTATGTCAATAAGCTCTTCTCCAGATTTATCTTCCACACGAGTATTCATAAGTTTATATTTCTTTAAAATTGAAGAAAAGATTTAATGAGACTAAATGATGAATGAAAACTTAATGACAACAAATTATAAGTGATAATTTATTCTTGAAATGGTCAGTTTTATACGGTTGTTATCAGTATTGTTAAAATTATTTACCATTAAGATCAACATTGTAATAGATAGAAATGATTTCAAACATTGTCTTCTATGAATCAGTTAAAACTGGTAATTTTACAGTACATATTTATAATAAGTTACGATTCAGTCAATTTTTATTAAGGTCAGTCAGAGAATGTAAGTATTTTGTTTACTTCTTATTTATTTTATCATGTAACTAATTGTTATAAGAATTAGCTAACGAGTTAAGTTAGAAATTTGTCATCTTCCCTAATTTCTTTTTAATCTTATTGTTCGTAAAAATAGTTGAAACGCATTCAATACGTACAGTTTTAAGTTCATCAGGTCTTGCTACAGCATTAGCTAGTTCCCATAATTCAGAACCAAGATTCTCTGCCCAACGATCAACACTGAAACAAAAGAAATTTCAATCAGGCTTTAATTTTAATTTCTCTTAATAGGTTTATTTGTAGTACATAATTATATCAATATTAAGTCAGAATATAGACGATTAGAAACTTACATTTGTCCATTTCGAGCAAGACTCCCGCCGGCTATAAATAATAATAACAAAATTCTTAACGAAAGATAGCACATAACTATTTATTAATTAATACTATTTCTGGCTGTTATATCACGTGTTTTATCCAAAAAGTTACTATGTGTGATTGTAAATGATTTCCATTGCTTCTACTACTCGCTAATGCCGCACCGGCTACAGCCATCGAACGAAATCTGATTATTTTTGGTACACAAGACAAGCCGGAACGTCGGTTACTGTGGATATATTTATAAAATCCTAGTTTCACGTGTTCGCTCAATATTGGGTTATTGTAACAGCAATACATGTTGTAATATATTTTTTCTGTACAATAAAAGATGAATTTTTTAAAATTGAAATTTATTCATTTATTTATAGCTCATATAATATTTATAGGTCATATAAACACCATGATCGTAGACGACCTTGTAGTATGTACATAAGAAAAAAAATAATTGAAATAGAATGTAAACAAAAGTGATACAACTAATAATTTAAATTTTATCGTATGTATTTATGTATTCTTGTTAGAAAATATCGTAATCTTATATTGACTGATTGTTTGATTTCAATTATTATTTCATAATATTTTTTCTGTTAAGAGATAAGAAAAGAAATTTTTTAAATTTATCATTTCACTTTCTCAAGTTGTGATTTTTTGGTTAGATTTTTCCTTGAAAAAATGGAGAAATTTGAAAATATGTCGATTTTAAATATTATATGTGTTATTGAATGTTCATAAGTTATTATTACTATAACGATCGTTAATTATAATAATAGGTTAATTAAGTAATTATTTGTATATATAACATGCATAAACATGACCAGCAATAATATTGTAAAGAATACATGGTTTTTGATATCATTTAATTTGCTCATTAAACATTATCATTCATTATAAATAAGTTCATACGTAATTATAATGCTATCGGTCATGAAACAAGTTATTGTTAAATTTTAATGATAGAAAAGGTAAAAAGTATGCAAAATTCTGGATTCTTACAAATTTACGAGTAGACATGTTCAAGAGTACGACGACCTATGAGACATCAATCTACACGCATTGAGATGATGCCATGTGTCAACGGTCGTACCCATGTCGGGGGTAATATATGGATTGATATTGATTTTAACGTAGAGTGGAGACCATGTGTTTAATGGTTCGAAGTTTCGTACTTAAGCCTGTGACCGGCCGGTAGTTATGGAGTGTCTACGTGCAGGGCAACTACATCAGTAAGATGTCACCTGGAAATACTGAGGCTTCGGAGTTTAGTTCTATTCAGTTGTGTATTACTCCTGCTGAAAAGAAGAGTGATTTTAGCAATTCTAAATCATTTTATGGTGCGTTTGTGGTGTTATCAATCATTCAAATCATTTTTTATATATTAAAAATACTCAGTTTTGCACGTTTTTTTTGTATGTTCTGAAACAAAAGTTATTTTTCCGTTAGTTTGCTTTGCCAAATTTCATCAGGTTAATATTTTCAATATTTTCGTTCTTTCGGATACTTTTAGACAGAAGTATAGAAAGTTAACTCTCTAGAAAAATTGAAAATCGTTGAAAAGTGATATTGATAGTTCATTAAAAAGTGGATATTCTTTGATGTTTGAAACAATGAATAGAATTTTTTTGTTTGTGATTAATCAAGTAAACGAATTAGTCTGAGTAGTTGTATAAGATGGTAACATTTTTGGAGTAATTAAATTAACCAAAAAATCGTGGATCTTCATCCTAATAATCACATGTCATATATGATGACTCCTAAAATAAGTAAATGTGTCAATTGTTCAAAAGTCAAGTAATAATACGTGTTAAATGGAAGTATTGACTAATTTAATAATGTACTATCAATATAATTTTTTATCACAATCAATAAAATCAATCATTTAATAAAATATAAATTTATAATCGATAGAATACTTCTATTGAATGACATAAAATCATATTAATGTATATTTAAAAAACCCATTCTTTATTCATATAATAAAGATAAAAATCCAAGCTTTCATGACATAAAAAAATGCTTCTTCAAAATGTACATATTTAATTTTATGTGAAAATAGGAGAAAAAATTTTTATTTAATTAACTTATCAATAAGATCAATCCATGCGTCATAGTTGAGCATAAAAAATGTCGTTGTAGCTTTAATAACATTCGTTTGATCATAGTAATAAATACTTTTTTAGACATACTATTAAACAGACCAATTTTTACGATCAAGATATAGTTTAAACTTTGCGTCTATATACTACATAAAAACATTCATTTATTTAACAAAAAAAAAACAATTACTTCAATGCAAAAATTTTATTGATAGATGAAAATAATCTTCAACTTTATTATGACTTCCTTAAATTAATTACATTATTTAATGCGTCATAGACCATCATTAGACAAAATAAAAAAGGTTGTTGTAATGTTCATAGATTTCAGTGTGTTATAATAAAAAATATATCTTCTTAAACGCACCAACTTTTATGATCAAATTTAATTTAAACTTTACATTACTCTTAATAAAATGGAAGTATTGAATACCAGTCCCAATCAGGGTCCATTGATTTAAATAAATTAATAAAATAAATAAATAAATAAAATAATTATGATGTTGCGTTATAATAAAGTGTAAAACTTATTTTTAAAAAATGAAAAATATTAAGAAATTAATAGTCAAGTACGGCAATTCGTGTTTTTTAAATGTTTTTCTAGGATTTTGAAATCGATAATTTTAAATTTGATCAGGTGTTTTCTTGTATCATGGATGCTTGGGCTATCAAGTAATGGAGCTCTGATATGATGCTATTTTGATAATAAATATAAATATATAATTCTAAATTGTCACAAGAACTCGATTAAAAATTTTTTTAAACTAACGAACTACTGAATTACCTGCGTTCACGCGGCTTAATGGTAATACATAATAGGACAAGATTGTTACGAATTAACGTTAAATTAGTATAGATTGATTGACCGGATGACCGCGACCTTTTGCAGATGGTAGCGTGAGCCATTCGTCGTGTGAACCTCAACCGTAAACCATCAGGGTTAATTACTTTTGACAGTAGCCGTAGCCACTGCATCATTTCAGTATTACTCGATATTTATCATCATTTTATTAATTCATTTCCTCCGGAAAAGTCTTTACAAAATAATAACGTTTTGTGTTCACTTTAATATCTTATTTCTGTATATGATTACTTAGACAAATTTTTAACTTTTACTTAAAATATTTCAGCATAATTGTTTTTTTGTATCATTGCTAAATTTTTCTTGATGACTCAAAATTGATTCAGGTTCCAATTACAATTCTATGGAACTCTTTTGTATGAAATAGAATACTTTATCGACTTTGTATTGACTGTTATTAATATGAAAAAAAGACGAAAAAACAATTGACATATCTGAAATAATCATGACAATTTTTTATATAAAAAACTTAACATTGAATTAATAATTATCATCACGAATGATTGAGGTGTTTTTTAATTACTAAATATAAGTGCACATTCAAGAAACGATATGTTTTTTTAGGCTAACGAAGAAATAAACATATTATCACTTCAAAATGCTCTCTGATCTTCAGAATCGATTTATTTCTAAGAATGCAAACGTGTATTGACGTTGAGAAAACATTTAGAAGTTGCGAATTTACATTTATTCGAATGGCATTCATTCTATTATTAACATTTTTTGTTAAAAAAAACTCAGAAACGTGATATGAAGAATCAAATGAAAGCTAGACAGATTCAATTAATTCATGAAATAATCAAGTTTCGTAATAATGGCGGCATGCAGTTTTTGAAGATTAAAGAATGACACAGACGCTTCAAATCGCGCGTTTTTTATCGTTGCTGACACGCAGTTAACGTCATATTACCAAGAATACATATCTTGAAAAAAAATATTCTAACCTTAACGGATGCATTTTCCCACATAACAACATATTTCAAATAAAAACGATTCTATTTCAATCTATTATTAATTCTAAGTGCACTTTTGATTCTTTTCAATTCAGTTTTACAAATATAAAACATTTTTTTGCCTACATAAACAAATTAAATGAAAATGTTTCAACCATTTATTGCTCAATGCATTTCGTATAATAGGTTAGTGCTAGAGGGAGATGAACATAGGCATAAGGCGCGATCAGCTGTTTGAATGTTGATAATCACATAAAACTCGGGCTTCACTGAATCTCAATGTGTTTTTTGTTTATCGATTAGTCTGGTCGGCTTTTTACTGATATTTCTATAAAACTGATGTGAACAATTCTTAGCAAAATGATTTATAAATTATCAGGACCATTGTCCTTGAAGAAATTATGGCTATTGGTGATCCAACTGAGCACTTGTAAGTTTACTGTACTCTGAGTTGTGCTGTAGATTGTCAGAGATACTAATTGTACGTTGTTTTATCTTTTTCTTTGATGATAATTGTTGTATCAATGATACGGGCTGGTAATAAAACTCTTGACTTCCTGTCACGTTCGAAGTCAGTTGTAATTTCATTTATGAAATTTCTTCATCCGTTTTATACACTCCTCTTTAGTAGTTAATTTGATTGAAGCTGTTAAATTAGTTTATAAATCGGTTAACAAGGATTTTGTTAGTGAAGTGATTTAAATAATTTATTATATAACATATTTGAGTGATTTTTATGTTATTCAATGTCATTAATTCGGTTTCTCTTTCAGGTCGTCGAGCCATGGTAAACAAAATTTTATGTCGAAAAATAAGTCGAGTTTGGCTGCAGTCAAAATCAGACGTAGTGCATGCACGATCATTTTCTGAACCAAGATGTCAAAGGCACGTAGCAGCTTGGTACCTTTCATATCGCTGGATGATATGTCTCTCATGGATTACAATTGTCATCTGTTCCCTGTGGGAACTTGGTAGTGCCAAACCTCAAGGCAACAATCACAAATGGGCAATTTACCTCACCAGTTGGGACTTGATGTTTGGTGTCACACAATCAATATTTGGAGCATTTCTAGTTACTAAACGATGGAAACTTCAAAAGACTGTTGGATTTGATGCGACTAATTTAGAAATGACAAAGTTAGCAAAAGTTTATTGGTTTTTATATACAGTTACTTCAACATTAGCAATCGCTGTGACTGTCGCTTATTGGGCAGCTGTCTATGATTCAAAGATTCATCATATAGATCCTCTTAATATTATGCTTCATGTATGTAATAGTTTACTGATGATAGCAGACTTGTGTGTTGCCAATGTTCCTATTAAGTTGAAACATTTTTGGTGGTGTGTGGTGATAGTCCTTATTTATTTAGTTTTTTCGGTAATTTATTATGCGGCTGGTGGCCTTGATAAACGAGGCTACCATTACATTTATAAAGTATTAGACTGGAAAAAACCAGGAATGACTCTTTTAGTTGCAGCAGGTGGGATATTTTTTTTAATAGCTGTTCACTGCCTTCTTTGTTATTTAGCAGCTTTATGGGATCGAATGCTTGTGAAAGGTAATAAATATACGAAAAATTCACCTACGTCACCTACTAATGAGCAATTACAGAAACCTAGAGATGTAGAAATCGTATGAAATTGATCAATAATTCTGTAGATCTTCCATGCTCATTTTATAATATGATAATTAGATAATTAATTAATAGATACATCAATAACATGAATAATAATAGAGTGAAGATACGAATAATTTTGTCGTATGTTGATTGTATGTATAAGTAATTTTAAAACTTATTTATATGTTAATATCATTACTGTTAAAATATTTCCGTCATTCCAAAGAAGGAATAAATCCCAAAGAAAGTATTATTATTTGTTATTTATACTAGAAAGAAATTTTTTTGGTACTAGGGTATTTTTTTATTCAAAAAATAATAATTTTCCGTGAAAATTAATTAGAAGATTGAATTTTATATATTTTCTAAAAAAAACAAATTATGTATTTACCAAAGTATATTGATTTTTTGTGTTCGACTTTGGAAATAAGTATGATGAATTTTCAATAAAGACTTAGGTATAAATGTATTTAATATAAGTAATTGGTATGTACAAATATATCAATTGACAAAGAAATTAATAACAACATTTATGGAAAAATATCAACGTTTTATTAATAAAAAATAACAATTTAAAACTAATAATGAGCTGATTATATGTGAATGCAGGCTAAATGATGCCATTGTTTGATCACAGGCAATGTCAAAAATCTAACTAATATACATATACATATTAAAATAAAAGTAACGATTGTCACTCAAGATCGCGTAGATTCATGGCTGTTTCTGGTGCAGCTGAATCCAGCAATAAAATTGGAGTTCCAACCATATCATCTTCATAATACATTGATGTCAATTCTTCATGCAAGAAAAAACCTTCTCCCAAATCGGCTGAACCAAGAACAACATCTGATGGTCCAACAATAGAATTCAGTGTTGCATTATTTTTTTTCATTTTTCGTATATCTGAATAAACAAGTCCTGTTCTAGCTGCTCCATGATTCTTTTTAACCTTTTGATCAATATCACTATGAGCAACTGTGCATTTTTTCACAGAACTTTGCGGTGGTGGTTTCGGCTCGGGTAAACAGGATGTATCTAGCGACACATTAGCTATTTCAGAATCAACAGCAATTTGTGGTATTTGAGCATTATCTTCACCAGTAAATAGCATGTAATCCATTTGTGGTGTTAGGGATGCTTCTTGTTTTGTTCGTTCGCCATGACATTTAACCATGTGTGTTCGTAGAGATGCTTTTGTCATGTAGGATCGTAAACATGTATCAACAGGACAAGTAAACTTTAATTTTGGTGTAGCTATGTGATCAACTCCTATATTATCATTAGAAATATCATTGGTAGATTCAACATTAGCTTTGACCAGTAATATTTCTTGTGATGATTCATTAGTAAGATCTGCTTCCAATTCAATTGGTAATTCATTGTAAAAATCTTCTAAATTGTCTTTCTCTCCAAAACTTAATTTAGCATCTAATAATGACTGTACTGCTGCATTATCTAAAGCTTCTTTGCTTGTCTGGTGCTTTTTTATATGAACATAGAGACTACTTTTAGCAGAAAATCGAGCATCACACAAATAACATTGAAAATAACGGCCTTCAGTATGTGTTAATTTATGCTCTTTTAAATGCTCTGAACGCATAAAAGCTTTGCTACATCCATCAACATCGCACACAAATTTCCGATCATTAGTATGTTTTTTTTCATGTCTCTTCAATTTGCTAGATGACGTAAAAGCCCATGGACAACCTGGAAACTCGCAGAGATAAGGTTTAGATCCTGTATGAGATCGCAAATGTGCTTTTAATCTACATGGCTTATCGAATATTTTTCCACATCCTGGCCATGAACATTTAATATCAACTTCTTTATAACTATGGCATCTTTGATGAGATGTTAAAGCATTACTGCTGTAATAACGTTTGCCACATCCTTCATGAAAGCATACGTAAGGTGCATGACTTTGATCATGAGTTTTCATGTGTAACTCAAGAGCTCGTTTAGTTTGAAATTTTTCGTCACATTCAGGAACTTGGCAAACTATTCTGTTCGGTCTTGTATGTAATTTTTCATGCGTCCATAAATTGTATACTGTTGTAAAACGCTTGTTACAATCTGGCACTTGGCAAACATAATCTTTGCGTTTTAAATGCGTCTCCTTGTGTCGTTTCAACTTGAATTCTGAATGAAATGCCCAAGTACAACCTTCATAGTCACACTAAAAAATATTTATAATTAATTAATTTTAATGAATAAATAATGACTAATAAATTAAGTAAACACAACTAACCTTGAACGGACGAATCCCATGATGAGCTAATAGATGACTTTTAAGCGCATACAATCTATTGAATTCTTTTCTACATTCTTCTCTGGGACAAATCCACGTTCTTCGATTTTCAGGAAGAATTACAGAGACCAAACTATCCTCAGTGTATCCTAGCTCTTCTAAAGCATTTGATATAATTATTTCATGATTACTTGAAGGTGGGCTCATATCATTATTTGTTGTTAAATTATTCCAAGTTATATTATTTTTAGGAAGCTTCGAAAAGTAACCAGTGGCTTCCATCAGCTCTGATGTTTTACCTCTATAAATTTGTTCTCCTTTATCTGTATTAATAACTATTTGAGTCATGTTTGAACGTTTATCAGTGGATATAGCAACGATAGTCATAACATTATTTTTTTCATCATTCTGGCAGTCTTCTTGAATTTCTTCATCCGTATTATTAAAATTATGCATTTCTTCAGGTACTTTTGGACATTTCTTCATTATACTGGGCTTAAATTTATGAGCTTCTTTTAATTCTTCTTCAACGATTGATGAGTTTTGAACTTCAGAATCAATTATTGAAGCTGTTGAATTGACTGAATTTATTTCTTCAAGTATTTTTGATGTTTCCTCATCAAAATCATGCAAATTATCGTGATTTTCATTACTTGAAGATTGTTTTATCTCAGAATTCATAAATTCTTCAGGTAAAGTATAAACGTTCACATCATCAGACTTATCACCAATATTATCTGTATCTAGACATTTACTATGCTTCTTTACGTTATCAGAATATATATCTGCATGGCTATTAATAGCTAAATTCGATTGACTACTGGTGGATGGAAGAATTTCTCCAGCTACCATCATATCATTGGGTGCAATAGGTAATCCATCCAGTTGATCTAGTTGAAATTCTGGGAGTATAAAACCATCTTTTTCACAGACTTCTAATAGTTTTTCACTTTGCAATTCTTGAAGAATAGGATCGTAACCTAAACTTAATTTTTTATCAGATAAATCAATATCGATGGACAAACCATCTGGATCTTTTTCTAAAAATGAATGTGACAGTTCAGCTTCTAAATATCTATCAACACCCTCGTCCACTTCACACTTTGTTGGATCCATTTCGATGCTTGATATTGATTCAGTCCGAGTTTTTAACCATTTCTCAATATCTTCCACCGTTTCAGTATCTGTACTTTTGTCGTTGCCATTATTAGTAACCGGAATTTCATATATTCCATTAATAGATTGACAATATCCGCCCCAAGACTTTGAAGAGTCTTCAGTGAGATCTAAAACTTGGTTTATTCGTGTTTTATTTTTTTTAGTTCTTTTCTTTGGTTTATAATTATTCGTACATATTTGACGCTGATTCGTAACCTGATATTCGGAATCGTCTTCGTCAACATGTTCTTCTTCAATAGTTAAATATTTTTCAATATCTAAACCTTTACGACACTGAAATAATCTAGGAATTAATTTTGATCTTGAAAAAGTGGAAACTACTTCCTCACGAGACATTTGCTTATCTCGCAGGCTATTTTTTCCGGGTACATTCGCACTACGACAACGCTGCCATAATATCGTCGTCAGGCCATATTTTCATGAACGACCATTTATATTTCCGGTTTTCATGAAACAGCAACAAAGCTATAGTGTAGTTATTGACAACTTCAGATGATTGCGGGTTTCGTGACAAAGTTCAATTCGGTTACATTGTTGACAAACTCCAAAAATGAAATGACAATGGACGCAAGACGAAGAGAACGAGAACAAATTGGATTTATTGGAGTGCCACGGGTATGGGGAAAATCTCCAACAAGAATTGAAGAGTAAGATATTTTTACGTTTAATACCGAATATGTTATTATATTTCATCATCGAGAATCTAACTGAATTCAACATAATTTAACTAACCTCACTTCTAGTAGCAAACCGTATAATAAATATAAATTTTTATTTTTAAAAACAATTTTGGATATTTTATTCAAATATCAAAATTCTTTAGCTTAATAACATTTATACACAATATTAAATATGACTAAAAATATCGAAAAAATTAACGAGCAAGCTGTTAATCATTTCTAATGATGGTTTTTATACTTATAGCTCAGATGATGATGAAGAAGTTGTTAGAGTCCCAGCCTCTCCAGATGGACGAAAACGAAAAAAGAAGGAAAAGAAAAAGGTAAAATAGTAAATCTAAATTTATTATGGAAAAAAAAAATTGTAATTACATGAGAATACATTTTTTTTACTTCATTCCAGAAAAGTAAAAAGTTAAAGAAAGAGAAAAAAGCAAAAAAAGAGAAGAAAAAGAGAAAAAAGAAGAAGAAGAAGTCAGACAGTAGTTCCAGTGATGATTCATCAGATGAAGAGAAAGTCGAGTGGGTAGAAAAGACTGCTTTCACAACAAAAAGTAAAAAAAGAAAAGGATCATCATCAGAAGATAGTGGAGATGAGAGTGTAGTAGGGCCTGTACAGAAACAGCATGTCACACTATCTGCTAAAGACTTTGGTAAAGCATTATTACCCGGAGAAGGTGCAGCCATGGCTGCATACATTGCCGAAGGCAAGCGTATCCCACGTCGAGGTGAAATTGGTCTCACTTCTGAAGAAATTGCTGCTTATGAGTCTGTTGGTTATGTAATGAGTGGAAGCAGGTTAATATTTTTTTCATTAATCTTTATAATGATAATTTTCAAATCAACGAACTTGATAAATAATTCATATAAATTTCGTTTAATCAGGCATCGACGAATGGAGGCTGTACGTATTCGTAAAGAAAATCAAATCTACTCAGCTGATGAAAAGAGAGCATTGGCAATGTTCAGTAAAGAAGAAAGGCAAAAAAGAGAAAATCTTATATTGGGGCAGTTTAGAGAGATGGTGCATCAAAAAATTTCTCAAGAGCAATCAAAGTAATCAACGGCTGTACACATGTATATATTTTCATATATTATTTATAAGTATTTTATTTTATTATTTAATTTTTCAAAATGTAAATATAATTGATAGATGAATTTTACAATTTGAAAATTAATTGTATAAATCATTCTGATCTTTATATAAATCTGATGTTGATTATTTCTTTGTTTTACTCTCCCATTCTAGCCATCCTCCAACATAATTGAATGTGCTAGAAACAAAGATAAGCATTAATAATATAAAAAATCAATAAACTAATTTTTATATAAATATAGAAATATTCTTACTTATTGTATCCATTTTTTTGCAATTCTTTTTGCACTTTGCCACTTCTCATACCTGATCTACAGCTAAGTATAATTTTAGTATTTTTTTCAGGTTTAGGTTTTTTAAATTGGTTTTGGAATTCTTCATTTGATAAATTCAATGTGGTTAGTACATTAGCCACTAATTAAATAATTGAGAAACTGATTAATTAAATTTCCAAGATGGAAGAAAATTATTTACATAATTTAAATAGCTTACTAGGAATATTAATACTTCCAGGTAACTGGCCAGTTTCATTGATCTCTGATGGTTCTCTGACATCAATAATTAAAACACTATCATCTTTTTGAGCTTGAGTAAGATTATGGAAATCAATATTAGCTGCTTGATCTCCTTCTCCTGGCATTTTATCCGGTTCAGTAGAAAACTCAACTTTCAAATGTGTATTATTTAGTGAATTACTGCCTACAAAAATTAACAGTGAAAAAAACAGATAAAGAATATACATTTCATGCACTTTACGTTTTATATTTGATAAACAAGTTATCTTTTAAGTGCAAATATCTCCCATGAATTTTATGATATTTGTTCAAGGACGGCAAAGTATAATGTGCACGTAATTGAACAATTCGATAAATAGCTCGATTGGTTATATTATTCATCGTAGTAGAAGTCAGTGATAAAATATTTTATGAAAGATTGCCCGAATGAATGTAATGAATAATTGATGTAAATATTAAGCAACTTTGTAAAGATTTACAATTCTTATGATAATACTTTCATTGAGTGTAAACAATGTAGAATTGATGTGATTGTTTTTTTCTTCTTTATCGTTCTTGCTTTTCCCTCTCTTTCTGTACATCCAAATTTATCTGAGTACAAAAAAGATAGAATTTATCTTGTGAAACATAAAAAAAGACAGTGGTCGCCGTCGTGACTCGTGAGAGTGCCCTCTTTTTACATGTGTCGCTCTCTGACGAGGAATGTGCCAACCAGTCATTTTTATTTCTCGTGCACGACGGGATAAAGTGTACTAATTTATGAAAATATTAAGGATTTTGACGTATTATTCGCATCCACATTATTATAAGTAAGTGAAAAACAGTGTATTTAAGTGATCTAGTTTAATTTCAAAGTGGAAATAATCTATGAAGTACTTTAAGGAAACATCAATGTTACTCTTTTGTTTGTTTGTGTAACTTCCCGACTTTAGATGTTTTAAAAATACTAATCTTACGCGGAAAATCTTTTTTACTTGCTGCGTAACAATGATTTCGAAAGACTTAATTAATTATTTTGATAAATTTCAAGTCTGCAAATGAATATCATCAAATAATGATAACTTGAGCTTATCCGAATTCCAGACTGTTGACACCTCTGTCAGAGTCTTCTGCTTCATCACTATTTTATAATATAACTGTCTCTATCTTTTTTTTTGTCTACTCTGTGGAATTTTATCTCATTCGTGCGTTCAATCAATCATAGTATAGTGTTAGTATGATAATAAAGAAAGGAAAGAAAAGGCATTTAAAAAATTTCATGTCGGATTATTCTGGTATTTGAATGTTTATTTAGTAGTGATAACACTGATAACACTATTTTATATGCTATTAAACTGTCTTTAAAGTATTAAGATCATAAATTTTAAATTTATGATTGTAGTACAATTACTGTAATTGTTTTTTTAGTTCTATTTAAAAAACTATCAAAATTATTTGCAGATATTATTGAAATATACAAATGAATATATAAAATGAGCTCTCTTCAACAAACTGGTAGATTTCTACCTTTTACGAATAATAGCAGTAATATTCAACGCAAACAATTATCTACACAAGGTGATTAATGCTTTTTTTTATACACTGGAAAATCAATTTATATTTTATTTATCATGTTTCCATTATGGATTTTTTATTGCAACAGGCTTACCTCAAAGTTTAAGTGGCAGTGATACAGATGTATCAACATCAAACGAAAATTTAAGTAATGAAGAAAGGTATGTTATAAGACACACTGCTAGACAAGAACCTCAAGGTCAGGAAAATCAACAGCAAAGTCCATCAAGATCTTCCAGTCATAAAGAAAATATACCAAATATTCAAGTAAAATTGGAGAACCATGCTATTCTTTCGGTTCAAAACAGTATTTATGTAATTTAATGATAATGATCTTTTCAGGGTAATTTGATTAACCGGAATAGTCTCAAAGATAGCTTGAATGGATCAAATAGAAACAGCCTGAAGGAAAGCTTAAATGGCTCTAATCGAAATAGTTTGAAAGACAGTATCAATGGCTCCAACAGAAATAGTTTGAAAGATAATTTAAGCAATCGAACGAGCGTAGGCTCAAATCGTAGTAGTCTTGATATATCAACGAGCTCTTATAATACACTTATTATTCATAATGCTAATGATGAAAACGGTTGGTCACCATCTGGCCGCCTATCGAGTATTGTACGAGATCATGGTGACGTGGGTTACTTGTATTGTGAAGGTGGAGGCAAAGGTCATTCAAATAGTCCAACAATGCAGTCCCTATCGAGTTTGCCTCATGATGAAAGATTTTATGAACAATCGAACAATGGTGGATGTCAAGAAATCAATGATATTCCCGACGATTATCTTAATCAATCTCAGGTATGCATAATGTGATTTGTATGATAAATAATTTTTATATAACTTACAGTATAATTGATTTATTAAACAGGTTTTAAAACATCTTGCAAAAGAAGTTAAACCTTCGTATAGTAGTAAGATTCCCAGTCCTGGAAATAATTTGGAAATCAGAGTCAGAGAAAATGATCGAGGCAAACAAAATAATAATGATTTTAACGATCGTTCGCCGACGTCTTATAATTCGATACTGATGCCCGTGAAGAGTAAACACAGGTTGTTAGGACCTACTGAAAAATTGACTTTGTCAAGATCGCAGCCAGATTTATCTAGGATTGGAAAGCTCGATGATGGCTATGACTCTCCTGCTACTTCACCCCGGTAATTGTTTGAATAAGTTCATGTTTATTTATAGAATATCAATTGATCTGTTTTTATTAAATTTATTGATGAAACTTTATTGTAATGCAGACCTCAAACAAAAGGTAGAGAAGAAATTGATACAGGCACAAGAGAAATATGGCCTCCATCTGAAATGGTTCAAATTTTAATCCAAGAAAATAGTGCGTTAAAGCTTGAGTTGGAGCGGTGTTATAATAAAGTAGCAAAATCACAAAAATTGGAACAAGAGATATCAAAAGTACACCGTGTGCACGAGGAATTGGCTGCTTCTTGTGAGAGAAGAGAAAAACTCGAAAGAGCAGCCAGGCTAAGGCTTCAAAATGACTGTCGGAGATTGACTGAATTGAATAGAGCATTAAGAGATCAAATTGATTTGTTATCTTCACGGTCAGACAATCCACCAATTGCCGAATCGATGCGAAAAGAATTGACACAACGAGAATTATTGATTGGACAACTTATTACTCAAAGTAGGTGATAAAATAGTTTTAACAGGATACAATAAAATGAAATATATTTATATACTTTTTATTGATTGCTTATAGATAAAGAATTGGCAGCAGCTAAAGATAGACAAGAAATCGAATTAGCTGCACAACGGGCAACGTTACAAGAGCAACGAACACATATTGACATTCTGGATACAGCGCTTACGAATGCACAAGGAAACGTCGTTCGTTTAGAAGAAGAAGTATGATTTCATAAAAATATTTGCATTTTTTACATAATAAGTAAGAACACACCTCCGTAACAACTTTATTTATATTCTTTAGTGTCGTAAAAAACAAGTGTACGTAGAGCGAGTTGCACAATTACAGCGAGCATTATCATCTCTTCAAGCTTCCAGCGACCGACGAGAAGAAACTGAACGACAATTGCGAGGTCAATTAGAACGGGAATTACGTGAAGGTGGAAATGGAGCTCATGGTAACGAGCAATCAGTTAATGGCGAGACACTGACCGAATTAAAACGGCGATTACGTGAAAAAGATGAAAAAATAATGTCACTCGAAGGTGATGTAGCAAAATGGGAACAGAGATATTTAGAAGAAAGTGCCTTACGTCAAGCAGCTATTGATGCCGCCAGTCTTCCAAAGTAAAATATTTATCATGAATTAACATTGAGTTTTTATAACTGATGTATTATGTAATATTTTTTATTTATTACTCTCATAATCACAGGGATGCCAAGATTGCAGCCTTGGAGAAGACAAGCCAAGATGCCGAAAAGTTAATTGCCGAAGCACGATCAGAGAAAATGCGGCATATGGATGAAGTTCATGCAGCTCAAAAGAAGTTGGCTGACCTTGAATCTCGGTATTTATGTGAAAACATAAACGTCAATAAAAAGATGAGTCTTTTTTATTATTGAATTTTATGCTTTTCTTTAGAATGAAAGATCTTGAGTCAAAGCTTGCAGAAAGAGATGCAATGATCCGAGTTCTCCAAAAACACACATACGACAAAGACAGTAGTAGCTGCAGTGGAGTGGGAAGTTATCCGGCTGTACATTCCTCTCATTCAAGTACATCAGCCGATCATACGGGTTTGACAAGTACCCCAGAATTAGGTATGTATTGTTCTAATGACACGAAATCGATCGATGCATCTGCATTGTCTTATGGTAGTTTCACGTATGTCATCAGTAAGCAGTGTATTGGGTGGAACAAGTGGATATGGCAGTACAGGAACGTATGGTGTTACGGACTATAAGTATCGAAAACAAGGTAGTTTTGAGCAGACCAACAAAAGCCTTGATGATCAACTGAAAGAACTAGATTCCCAGCTCCTCAGTAAGGTAGGCAGAATCTCCACAGTGTAGTGTATTCAAGTAGTTTAAGGATTTTAATTAATTTTTTATTTACTTATTTATTTTTATCGACATCTTTATTTATAAAATTCTTTTAAATTCATTGTCATTTTAAGCTTAAATTAATTCAGCCATTAAGTTAACTGAAAATAATTTTTTAAACAAAACAATCTTATTGTGTCAGTAGCTAAACAATAACTAAAAATTTTAGTTAATTTCTTCCGTATACAGAATAAATAAATTGATAGTTAGAATTTTTAATAGTTAAATAATTGAACGGTTTTTATTTATAAAGCACTGCATTGAGCATTTGTAAAGCATGAAAGAAAAATTGTAAATTATTTTCAATCGTATATAAATATTTTTTATAAAGCTAAATGTTGCTTTATGTTTAAAAAATTAAGCCATCGAAAGTAGGATATTTTCTTTTTAGATATGTAGACTAGTATAATGAAAAAACACTCCGCAAGTTATGTTCGTAGATAAATAGGTAGATGCAACGGTAATTAGATTTTTCAGATGAGAAATAAAACGGTCAAATAACAAGGTATCGTATTTAGCATATGTGTGGAGTGATAAAATTTATATAGATTGAGAGCAATTATAATATTGTTATTATCATTAAGTTGCTCTCAATTCTAATGCTTGATTTTTAATGCACTCTTTATATTAGGAATGCACTATAACAATTTTTAAAGACTTTTTCTAATAATGGAATCCATAATTAATCATTATTTTATTTAATTATTAAAGTCCTCATTAAGCCGAGGAATTATCTACTTGAATTATTTTTAAATTAGGTAAATAAAATTTTTAATTTAACTAAAAATTTTTAAACATTCGATTGATATTTTAAACTACGGTGTAGACTTGAATAAATTTCATCTTCATAATTTTTTTATAAATTATTGTTATGTTGATTAGCTAAAGAAATATAATAGAGTAGATATCAGAGTTGATTTGAGGTGAATTAATACGTTTTCTTTGACTTGAGTGATCCAACTAATTCCTTGAATCATGAGTCCTACAATCCTGAAATTGAATCATCGAGTGCGCATGAGCTGTTGTGGCGAGCACTAACCTTATTCCAGATCCTGGTCCTATCCAACGTGGGTATTTTTCTCTTTTTTCAGCGGGCACTTTGCTGTTTTCCAGGATTCTCTAATCCAGGCACTGCGTCGCGAAAAGGAAAAATATCCAAGCCACTATTGGCGGGTGTAGATAGCACAGGTAGTTCCAGTACTGCTTCCAGCAAGAGCCGTCTGTTGGACGACTCCGCAGAAGCTACAGGTGGAATTATCGAATTTACTAGTACATCTGCGAGATTTAAAGGTACTGTGTCGCGATTGTCTGATGGTAAACCGGAGGATATGATGCTATTAGAAAAACAGGGAAGGACTTCGCAAAGACAAAGAATGCAGGAAGGTGATCAACCACGTAGGGCTGGTTCTTTGCCACCAAGTTCTCTGCCACGTCCACCAAGAGCTTTGAAATCTGCTAATTCTCGTTATTGTCGATTAAGTGATACAGAAGCTCGAAAGAAATCTGATCCAGGGCCTGTTATTGATAGTGGGATCAAAACTCGTGATTCAGGGAATTGTACTCTAGAGTATGGAAGATTTGACACCAAGGGTCAACGTAGGAAAAAATCAGTTGCTGACAGTTTCGTGCAAAATAACACTCTCAAAAAACCTTCCAGTGGAGAATATGAACGTCTAGGTGAAATAGAAAGGAAAAAACTTGTAATTAGTGATGTCAAACATCGAGAAACGCAGGGACGTTCGTTGATACCACCACCATCACGTCGCATTGGTGAATATGGAAGACTCAGTGATGGTGATGCTAAAGCCACACTCAGAAAACAATCTGGCATTTCTCGTGGACTCAGTACTGGCAGCACAGTCAGTAGCAAAAGTGGAGGTCGTGATTCTGGTGGTACTGCCAGCAGTGAAGCATCAACCTCTTCACTGCCACCCACTAAAGCAAGGTCTATACCACGACCTAGCAATTACCGGATCCAATTTTAACCCTTTACGACGAGTATGTGATGTCAAAGATAATATATTTATTGGAGGATAAAATATAACCTTGTAATTAATATAATCATTTGGAATCTCAGAATAGATTGGTGTCTCGCTCTAGTACGCTTGATTTTTATCACGCCATAACAGTAACAATCATAGTATTTTTTAATACTGATTTGTTAAATCAATTCATCGATACAAGTGTTCTCTTTAGGCCTCCCATTTTACAAGCCATTATGTGGATATTTTCTCAAATATATACAATAACATAGAATTAGGAAAAACTAGTCATTACCAAAGTATCAAAGTTTCTTCGAAAAAACAGCGTCTCTGTTTAGAAAAAAAAAATTATCTTCTTTCATAAAAGTTACTGGTGACAGTGCCTTCAAATAATTTCTTTTTACACTGGTCAGTACAATTGTTAAAAAAAAATTCAGTGCCTTTTGAAAATAAAAATAATATTCATACATATTTTATTAAATATGTATTAATGATAATAATGATCTTTAATATAGCGTAGGGTTTCATAAGACTGAAAAAAGTAAATATTGATGAAAAAACAACAATTATTAAATTAATGATAAATTTTTTTTATGAGTTTTGATTTATTATACACTTTGATATTTAATTATGAAAAAATGTGGTGAAAATTTAATGAGAATTTTAATCACCCGTTGTACTGTACCAGATAATTAAGTCGACGCGGTTAATTTTATAATTCATTGCACACCAAAGGTCGATCCTTTTCTTACTATATTATACAAATGTATTCTAAGTGCATATACAAATGACTAGTAATATAATTGTCATAATAATAATTATTATCATAAATATTTATTCGTGCTTGTGTTAGATATGTGATATCTGATATAGGTACACAATTCGTTAATCAATGACAATGATGATGCTGATAATAATGATTTATAATAATAATAATAAAATAATAGAGTGCTGTAGTGGTTAGCAGGATGTTATATATACTATTTATATCATAAGCTGTTTTATTAATAATTCTTTGATTGTGATGTAGTATAGAATAGATCAACTGAATTTTAATCGTTGCTTTGTAGTGTAACATTTCATTTGTATGTATGAGAAGTAATGAGAATTTTATTCTATTTGTCAATTTGATATATATGTTGCATATCAGGTGATTTTCAATGACAATCTTGCATTTTGTTTAAATTATTCTTCTGTAATAGTCAATTCATACAATTTTTATATGGAACATTTTTATGCCAAGTCTGCCAAAAAGATTTCGGAAATTTTCGGTTTTGATAGGAAGAATCTGATTGATCATTTCTTCAGACTGAAAATGATTTTTTACTCAAATTAATTATTTTCTCCATGCAGTTATAATATTTTTTGTAAAAAAGACTTCAATATTGGTTCATTATGAATACTTTTTTTTAATTCAATAGAATATTTAAAGAGTTAGATATGTGATTTATTTTTCTACGGAATTCTTACTTTTATAAATCAAAGTATTATTGAATAAATTAATTTTTAAATAAAAAAAAGCCGAAAACAACCGAAATTGACTTTTTGTTAGGAAGATTATTTAAAAAAAGAACAAATGATAATAATATTGAAAGTACCTAATAACTTATGCAAGAATACCAAAATCTGTTGTCACCAAAGATAAGTTTGCGTGTTATACTCGTTGCTATACGTTGTAACCAAATATTTGATAAATATTTTTGCGTTTTACTCGTATAGTTAAAACGATGGAAGTTAAATGTAAAGATATCAGAACTGTTAAACGTTTGCTCTCTATTTTTGATACAGCCATATTGTTAATCCTCGTTTTTTAGTTTCCACATGTTTTTATTTATTTATCAATTGATTCTAAGTTTAACGAGGAATTATCAATATCCGTACTGCCATCGTATTTTCAACGAAATTTTTTTATTTATTCTTTTGTATTTAAAGGTTTTTAATCAAATTTTGTAATATTTTACAAGCCATAAAAAAATTTTCTGATATTTTCCAATGCTGATGATTAATATTCGGCTAGAAAATAGACAGTAAGCGATCTTTGTTACATGGGTGTTTTATTTTGTGGAAAGCGTTTCGTGGCTCAAGTATGGATGCTATTTTAGCTTTACTAACAATTACATTAATACGAATGTACCGTTTTATTGATAATAATGATGATTGCTTCCAATACTTTAATTACATTGGTACATAATAATCTGATGTAAAGGAATTGTACGAAATACAAACCCTGTTGTGAAAATACTTTTTTTTTATCATCATACCAAGTTGAGTATTTAATACTATTTATTAATTATAAGTTGATAATTATTGTCAATATGAAAAGTCAAGTAGTTTATCAGTTGTTTTGAAGATAAAAGTTTTATTGCAGGGCTCACTGACTTTATTATCGAATTTACCAAAAGACGAATTTCCCTAGTGGTTTTTATAGACCCAAGATAAAAATTATGCAACAGGTGGTCTATTAATTCCGCTTTCAATTGCAGAAATTAAATTCTTGTCCGATGTAATTATAGAGCCCACTGGTCTGAAAAGAATGTACATGGCATCGAAAGTTTTGTCCTTGGATTTTTTTTTTAAACATCATGGAACATCGTGGAATGTCGAAGAGTGAGTAAGGTCAAAAATTTGGGTTCAATGCAAATTAGGAATATGTGAGCTTGGCGGCCTGTATAATATATTAAAGTGACCTTCATCAATGTTTTTTACGTTTCGCTGTCTTTATTACTTAATATCATTTATTAAATAATGGAAAGGATTGTACAAAAATAAACAGTTAGTATAGATTACAGTCAAGTTTTACTGGTTAGTGAATAAATAATATTATTGACACCTAGAAAAATTATTGTAAAATAATAACAATGATTATCGTTAATTGTATCGATAAGATAAATCAAATTGAATTTAAATGTACTGAAAAAAAATCATAACCCTTTCCGAGGTATGAATTTCATTCGAATGGGATGTTTGGGTCTTAATACCACATCTGCTTAGAGACAAACATTAGTAGTCCGGTCTACAGGTTCGAAATAAAAATAATGTAGCAGATGTGCTATCATAGCTTTCAACTCTAACATTGCAAACTTCTGACCTATGCAATTTTGTGGTCCACCACTGAATGGAATATATGAGTAAGGATGTCGTTCATGAATGTTATTTGGCAGAAATCTATCAGGATCATAACGATCTGGGTCGGGCCAGAAATTTGGATTGCGATGTAAGTCGAAGATATGTAGATTTACTATTGAACCAGTTGGAACCAAGTATTTTTCTGAAAGTCCAAGGAAATTTGTTACTATTGTTGTTTCTTATTTAGTGTGATAATGATCATTCTAAACAGTTGGTGTTATTGTGGTGTAATTTACGTACTCAGTTGCATGTCTTCTGTGACTTTTCGTGAAATAAAAGGTACACTTAGGTACAACCGCAAATCTTCTTTAATGCATCGTTCAAGGTAAGAGAGTTGTTGGAGCTCTTTCATGCTCATGTGATCATCAGTGGTCTTCATTATTTTATCCACTTCTTCTCTAGCTCGTTGCTGTAATTAGTTTCATGGAAGGGAGTTCAATAACTCTTCAAATATGCTCAAATTTATTAGAATTAAAATTATTTTTTTTACTTAAATGAGTAAACCAGAAAAAATGAGGAAAATTATAATAACTTACTCGGATTTCTGGATGTTCAGCCGAAAGTAAAAGATTAAAACACATTCCGATTGAAGTAGTATCATGACCCTAAATATTATAATTTGTATGAACATAAATGTTGGCTTTTAAAAGGTGAAGGATGTCATTATTTCTTTTGTATGTAGTCAATTATATAATTAATAGTCATTGAAGTTCAACTCACTTCAAACATGAAAGTATTCACTTCTTCCCAAACACCATCATCAGTGATATAATCATTCTTCAATGCTTTGATAAGAAGGTCAAGCATAGCTAGCTTTTTTTTTGGAAGCCTTGAAGATTTATATATCATTATGTAAATCAGTTGCACTGAGTCCTTCCAAATGAACACCATTTGTTTTTTGATGATACTTGATCCGTTCACCAATTAACTAAAATGCTGATGTTAAAATTTTTCTTCTCGTGTGCCATTTTTTTCCTAAAATTATTTATTATTGATTTACAATTTCATTTAATTGATTTAATCCTTATGATATACTTCCACTCAGATACACTTGAGTACACATGCGATCAAACTATTGACTATCATGCATTTTTCTAAATTTACGAAGAAACAATTTATATTTTATGTAATGAAATTAGTTTACTTGTACTTGTAAATAGTCCAGTTCCAAACCGAGAATGAAGAAGCTCATAAATCATATTTTTAGTTATATTATGATTATTTGATAATAGAACCTAAAAAACAGATTGTTAATTTATAATGAACTACAATAATTAATTAATCAGAATATATTTATCACAAACAATTAGTTCAGCATCGTTTGGATGAAAGAGATTAATAGTTGCATATTTAGTGAACCACAATCTATAAATAGGATGGTATTCTTTGCTGAATCTTCTTCAAGTAATCCATAGTTGATCTAACATCAATTAAAATTAATCAACTGATTAATTGCTTAATGTTGTAATTTAATTTTTAAATAATTCAAGGTATAGGTTTATTTTAATTGAAATGAACGATAATGAACTTTTTTAATTACCTGCTGTACCCATTATCAACAAAGTATTGCCGATAATTGGAAGACATGGTGGTCCAGGAATTTTATCAATATAAAATTGCAACCTGCATCGATGTAAAATGAACGAGACTGTATAATATAAAATTGCAGCCGAAAGACAAGTTAACAATATAATAATTAATGGTGACATTTTTTAAATTATTCACAGTAAATGATTGATAGAATATTTTTATTAACTTTAAATATGAATTGCACACTTTAATTAAGTGTAAAGTTGCTCACAGATTGAATACTAATGAAGTTTACGATTGCAGAGTTAGATACAATTAATGGGTAGATAATTGTATAAAAAAATTTAATTTTATTATGAGATTTGAATTAATCAATATAAATATTATTTTGTCTGTTCATTGACCAATTTAAATTTTGCAGAAGTATTTTCAATTGTTATTATCGATTATAAATATTAAATAAATATTATTTAGTCTATTTTGGAATCAACATAAGTTTTGAATAACCAAGATGTTGATCAAATTGTAAAAAGTAGTAATTTATACAAATTGAATAATTAATAAGTTTTAATTTACATCAGCTTGTAAGACTTTAGCACATTATATGTTATCTTCGTTGGTTATCGAGGAAATAAAGGATTTATTATTTATAAGATTAACTTTTTAACAAGCAGATTTTCTGTCTCAACTTTAAATACTTTTTACTTTTTCATCAAAAGATTAAACAAATTGTTATATATATGTTATATAATAGTTTTTTTGAGAAAAAAATATTTAATTCAAAAACTTTTCAATTTCTATACTAGTACCATGATGAATTCTCACGAAATTAACGTAAATGACATAAACCTATCAACTAGTTCAACTTGTTTATGTGACGTTCTTTATTATAACTGATTATAATAAATGAATTTTAAATAAAGATTATTTCGCATATACTAAAAAAGAATATATAATATGAAAAGAAGTAAGTTGTTATTTAAAATAACTTTTATTGAGCGAAATTACATTTTTTGAATTACATATAGGCTAAGCTCTCAAAAACTTAATTTTTATTAGCTGTAATATGTCGAAAATAATGTACTGAGTTATTAATTAGTTATTTCATCATGTTTAACATTTTTTAATCGAGTCACCACTATTTTAAATAATTCCAAGTACTTTAAAACTATAGATTGATTTCTTTCAAATTTGATAATCAGTATCTGATTTTATTTATACTTGGATTAAATTTTTTTAAGATCCATAATGATTTTAATTAAAGTCTAGTGCATTCGAAATGTCGGGGTACAAATTTCATTCGAGCTCCATGCATAGGCCTCAACACCAAATCTGGAATGATCTTGACCTGAGCTGCCAAATCCACCGGTTCAAAATAAAAATTATGTAACAAGTGTCCTATCATCGCTTTCAACTCCAGCATGCCAAATTTCTGGCCAATGCAATTTCGTGGTCCTCCGCTAAATGGAATGTATGAGAAAGGATGACGACCTTGAATATTTTCTGGCAAGAATCTGTCGGGGTCATAACGCAGTGGATTAGGCCAAAAATTAGGATCTCGATGCAAGTCGTAAATATGTAAATGTGTCGTCACATCGGATGGAATTAAATAGTTCTCTGAAAGGTAATGAAAAAAATAATGAATGAACTCTATCATTTAAATTAATATATTTTAGTATTATTTGAAATTGGACTAACTTAGTTGCAAATCTTCAGTGATAGCTCTTGAGATAAGTGGTACACTTGGATACAACCGTAAAGCTTCTTTGATACATCGCTCGAGATAAGGGAGCTGTTGGAGCTCTGATATACCAAAATGACCATTGGTTTTGTTTAAGACTTCATCAACTTCTTCTCTAGCTTTTTGCTGAAAAAGTTCGATAGAGTTATCTTTTTTAATTTTATCAATCAATAGAAATTAAAAATGAGTTGCATTCATGATTTTCTCATATTTATTTTTTTTATTTACTAATTAGTATTCTAATAAAGAAAACTTATTAGTGCTCATAGATATCTGAGCAGTAAAATTTTTAAGCCCTGTATTAAATACATTGTATTTAATAGATTATTTCAATAAGTAAGTCTATTAAGAAATGCTTCATAAAAAGTATACTGCAATATTAAAAAAATATGAGTAATAAAATTAGACAAATAGAGTATTTTTTACTTACTTGAATATCTTTATGTTCTGCAAGAAGCAATAACGTAAAACAAATACCCATTCCAGTAGTATCATGTCCCTATGTAGAGAAAAAATAATATTATCATATTAATGATACAGCAAAAACAAGTTATTATATTTAAAATTCCTGTCACGTAGTGACATAAGAATAGAAAAAATCTATAATGACCACACTATAACGTGGAAACGTTAGATAGCAAAAATAAGTATCAATTAATGATGATTCAAACAAACCTCAAACATGAACGTATCCACTTCCTCCCAGATTCCGTCATCATCAATGTGACCATTTTTCATTGCTGCAATAAGCAGATCAAGCATAGCTAATTTATTTTTCGATGCTTTGAAATATATTTCTTCATCATAAGAATTTATTTTGTTAACTTCATTCAGGTGAACATTTTTTGTTTCTTCATGAAACTTTTTACGTTCTCCAATGATCTGAAAATTGTATTATTCAAGTTTTCAAAGCTCAATAAAGTTTAAGTGAATATTTTTTTTATATTTTACATACTTTCTTCGAGAAACTGCGAATGATTTCAAGACATTTATCATGATATCGTCCTTCTGAGAATAAATAAAACATGAAATTCCACCTCATCCAAGGCCTTTGTAGTCTGAAATTTTAATTTAATTACTTACTCAGAATATTTCTTTAATTTTAATTGCGCTACATTATTAATTTATGCTAATTCTTTTTATATACAAAATAAATATTGAATACATCAAGTAACAGGCAGTAGTAAAAAAACAAATTTTCCCTCTAATCAATATTAATTGTTATTTCATTTTAGAAACATTTAATTTTCTTAAAAATTCATTAATTATTAACTATAAAATGTCATATTTTAATTAAAAAGTTTGAAAAGGGAAATTTTCTTATCGTTATCTAGTTTGTTTTTATTTTATTATCTTATCATTCTTTTCTTTTTCTCAAGTATCCCTATCTTCACTTACTTTATTATTGACGTTGTGTCTATATCATGTGCGATTTTTGTATTGTAAAATATTCAACGTTTCACACGCGATTCATAATGACCGATAAAAAATGATTGAAAAGAATAGTAAAGAAATACAAAGTAAACATTACCTTTTGATGATGATATTTCCTAAGTCATGGACAGCTTTTCTATAAACAGAGTGGAAATTGTTATTAGTATTTTCCATTTTAGCTAGTGATGTACCCATGGCAGTTTCTAAAAATCAGAATAAATATATTATAATAATCTACTTATTCATATTGATGATTAATTCATTAAGATTGAATATTATACCACAAATTGCATTCAAAGTGTATTTAGGAATAAATGAAATCAGGTCCACAGTGACGTCATCATTTTTAGACATTAATTCTTTCACTATTCTACGACCCTCTTCATCAAAAACATCAGTAAACTCTTTCAGAATATTAAAATGAAAAGCTGGTGTTAATATTTTCCTTCTGTGTTGCCATTTTTGTCCAGAGCTTGTCAAAAGTCCAGTCCCAAACCAAGGAAGTAAATATATATAAACTACACTTTTTGTTATATTTTTATGGCTTGACAACAAAACCTACATAACAAATTAAAATTAAAAAACTGTTATTTTTATCAAATTGTTCTTCATAAAAAAATAATTAGCATATCAGATTAAATACTTCAGCATCATCTGGATGACGAAGATGGACAACTGGATAATCGGCTATCCACTGCTTGTATATTGGATAATATTCTTTACTTAATTTTCTCATCATCTGCCATAATTCCTCTAAATTCATATTTAATTAGATTAACAATATTATTGAATCTAGTTTGTATCGTTAAATTGTTCTTATGTACCTGGAGGTTGAAGAATATCCAAAGTATTCCCAATAATTGGTAATCCTGGTGGTCCAGGTACTTTAGCGACTAGCTTAGCGATTCTTCGAAAATTTTGAAGATATTTAAAAATGAAATATAATAAAGGCAACAAAATGAGAGAAATAAAAATATTTATTATTGACATTGTTTTCAATTATACATCAGAAGCACTTCAATCTTGACACACTGATGTTTCGAGATCAACTGATATACTTCGATTATGAGTAAACATTCGTTCACGATTGGTATGAATATAGAACAGTGTAAAATGTAAATATGAAAGATTAATTGAAATCACTGCAGAAAAAAACACCTTAGAATCTAGTTAAACACTTATTTAAATAGCATAAATATTAAAAAGAATTTAGTTTTTGTAAACTTAGTTTCAGATCATCATCACCATCAATAATTTTTTTTTATTGTCATTAATTTATTATTAATTCAAAAACATTAATCATTAAATGAGAATAACAACAACACTTATATTAACGGGCACTTTCTATGTTGCAATTGGTATAAATTTTGCAAAAACTGGATGAGAGGATCTAAGGACGAGATCTGGAAGAATACGAACACCAGCAGTAGCTTCTTCAGGTTCGATATAGAAATTATGTAACAATCCTGCCACTAGTATTTTCAGCTCAAGCATCGCGAACTTTTGACCTAAAATAATGAAATCTCATGTAGACATATTTATCATAAAAAGATAATTTGCAGTTATTGGTGATAAGATGTAATTATGTTCATATGTAATTATTTTAAAAAAATGTTACCAATGCAGTTACGTGGTCCACCACTGAAAGGAACATAAGCAAACGGATGTCGAGATTCACAATTTTCTGGGAGAAATCTATCCGGATCAAAAACGTTGGGTCTTGGCCAGAAATTCGGATCACGGTGGACATCAAATATATGAATGTTTGCAACTGATCCTTTTGGTACAAAAGCGTGCTCTGTCAAGTAATAAGATTTATTATCTTTTTCTCCTTGGTTTTTATTTAAATTTGTACTTCATGAACTTATGCTTTTTGATTTATTAAATAATTGTAAGTCTAATTTAATTCAAAAAATGCAAATATTTCATCAATCAATCATTAATTATTCTTATCTATAGTCGTAAATATACATCTGTTAAGAAAGTAACTTTGAACCTGAGTTTATTAATTTTCTATACGCTCAGTGAGTTAATAATTTAGTTATTATAATTGCATATTAAACAATTCTAGCTATCATTTTTATTTTTTTAATATATAATGAAATAGCTAAACTACCAGTGCATATCTATGATCTTATCATAACTATGCTCTTGACCTATTTTTTCTTTTTTCATAAATTAATTTTTTAATACATTGTAATTTACTATAAATATTGGTACATTTTGGTTACACCCTAGTTAATTTTTTCTTCATTATCTTGTAAATAATAAGAGAAATTCTCAGAATTAATTATTTTAGAATAATATTTTGTTTGAAGCAAAATTAACATTGAATCTAAAGTCAAGAATTAATTTCAAAATTACATACTTAATTGTAAATCTTCTTCAATCTTCCTTCCTATCACAGGAACACTTGGATAAAGTCTAAGTGACTCTTTGATGCATTGTTCTAAGTACGAACATTGCTGTACAACACTCATTGACCATTCTCCATCATTCTTTCTTAATTTATCACCAACTTCATCTCTTATACGTGCCTAAAAATTAATTATCTTGATAGAAAAAATATACTTTGATCATTAATCAGTTAATGAATTATCAGTCTTAACATTACTTGTATTTCTTTATGTTCAGCTAAAACAAGAATAGTGAAAATTAAACTCATTGCTGTTGTATCATGACCCTGAAAATATTATTTCAATTAATTGATTTAACTTGGTATATTTGTTCTTCTGTTTCGTTAGAAGCAAGTGATTATTTTTACTTCTCTTGACCTTCTGACTCTCAATTACCTCAAACACGAAGGTGTCTACTTCTTCTTGAATCCCTCGAGAATCAATTCCAATTCCACTTTTTGATGCTGCTATCAATAGATCCAGGAAAGCTAATCGTCGACGTTTAGCTGTTTATTTTTAACAAAACAGAATAATTGATGATAGTATATGTGATAAGTAGGTAATTATTTGATTATTGTCATTAAACTATTATGATTAACATACATTTCCCATTGGCTTCAATACTGGTTGAATTAGTGCTTGATGAAGATGAAACATCTTGAAGATATTTGCCTCCGGATTCTTGATGATATTCCATACGTTCATTAATAATCTATTAAATGAAAATAGAATTAGATAAAATTGATGTAAATTATGTGTGATGATAAGATTGGTTTTGAAAAAAAAGTACTTTGGAAGAAAACCCATGGAGTGTTTTTAATGCTTTTGCTTGATTAGCACCTCTGGATGTCAATGAAAAAATCCAATCAGGCATCAGCCAAGGTCGTACTGCTCTACAATTAATAATAATTTAACGTTTGACTTTGATATTTCTATTTGACGCGACGATTTTAAATATAGGTTCTGTCAATAAAGAGCAGTATGTTACCTGTAATAAAAGATGTTTCCTATATCATGGACAGATTTTCTGTAATTATTTTGTTGTTCACTCTGTTCTGATACTGTTACTCCCATTGCAGATTCTAAAATAAAAATTGTTGATAGGAAACTTAAAAATTAATTATGAGTAGAATCTAAGTTAGTTTAAGTTGCTATTTTGGAGATAATTAAATGTTAGATATTTGGTTTAAAGTTTGAGGAAGTAAAGATATGAATATATAACTTACCACAAATGGTATCCAGAGTAAATTTAGTCATCAACGGAGAAAGGTCTTTAACAACACCATCAGATTTAACTTCAGCTTTTAGAGACTTCACTAATCGATTAGTATGCTCAATAATGGATGCAGTGTATTCTTGTAAATTATTCAAATGGAATGCAGGAGTCAAAATTTTTCTTCTAGTTCTCCACTTTTCTCCTAATTAAATGAATTCCATGGGTTTCATTAGACATATGCATCTTTGTACATAGCACATCATTAGGATCATTAATGATTACTTGTGTATGCAAATTAACATACCTGTACTTGTTAAAAGTCCATCTTTCAACCATGGATGCAAGAAGTCATAAAACATACTCTTTCGAATATTTTTGTTGCTGCTTAATAGTATCTAATTATTTTACAAACTGTTTTTAAGCATTTATTAATTTTTATAATTATTTTTTATTTTAAAAAACACAATTACCTGAATGTCATCTGGGTGAATTATGTTTACGAGTGGAAATGAGCCGATCCAAAATTTATAAATAGGATAGAAGTCACGACCTGATCGACGTAGAAAGTGCCATATATTTTCTGCAATTACATTTTAACAATTATTTTACTACAGTGAACATTTATAATAACTTTTTCAATAATTAGTTAAGGTTTTTCGACATATTATATTACTTTAATTCATTTTTTGGAATAATAAAAGAAGTGTATATTGCTAATTGAATTTTTAAAAAATATAATATAATAATTGACTGCTTCGTTGAAAATGAACAAATAATTGTACGTAATTATTTCGATGTAAACTCTTATTTCTAAATACAATAATTATTTCAGTTTTATAGAGGATAAATACTCTCAAGAAGTCATAACCATTAAGACTCAGCATTAAAGAGCTTATTAATTCATTACTTGTTCAATTATGAAAAGTTACTTTGTAGAAATTTTTACGAAAAAAAATGATTAAAGTAAGAAACTATTTAAATATTGATAACAAGGTTATTGAAATAAAGATTGATTTTGGAAAAAAATAAAAAACTATCATGAAATTGATTGTTTTAGCTGCGTTTAATAGCACGAAATGTTATCATAGCAGCTTCTCTAGAATTATTTTCTTAATTTTAATCATAGTAACTAATGGTTCTCAAATTTGTTATAAATTATCTAGCTTCAAATGTCGAAATAATTAGTAAAGTTTGATATTTACCTAATGGTACTAAAATATCCAGAGCATTTCCAATAATAGGATACCATTTTGGTCCGGAAATTTTATCAACTAAACGTCCTCGTCTACTTCCATGAACATAATAATGAAACAGAACCAATGAAATAATAGACAAAGTTGTAAAAGTGAAAAAAAATGTTTGCAAATCCATTATTGTGCACAAAGTATGTAACGGACTGTGTGGCAAACTGTTCGAATCGTTTCTGCAATACTCTCAGGGAGTGAATGTTTATATTCCACCGACCTTATCTGTCGATTTTTTCCCTCTCTTCAATCTCAACGCTACTGTAGTTTATATAAGAACATCACAAATGATTGTAACACGTGCACATGATTATATTCTTTACGAAATGTACAGTCGTCATTCTTTATAAATTTTATCGAAACGCATCAACAAACAAATTTATGTTATATAATCAACTATGAATATGCAAATACGTTGTGAATAGTCGCGAAAATAATTCTTATTTCAATCATCCATTATATTCATTCAGCACGAACGTTGACAGCTTTGAAGTAGACATTCAGTTAATGTCTAAATTGTTTTTATTAGAGTAATGAGTACTTGAGTTTAAACAATTCACTTTATTTGATCATACACGATGGAAAGTATTTTTTGAAATTAACTCGACAAAATAAAATTTATTGTTGCTGAAATATTGACAATGAAACTTTATTCTGAAGCTTGTTATTTTTGATATTTTTTACAATTATTGTTTATCATTTATTATTATTAATTCAGAAGATTAGTGAAGAAAAGACAAAAAAATCCTTTCATTCCTCTTTGAAGCAAAAAACTTGAGCTACGGATTAAAAAAAAAGAGAGAAAAAAATATTAATGTATAGCTTCAAGTCTATTCAAATATTAATAGTGTCAGTATTTGATCGTACTTGTTTATTAAATTTGGCAAATCTAAAATCATAAATTATTACAAAGATCAAGATTATCATAAGATCAACAACTTTTGTACAAAAAGTATGTGGTGAAACTAACGGTCTTTTTTATGCTTTTTTAATCGTAATTTTTCAACAATTTTTAACGTTTATAATAAAAACCGTCTAATGTTATCTTGTAATTAAAATCATTCATCATTCACCTATAAAAAATTTTTCTTCTAAAAACAAGAATAAGGAATATAATTAAACTATTATTATACGTTCAATACCAGTATTCAAATTTTATTTTTTTCTCATTAAATAATTAATGCACTTCAACATTATTTACCGATAATTATATGATCTTCATACACAAAATAAAGATACAACTTTCAAACTACTTTTGGCATATGTTTTATGCATAACAATAAAAAGAAAATAAAATGATCGTATAAAATTTTAATAAAATTATTTTTTTATAAATTCATTCGCAAACATTTAAATAGAACACCACGTCACTAGACAATATTAAGCCATTATCTTTCCGATAAAATAACTTTAGTAACAGTTCACAATTGTGCTCGCGTGTATCTAATCCACACGTGATCCCCGCTGTCGTGCATTTCAACTCCCGCACGACAATAACTCTTGTATGAAATGCGATTAGTAATTTTCGCATGAACTTGATGTTGTTGTAAAGCTAATCTCTAAGTAACCTTCAATTGAAAGTAAACGACATGGTAAAAGTCCTTTAAAATCTTTTGCTTGAGAGTTATCCATTAATACCCCAGTTTTCCTTTTTCACCTTCCACTTTCGAGCAGTGAAAGTCTCATACTATCGGTCCAATACTTGTTGTACATATTAATACAAGTATACACCAGTAATAATAATTTTATTCCTACTCATTTTCGCAAGTGTTTTGGATTTTATCTATGGCACTCTTGGCTTTTAATGGATAATCATTGTCATCTGTTCACCTTATTAGATTATTGCAGGAAATTGGGTCTACTATTACAATGAACCAAGTTGAGATTTTACCTCTGAAGTAGGTCTGCAACGAAGAACTACGGCTTTTTTTATCTATAAGATAAGATAAATAGAATTTATTTAATATATAATATATCTTAAAATAGATTTTAATATTTAAAAATTTTGTATAATCTATCATAATTCATTAATTATATATGAAAAACACCTTTTTTAGTCAGTATAATTAAAAAAAATATTTTTTTTACGGTTTACATTGGCATTCTGGTATCAATTTTAGTTTTTTTTTCGTAAAAACTTTATTGAATGTAAAGTTAAATTTATCAGCTAATGTAATTACTGCAACATAAATAGTACATGCATGTATTTAAATATTTTATAAAACGTGCAACGAGAGATGTAAACTTGCTATACGTTTTTCAACAGTAGGTGATCTATCGACATTTTAATCCAAGCGTTAGTATTAAATTCCTCCATAATTTAAATACTCGCCAATAGAAATAATTTATTTAAAATATTCGATTGTTTTAAATGTGCTTTTAATTATTTGTCGAAATAACTAAGTATGATTACAGTTAGTAATTTTGAATAATTGTCCTTTTGTCACTGCGCATCGTCTTGCGCATAGAGAGTGGGGAATTAAAAATAGTCACGTTGCTTCTTCTCGATCGTTCCAGTTTTGCCGGGGATTTCGGAGTGAATGGATATATTGTTTGTTATCGATCGCATTATTGTTGTTTTCATGATAAAAATAAGTGTCAGTAATGATATTGTAATTTGCCAATATTAGCAAAATATTTCTAAATAATATAAGGGAAAATTGATGTGTTTTTTCATAAAAAATTTCAGACTTAGTGTTTAAAATGAATAGTAACAAAGCGTTCATCGGAGGGACGCCATGCCATTTTTACATATTTGAAATGATCTAATTATAAAAAAGTTCATTTGATCAGATGTATCAATATATATTGATTATATTTAGTATGTTTTTTAAGTGTATCAAATAATAAGAGTGCTTTAAATGCTATTTGTTGTTCACAATGCATTTGCATTTAATTAAAAAAAAATGGAGGGGTGGCTGATCGCCGATAGTGAATGATATTTTATGCAATTTGTTTTGTCAGTTTGTATTGTAAAAAAAGTGTTATTATCTATGATAAGTGCATAATTAGTGTCAATGAGTTATTTTAATTGGATTATCAGAAGCAGTATCATAATGGAGCAGATTGTCATTTAAGAATAATCTTACCGGTAAATACCATTTTTTTGTAATATTATTATTAATTAGTTAGAAATTTCCTTATATCATGTTGTATTGGTATAGTACCTGTAAACATGCTTGAGGATGTGTAAATAGACAGCTCTTATCTTCATCAATATTAATTTTCGTAAATACACGGAGTCTTCTTATTGTATGTCAGTTGAGACATACATTAGAAATAACTTTGAGAACATTTCGTGGAATAAGTGTTAGCACTGAAGCAAATATTATCTTTGTTTCAATGTTCCCAGAAATTGATAGAATTGAATCGAACGAATTCGTATAAATTCTTTTGAAACTAAAAAAAAAATTTCATTTTGAATTATTATCAACTGTGAAAATGTAATTTTATTTTTCAATATAAACACAAGATGGCGCTTAGCGTGCGTTAAATGGTTATTTCCAAATACCTGGAAATATACAAAGTCGATAAAAACATAAATAGAAAAATAATAAGAGCTGAAATAAAATGCTTCCGGGTATTGAACTTTATTTTTTTCCGAAGAATAAAGTTTAGTATTGCAATTGATGACCGATCTACAGTATTCGATAGTTTTGTATACACTTGTGTTTATACCCTGATAACCCAGTTTATTGCTTGAGAAGCGATGCAGTAGTATAGCCACTTTTCTGCTCCAATGTACCAAGAGAAAAACGTCTTGTCGGTCCTCCAGAAAATGTGCTATCTCTTTTCATGTTTCACTGGAGAGGGGCTTCTAGCTGACGCGCGAAAGTATCAGCCTTGGACTCAATTCGAGAAATAGAAGATCCGGCTCATGAGACTGGTGCACGGAAGTGCTCTTTTTGATCCAAGTATTTGATTTGATAATTTTTTAGTTTTCAAACATTTTTGTTATTTTATTATCTACTTCAAGCTCCATTCAAACACACCTACTGAGCTACTAAGAAAGTTCAAAGAAATTTAGAAGTAATATTTTATCGTTGTATACACAAGTGTAAAGTAGAAAAAAATAAATATAATCACAAAATTCATTTATAGCCGCAACAAAGCTTCGGAAATAATTTAATTATCGCTAGAACATTAATTCCATTTTTTTCATTTATATTGGAAATATTTCGATCTTTTATTTTTAAAATTGTAATCCATTAAATATAATATTCGTAAAATCCATTAAAACATTTGATCACAGCGAAAGTATTAATAATTTTATTTATAAATTATTCAAAGCATTCAGATTTAGAAAGGAATCAATAGTAGGATGACTTTAAAATACTCCAATCAATGAAGACACGATGCTATTGATTACATTTGGATTTAAGTAATAAAAACTAATTACAGTAATGAAATTATTGTAATTTTAACTAATTTTATTAATTATTTTATTAAAATAATTAACTTTCAGTTTTTTTTTTTTTTAACAAAAAGTAGTGAAAATTTTTTTCTTACTGTAATTGTAAACATATCTTGTTTAATTTTTGCTTTTTACATCACCACTTAAACTTATCTTAATGTAGCTCACGCAGACATTATTATGCAATGTAATCATATACACAATATTTTTTGAGGTCTTGATCGAATGCATATGTAAAAGTGCTTATGTAAATATTTTTCGAAAAAAGTAAAGAAGTAATGATTTTTTATAAAAGATAAAATATTCAAGTTTGTAAATAATCTAAAAACTTTTATTTAAGAAGGATAATAGCATGATTAAATGCTTCAATTGTCGTTTATGGACTCAATTATAATGTAAGTCAGCAGCTTTCCATCACAAATTTACATTTCCATAATTCATTAAAGCAGCTTGATAAAACGAATAAAACTAAAAGTTAAATATTTATTAATTGAAAATATGAAACAATAGTTTGACTGCAATTTTTAAGTTAAAATAAAAATATTAGATTGATTTTTTGGAATAGGATATGCATTTTTCGATCATCAAACAAATAAATAAATAAATTACGATTTGAGTATAATTGATATGTTTATATCAAATGAATAAACACTAGTTAAACTGAATATAAAATCTAATTTAAAAAATGTTCATTCTATATTATGACTCACTCGATAAAAATAGATGGATAAATTAAAAGAAAATTTATTTGAACATTTTTATTTTTATTTAAAAATTTTTCTTTTTTATTTCTATACGAGTACAAAAGTTAAGATATTTTAATTGTTTTCTTTTTGAAATTATTATTTTCAAATATGGTCGCAAGTAAAATTGAGAGGTAGAACAACGAGAAAGACTACGTGGGAGATTTGTAGTCTCACTTATGGTCTCTCTTTCCCTCTCTTCAAGTCTCT